CCCCGTGAAAGAAAAGTCTACGCGTCCAACCCACCGCAGCTGGGCCTCAGCGCAGCCATGATGTCAAAACTCGGGGATCTCGGCACATACCATACTGTGTACTCCGTACACTTGACAGCTATCCATCCCATCCATCTTCGGAAACCCCCCACACACGTTCCTTTAGCGTTCCTTGAACCACCTTGTCCGCATCTGTCCCGCTCGGGAACATCCTTGCGGGACCCATGAGGCAAGTGTCGCTCCAGCTCGGGGAACGCTCTGTAGCCATCGGGTACACAAGGGATATTGGTTCCACCTGTCCTTCCCATACGGCGGCGCCTCGCGTGCACGCCTAATGAAACACATCTTGCGGAATGCAAAGGCAGATTGAGCATCGAGAACCGCCACGAGATTAGTACAAGATACCAGCAGCCAGCTCGCAGTCTGACATGAGCTTGGCCCGTCCTTACTTGACACCAGTCTGCATTTTCCGCATGACTTTCTCGATAATTGCTGGCTTTTCTCTGCAGTTCGGACAATACCAGTCTTCGTCTTCATCTGGCACTTTCTTCATGTTCAAGCACCCTGTATGGAACCATTGGAAAGGACAGTCCTCATTCTCGCAAGCCACCATCTCACCGTAGCTGCGCTGGTGGCAGAAACAGTAGACCTTGTCGTCTTCTCCGTCGTCATCTTCCATTTCATCATCCTCGCCCGCTTCAGCATCGGCCTCCTCGGCAACAGGTTGTTGATGCTTCTTGTTGCCGCGTCCTCTTCTCGATTGTGAGGCGTCAGTCTCCGAGGCATCTGCTGATGACAGGGCTGAGTCTGCATCTTCCGAAGCCGCCGTTCCGCCGCGGCCCCCACGCACCGATGGTGATTGACCCTTCTTTCGCCCAGCGGACAATCTTCCCTTATTTGCTGCCTTTTGCTTGAGCTTGTTGACCTGCTGATGTGAGATGACTTTCTTTGGAAGGCCTGACTTTTTAGACGGTGCCGGGGCCTGTTGGGAACCAGTAGTCCGAGGAATGCTGCCGGCACGGCTTGTACCTGTGCCGGTGGGTGTTCCCGCCTTCGGAGTACCTGGCCCGAGCGACGACTGACGTAGACCCGAGGGCTGCGAAGGAAGATTTGCACCGGCAAGTGGATTCCCGAGCTTTCGTCGTTTATTTTCAGCACCAAGGGAATGTTCACGCTCTCGTTGACGTTGTTGCTGTACGGCTGAAGCAGGCGTTGTTGGGGCCGAACTCCGTTGCGTTGGGGCAGTCACGGTCGTGATCTGTGGCACCGGTCTTGCTTGCGTCTGCTGGATCGCGGCCGCCGTTTGCGCGTTTGCCCTATGTGCATTTGCGTTGAGAGCACTGACGGATGCATTTTGCAGAGGGATGGTTGTGGGCAGGTCGAGAAAAGGCTTTTGCGCCTCTGCCTTGCGGTTGAAAACACTTGGTAATGGCGGTCCATCCTGAAGTTGGCCATCGTTTTGCAGCTCTCTGATCTTGACGTCGAGTTTCTTGACCTGACGTTCAAGAAGCATGCACGCTTTCTCACTCAACGCGATTTTCTGGTCTTGCAGCGCCAAACAGAGATCGAAGTTCTTCTTCACCAGATCGGCATATTCATTCTCCTTCGGATGAGGTGCCAGCACTCCATTGGTTTTGAGATGCTTCTGAATGTTGGCATCTTTCTGATTCACGACTGACAGGTGTTTCTGAAGGTCTTTGTCCTTGGCCTGGATCTCCTCCATCATGTGGGTGATCTCAGCAGGCAGATTGGCCGCATCATGAATGAATTGCTCCAATACTGAAGCACAGTCTTCATTTGACGCCATGATGGTCGATGCAGGACACCGAAGACAGAAACAAGCGAGGAGTTTCAACCTAGATTCAAGCGGCTGTTTGACTTTTGGTTTACTCGCTTATTGCGTGTTCCGGCCACCGCCACGACACCGAAGCATCAACAATTTGATTCTTGGCTGTGGACAGATATCAGTGGCCCTTAATCTAGGAAGATCATGATAACTGACGCGGTCATTACTGCGAACCTGATGAAGTACTGTGTAAAGGTGAAAGATGCAAGGGGCAGATGGAGGAAGAACTGAGCCTGACGCCTGTAACAAGCGAGAGTCACCTAACCTCTTTGAGATTAGTGCATAAGTATGTGGCTGCTTTACGCCACATTCACTCGAGACTCACCCAGCCACATTTCTGCACCAATGAAGACTCCTTGTAACAATGAGAACTTAATCGCAGCCATCAACATCTAACATTTTCGAAAGATGATCACCTCACCCAGTAACTAGGCAAGCCGGGAGCATGAGCCACCAGGAGATATCGAGGAATTTTCACCACCAAGTCACGTAATGTCACCAGAAGGGCACCATCACATCAAGTCCTTGTCTCGCAGTAACATAAGATGGCCATCGTGCAAGAATACCATGAATCCCCAATCACCGACCCCCTTCCCACATTCACTCTTTCAACCGGCCTCCAACGCGAGATTGAACAGAACGGCGTCGCGCGACCGAAAGGCTACACAGTATCATGGCATTACAACCCTAGTGTAGAAAACCACCACTTCGGACAGACCCATCCCATGAAGCCATGGCGCCTCACACTGACAAAGTCTCTGGTCCTGTCATATGGGATGCACCAGGCCATGGACAGCTACGTCTCCCGCGCGGCCACGAAAGAAGAACTCGCGGAATTCCATAAGGACGAATACGTCGACTTCCTCTCCGTGGCCACGCCGCAGAACATATACGAGATGTACCCGGAACTCGCCACAGGGACGCTTGGGTACTCGTCGCACATCTTCGGTGTCGGCGACGACTGTCCCATCTTCGACGGCCTGTTTGAATTCTGCTCCACCTACACGGGCGCCTCGATCGACGCGGCCCGCAAGCTCTGCGCCAAACAATCCGACATTGCGATAAACTGGAGCGGCGGCCTCCACCACGCAAAAAAGGGCGAGGCGTCAGGGTTCTGCTACGTCAATGACATTGTCCTCGCGATCCTGCAATTATTGAGATATCACTCGCGGGTTCTTTACATCGACATCGACGTCCACCACGGCGACGGCGTCGAACAAGCCTTCTGGTCCACCGACCGAGTCATGTGCGTCTCGTTCCACAAGTACGACAAGGAAGTTTTCTTCCCAGGCACCGGCCCGCTCGAATCCACGGGTCCCATCCACCCGGACAACCCTGGCAAGAACTACACGATCAACGTGCCCCTGAACGACGGCATTGACGACGAGTCCTACGACTACCTCTTCCGCAATGTGATCGACCCGGCGATCAAGATCTTCCACCCAACAGCAATCGTTTTGCAATGCGGCGCCGATAGTCTAGGGCACGACCGGCTCGGGTGCTTCAATCTGAACATCCGCGGCCACGGCGCATGCGTCTCCTTCGTAAAGTCATATGGCATCCCGCTCCTGGTGGTCGGCGGAGGCGGGTACACGCCGCGAAACGTCGCCCGCGCGTGGGCGCATGAAACGTCCATCCTCATCGGCGCAGACCGCACTCTAGACCCAGCACTGCCGGAACATATGCCCCACCGCGACGCCTTCCGAAAGGAAGGCTTCACCCTGTTTCCCAACCTGGGCGGCTGGCGGCGCGAGAACCTCAATTCTCGCGCCGACATTGAGAAGATCATCCGGCATGTCAGGGAGCAGCTGGCGGGGATCAGAGGCGCGCCGAGTGTGCAGATGAATTACATCCCGCCGGACATTGCGGGCTGGAGGGACGACGTCGAGGAGGAGCTAAAGGCAAGGAGGCTGGAGAGGGAGGAGAAAGGCGAAGAGAGGGACGGAGCTGGCGGATTGTTAGCAAAGGTCGGCAGGAGGAGAGAGCTGGAGCGAAGAGACGGATTTGGCGGAAATCTCGCGTTGGCCAGTGGGGCAGCGGCAAGTCTGAAGCCAGGGTTAGGGGTAGGAGTAACAGATGGGAGTAGGTTGTCGGCTAGTGAGGACAAAATATGATCACAATGGCTACCTTCAACCCTGGCACCACTGGACCCGTGGAGGGTCGCGTTAGCACAGAAGCAGAGGCCGCAGCACCAACAGTGCTTAGTACTCTTAGGAATCACGACGACCTTGACAATTACCGAAGCGCGCGTGGTGCTTGCTGGCTTCAACAAAAACAACGCAATACGCAATACACAGGTCCTCACGTTCGACGCATCTCCCACCCTCGACTCAAGCCCTTGGCATCTAACATCTGACTATGCATCCCGTACGAGCACTAACTAATCACGGCGGGCTGTGTCCGGTCTACATGGGACAAGCGGCGAGACACCCATTCAGCCTCAGGCCCCCACATACCGAGTGCTATACACCTGTGAGCCATGGAGGACTCTGCGTCATGCACAAGGTAACCTGGAACCTGCGGTATTTCATGCCTACCGTGTCCCAAAAGGGGAATCCCATCCTCTGCTGTAGGTATCCCCCAAACGTCTCCGCGGAATACCGATATACAGTACCTTGAGAGTCTCTCCAGACGGGTCTCTCTCCCCGGCACTTGCCACTTGGGCGAGGTCCCGTTGTAGTGTAACCCTCTCCACGCCATTGACGTTCAGGGCGTGTTCGTCTTGCCACCTCTACCTGTTTACTTGACCTCGTAGGATCGCTGGAAGAGCGACTAGTGCCTACGTAATTGCTCATGTCTCTCGCATCAGATCCTCCTTCTGAGCCAAAAATAGACGGCCCTATAACTCCTTTTCTTTCTCCTTCGTTCCTTTTCTCCTTCCTCCCTGTCTCGATCGAGAGCAGCCATGCACTTCGCTTTGCTCCTTCTTGACGCTGAAGGGGATGACCGCTTGAAACTACTGTATCTAGGTAGATTAGCAGCCTGCTTACTCGCCCTGACCCTCGACCGTCTATGGTTGTGCCGAACGGGGACGATGGTCTAGAGGATAACTTTGAAGTACCTTGTGTTCAGTACAATACGTTGTACTCAAAGCGCCGTAGCTTACAGGCGAGGAACGGACTAGATGTGATCACTCATGCGATTGTGGAAAACACTTGCAGGTGCTGTTATTGATTTTGGTACGAAGGGCTTTGGCCACTGACTGCCCTTCATCCAGCGTTGTGAAAACATGCCCTTGCAGGGTCATACAGCACTAGCCCAGTCCAAGAGGGCAGAATCATATTCATGGACTGTGAGGGTCCCGTTGAGGTTGGCCTTCATTCTCACGTACTCGTGCACTTCGTCAAGTGGAGCACTGCCTGGCATACCCTTTGAAATCTGGCTCCTGTCTCGGCGAACGACCTCTCGTCGTGCCAGAGTGCTAACAGCCACATCATGAAGTTTCGGCCAGCTTCCAATCGTAGAGAGTATCGTGCAGTTGCATTCGGATTTCGGGGTGCGCATTGATGGCCGCCGGGTGGTCGACAGAGGCTGTTCTTATGCGCTGCAGACTCCGGTCTACGAAAAAGGATTTCGAAGCTGATTGAAACATTACCACTGAGTTTTCACATTGAGCACTTTGGCAAAAAGGCTTTCTGCCTTCTTGATAATGCTTCTTTGCCCAAGGGCCGGTCTACAATCAGGAAAGGGTGTGGCAAGGTCTCTAGAAGACGGTGAGATATTTGCTTGCGCCTCAGGAGCTTTTCCTTCGTCCAACGTGGGGCAGGACAGGTCAATATTCGTCCTCGCGCACTCCCTTCCCCTCTCCAATGCCAATCATATGCAAAGCATATGGCAAAGAAAAAAAAGAAAAGAATTGCGGCCACTGTGGATCGAACACAGGACCTTCAGATATACTGGAACCGAAGTTGAACTTCAGTCTCTGTTAAACGTTAGCCTAGCTACAAGGAGAGGTACCGATTTAGACATACGACGCTCTCCCAGCTGAGCTATAGCCGCATCACATTTGTTGGTCCAAAATTCGACTATGCATCTTATAACAGATAATGAACTGTATTACGCACGTGGATTTGGAGCGCTGGCAAGTTGCTTGCTGGGCGTTGTCTTGTCTTGCACAGCTACTGTGATCGCTACCTATGACTTTTAATGCGCTTTCCATCGTGTTTTCCCTTAGCATAGCGCATCTAACTGGTAAATTTAATGGGTGTTGACGCTTGTGCCTGCGAGCCAATACAGCCATCAGTCAAACGGGCGAATGCCCCTATAGCTGCTGCCTTCTATTTGTGCTAACGGAATAGCCCCCGAGTACACGCAAATGGTCCCGAAACGAGTTCCAAGCAGCTAAACAAGCTCACAGGTACGGATAGGATCCGCAAATACAGGTATATAGCATTAAGCCCTTCGAGAACAGAGCTTCGATCCGCAAATTTCTACAGGATTTGAACCGGGATTGATCAGAATAGACGCACAGTAAGCGAACCCGACAGGTGACTATTCTAAGTCGAATTTATAGTAGGCATCCAATCTGCCTACATTTCACCTTCCGTGATCTCAGAGCTAGGGAGCCTAATCTGGCTCCTTCCACCTAACTACCTCATTACTCGTGAAAGGGTCAGCAGGCAACAGCTTGGTCCGAAAAGCGGCCTCGTGAGCGCGTCAGGTATCCGAGTGGGAGAGTCCGGAATATGGCCCTTCAGAGCTTTGAAACACAGGAAACTGGGAACGCGCGGGGACAAGTTATGGATCCCTTTCGTGCCATAACTTATGCTCAGGTCTCGAAACGGAAATGGACTTTGAAGAGGTCAGTATTCGCCGCTGAGTAAAATGGTATCCAAGCACAGTCGTGATAGCATAAAGTCGTAACAAGCTAGCAGGACAAGATACCGTGCTGTTAACCCCAAATTGTGTAACTGCACCCAAAATAGCTGTTTTCAAACGATACGCGCAAAGATCCGCCCTCAACAGGTCGTGAAGTCGTTCATCATTAATCCATCTGCGTTGGTGGACAACAAATTCGCTCATCGTCGACGGATTTCCCGGTCGCCCAGTGTGCGCATGACATGGATAACAAAGAGGGATGTCTCAAGGAATACTCCCTAGCGTCTTGTGTCTGAACCATGCTCTTTGCCTGTTGTGCTACAGTGCACTGTACACTTGGGTAGTTAACTCATGCCTGGTTTCGGAGGGTTCGTCGTGCAGGGCGGGTCTGAGGCCATCCCCCGGAGGTGAAGAACGGAAGGAAGTGGTTGATCAGGGTTTCCTCCCAATCACAATGACACTGCCAGACTGGTGAGTATCACACATCCGCTGGTGGCTCTGATGAGGGCTCGAGGGCTGAGCGTGCTTACAGTAGGAAGTAGTAACGGTGTTGTCGGGAATTGATCTCCTGGAAGGCTTGGGCGCACCAGGCATTAACTTCTTCTGGCTTCTTCTATATCGAGTGTCAGTGTCTGGCTGCGGCCAGGGGTCAATATCGGCTTACCCCCAGAAACCTGGTGCAGATGTGCATGAGCCAGCCCTGCAAGCCTGTCTTATAGAATCGTTCGAAGAACCGCCCGATGTCTTTGAGCTTTGGGTCACTGGCCCAAGGCCCCAATGGCAATTTGACCTTCTGCTCTTGCACATCCACAAAGCCAGCTTCCTCAATCAGGTGTTTCATCTTCATGGAGATGTGGAAATCCCTCCCAGTGGTCCTTGCCATGTCTTCGGCGGTGTGCCTTAGTTTCATGATCATACTGCTGTCTGCTGGCTCATTAGGGTCGTCCGTCTTCGCATTGATCTCTATTTCATATTGTTCAATCCAGCCGCCGGACCTCATTTTCCTGGTCACAGTCAGTACATGTGATGTGTGAGAGGAGAAGCAAAGCGCGTAGGTGCGAGACAGCGATTGCCTGCGCCACTCAACTCACTCAAAGCATTGTTGGTACACAGGTTTCCAATCTTTCACGCCGACAAAGAGGTTTCGGATGTGGACGAGGTCGAACAGCATATCAGGGTTGTCGAGAACCCAGTCATCCGTGACATCCTGTACGATAAAGGAGCAATTCGGCTCAACTGAGAGGGGATGGTGAATTGTATCGAATCCTATAACCTCAGCGTTGGGGTATCTTTGGGCTACACCTTCGGCCCAGAAGCCCGAACCAGTCCCCACGTCTGCGATACAGCGCAACCTAGACTCATCGATAGGGGACAGGAAGTACCTGTCCCCAAGAAGAAGCAAGATAACGTGGTGAAGGGAGGCCTCATTTTCCTTCGAGACTTCGTCGTAGGGAAACGGATGGCCCTCCTTGTACTCGTGATAACGACGACCATGCTCGACGCGGAAGTTGTGGATCGATGAGGCCTGGGAGTACGCGGAGTCTGCGACATCTTCCTCTTCGAGAACCTCGAACCCTCCATACTCCGTATCAACCGGAATGCCACCTGGCAAGTTGAGATCCTCCATCTTTTTTTCACTCTCAGTCATCACCAACTTGCATAGTCCTGGCCCGAACGAATACAACCAGTCGTAGCAAAATAGCCACAGAAAAAGGCAAGACGAAAAATTATCTGTAGGTTAATGAACTGAATTCTCTGATGTCGCGGTGAACAAAGAACGAGATATCAAATGATCCAGTAGTGGGAGAAGGGAGGCAGCAAAGCATAATGAGCGAGCCACTGCGAGAACAGCCTGGTTAGCCAACTGGCGCCCTGGAAGTAATCCTGAAACGAGGTATTTCGGTGCGAGAGTGGGGATCAGACGGATCATTGCTAAGTAAGATAGAATCATAGCAGGCAGACCAAGAGGGTCATAAAGTTGTGGATTAGACCTGTACGGTTGGGTTGTCATACCGACTAGCTGGAAAGCATAGGGTTGAATGGATCTTTTTCAATCTCGGATCAACCCACTTGGCATTGTCGCGGCGAATGTGCGACTACGTACCGAGAATGAGGGCTCGATCGCGGCATCGTACGAGCGGGTGACGAGATAACAACCGATCCGAAGGATCGAGACTTTCAGTAGGACCATGGTAAAACGTGGACTTTAAGAAGGACGGATGGGAGAGGGTCAAAGGAAAGTGGGCGAAGGCGCCCGGAGGAGAAGCCTGGATGTGGTGGATGAGTGGAAGGGGCTCGGACCGGATAAGCGACAATAGTTGGTGGACTGACTCGACGAGGAGATACGTAACTAGTACCACGGCCCCAGAGCTTGGACAGAGTGGGAACCAGAGCGAGACAAAGACGGTGATGGGATTTGTGCAAAGCAGGAGCGCAGCGTTGGTTGGTTTTCACTGCTCGGTGAGAGCAAAACTAAGTTAGGGAAATTCCGCAACGCCACGATGGAAGGCTTCTGGGAGGCTAAGCGCGGGTGCGAAGTGCTGGGCGAGTATTGCCGGAGCCCGCCTGGGTCATCAGAGTGAGGGAGGAGTGATGGGTAGGTGACGGGCAAGTCAACGGTTACGCAACATAATGCAAGTGATGCAACTGTCAAAACCCCCGGCAGACGTTGAGCCCTGTCACTTTTCTCGGACGGTCGAATCACAAGGGCATCCAGTCTGTCGGCGTTACTCTGTGTGCTGTGTCAGTGTCTCTGGCGCACGACTGGGCGCATTTCTCACCCTGTCATGGGGCATTCCTTCGCGCACTGCGCATGAGGAATGCGTCGATGATTGGCGCCCCCCCCCCTCGAAGCTCGGCTCTACTTGTACTTTGCAGCTCTGCAGCTCTTTACAGATAGTTGGTGCAGTGTACGTACGTGGCACAGGACGCGAGGCGTGGTCAGACCTCGTGCGCACGGTTTGCTTTCCAGAAGGGCCTCAAGGGTTTCCAACAACCCGGCTCGTGGGTTCCCTGATCAGCGAACCCAGAACACCCGGCTCGTGTTTCGGCATCAACGGACTCCGTGGCTAAACCTGAGGCGTGCGCTCGTCTCCTCCGTCGATTCTGCTAGGCGGATTTGGCGCCTCTCTAAGCCTTGATGGAGAAGGACGCTCAACATCGCAAAGTAGCCTGATTGGTGCCGAAAGTTCGTTATTCGCTTCAGAGCCCACCGGCCCGGCATTCTGGTACGAGTCTAACGGGTCAGGGATAGAAGCCATCCACCCGCCCAACCGTTTTCACACTCCCTCCCTGTCAACTCAGCGCTGCCGCCATCGTCCTTGCAAACACGATCCTTGATGGAGCAGACACCAGACTCACGTATGTGTTCGTTGCAAAGGCATTCGGAGATCGGATCATCTTAGGACCTTACTCTGATTATCGTCTTCTGCAAGTGAGGTTAGGATGTGCCTTTGTTCTGCAGGTCCTGACGCCCTTGGCTCCTTCGGATTTCTGCCGTGTAACATTGGCAAAGCTACTGGAGAAATCGGTCGCTTGTGTTGATCAGTACTGAAAGCTGCCGTGGGTGCTCGTCTACGGAACATGACTACGAATGTGCAGGGGTGCAGAGAGGCAACCCAGTCTTGGTGGCTGTCTCCCTCGACGACGTGTGGCTAGCACAGCTCTCTCAGAGCGCCTTCCCGAACCGAGGGCGAAAAAGGCTCCAGGATCATCGGCTGATCTTTTTACTACGCATGAGTTTCCCGGTTGGAGCAAGAGATTTCCGAATATGTGAGACCAACTCCCATTTGGAGTCGCTGCGACAATTTAGGAACTACTCGCACGATAAGTCAGGATCTCGCTTAGATTTCTCAGTCGTGCGAACTTGCTTTCTCACTCTTGAGATGACGGAGGCCGGCGCGCATCATCCAGACAGATTTGATCAGACTGGCTCTGTTTTCTCAGCGTGAATTCATGACGATCGTGGGCGATCCAGCTTGCGATCACCTAGCACTCGCATTACACGCGTTCCGAATACCGGTAGTACAATGGAGTACTCGTAACGTTCTTTCTCATTCTTTTGGCGATCTGCAGGAAGCCGAAAATTGATCCCTAGCCTCCTGGAGGCAACCTATCGCTATTTGACACATCTTCCACTGACTGAGCTGACTGCTCAACTATTCACAGGCTGCTTCACCTGCCAGCCTCCTTCTAGGCGGAATTTCCAAGCTCATTAATGAGACAAACCAACTTTACACCGGAATCCTGCAAATTTACCCGAATCAAAGCCGGCCAGGGCCAGAAACCGTTCCCGAAACCATTAGGGCACAAGCTCGCAAGAAGCACAACCGCCCGTCCACGGACTCCACCCAGGGAAATCGTCCCGCATCTAACCTGCCTAATCGTTGATAGCTGGGCGCAGAAAGCAACGTGTATATTGAGAATAGGGCCATTGCTTCATGACAGTATTAAGCTTCGGATTTGTCGGCAGGAGCTTGCTTGGTTCTCTTCCAGAGACAGACAGTACTCACGGCTGAGAAAGTGAACAGAATGCTGGAACATACAGTCAGACATGCAACAAGAATGAGACGTATCCAAATCAAACTTACCAGAGCGCAATACTTAACCCCCAGATTGATTTCATCTCCAGACACGTGGCTTTTGAAGTTCCGATCCATTGGGAATAATTGACGACACCACTTTTGTTCAGGCTGTTGCCGAGTGCCGAAGTAAAGTCATACGCGCTTGAAGTGGCGTTCGAGATTTCGTCAAGGACCGTGCAGTTGAGATAGGAAAGCGGCTTTCCTACCACGACTGAAACGACAATAAGAGCAATCAGGAAAAGAGCGTCGATGCCGGAGCTGATCAGGAAAGGAAGGATGCCATCGAAATAAAGAATGACGGTGATGGCGCAGTACAGCACGGCAATGCAGACCTGCGGAACAGTCAGTATAGATAAGACAACCCTTTTTGGCAGCGCTTACGATGCTCAGGATCGCAACTATAACTGATGGCGGAGTTGCACCTGCGCTGACCATTTCAGAAATGAAGTTGGCCGTGATGCCAATGACAGCGATCATCGATACCATCTGAAGAACTCGTGTGGCTTTGAAGGTCGCCCCGAGGACACCGTGATCGGGACCCATGCTGAGAATTGTTCGAAGACAGTGGCAAATATACAGTCAAAGTAAAGAACGTGGCTGCAGATTGAGGTAGGAAAAGAACGTTGTTTATGGCGTCGTGCCGATTGATCTACAGGCTGACAACGAGGAAAGTATAGGCTGAAAATAGCCGAAAGGAATGGTCAATGAATGCTGTTGCGTAAACCACGATGCTTTGACTTGAAGGAAATTCGTTGCAGCCTGCTGAAGAGATGATGAGCTCGACAGCAACAGGACTTACAGCTGGCTTAAGTATTTGCGGCGAAGTCACTCATCTGTCGCTCCGGGGAGCATTGCTGGCTTCAAAAGCCATGTGGCCATGGTTGTAACCAAGGAACAAAGACAGAGACTGTTTCTGCGCGGCGTCGGATGATCTGGACGTATCTCACAGTGGATGGCTGTTGTGTGCCCTCAACAAAGAGGAGGCCGTTTCGACCAGGACGCCAAGAGCTATTTGTGGTAAACTCCATCCACACCTCGGCGGCTATCTTCGCCAACATGGTCTGCAGCCGCCAGCCTGATAGCCATTCCAGTTCCAGCCTCGAGATTCGCGGAAAGCGCCTCTGATCAAACAAGGCTGTGCTGACATGCCCTGATAATGTTTCATTAGGTTTTTCTTCAGGGCCCGGTTGGCAGTCAATATTTTTCGGTGCAGGTGGAACGATGTGGAGATACAGTAGTCGCGAGACGCGCCGATGGGATTCTACAATGGCCGCGGTTTTCAACTGCCACTCGAGTTGACCATGGATTTATGTTGTCAAACAACCGCGTCAAGCTCTGTTATGCTCTACGCAGTACCAGCATTTCCAGTCAAGCGCGTGCGAGGTCCGGGATGCCTCGCAGCTGAATGAATGACCTTTGGACTTTGCTGAGTCTTGGGCGTCGGAGGCTGCCACCTGTTCTTGGCTTCAGACGATTTCCGGGCGAGCCCGAAGGAAATTGATCGGCCTGTGCCCGCCTCCCAGCCACCGGAACCACCAATGGTCAGCTATCCAGGCCTTTGCCTGTCCTCCAACCAATAGACGAGGCGGTTGCCCGCCCCATTTTACCTGCAGTTTTCCAGCTTATCGTTATCAGAGCCTGTGCAAAGCTCAGTAGCATGAAGAACACAATATTTTTTTTCTCCGGCCTTATCACTAAGGTGGAGGGGAGCACTTCGAATCGTCGTGCGTTGGTGAGCTCTTCTCCTCAAGGCCGTCAGTTCTATATACAACTTCTCCGTCTGTGTCAACTCGTCATCTCTGCTCTCACTGAGACTTTGACCCTCTTCTGCTGCATGAAGTCACCTGTCACTGAGTTCCCCACAACACCCTGTCATCAGAAGCACTCCGCATTTTGCTGCACAACATCCCCACTCCACATCCAGCCCAGCCAAGTTCTGCTGGGCGCTGGAGAGACACAGGCGCAAACAACATGTCTCTCACCCGGGTGTCGTCTGTCGATGGCTTCGAGCGAGAGAGGAGAGGCTCGAATGCTTCGTCGCATCGAAGAATGAGCTTCAATCCTTTCAACGACGCAATGCCGCCCAAGGACCGCAGGCCTAGCCTGGTCCCGACGGTGATGATGTACGATGAAGTCTCGAAGCAGAAGCGGATCGGTCAGTGGTCCTCCCTGCTGTGTAACACAAGGAGACTCGCTTACAGGTGGAACAGCCCAGGTCGTCGTTGCCATTATCTACTGTCTTTTCGCGGCTGGAATAGTCTTCGGCTATGCGGCTATCAAACCCGTCCTGATTGATGAAGGAGTCTTCAAGGGCTTATGCACGGCAGAAGAGGTGGAAAAGCAGATATCACCTTGCTACCAGCAAGAGATCCGTCTGAACTTGATGTTCACGGTTGCAGCAGTCTCAACCAATGTGGCTGCTCTGCCCATCGGCACCATCCTCGACAAATACGGCCCTCGAGTATGCGGCATCATAGGCAGCATCCTCCTCCTCACCGGTGCCCTCCTCTTCTCTTTCGCGTCACAGGTTAGCGGTGACATGTTCACACCAGGCTACTTCTTCCTCGCTCTTGGTGGTCCTTTCGTCTTCATCTCCTCCTTCCAGCTCTCGAACACCTTCCCACAAAATTCCGGTCTCATCCTCGCCCTTCTAACAGGAGCATTCGACTCGTCCTCGGCCCTCTTCCTCTTCTTCCGCCTGCTCTATGAATCCACCGGTGGTAGACTCAATACCCACCGCCTTTTCCTCGTCTACCTCGTCGTGCCGATTTTCATCTTCATCGTCCAGGTTTTCATCATGCCGCGCGAATCCTACAAGACCGTGTCCGAAGTTGTCGAAGACGTCGAGGAAGAGATCAACGCGCCTACACCGCCCGAAATCACCGCTGAAGAACAAACAGTGTACCGCGAACGCAGACAGTCAACCATCGAAGAGATTACTGCCCTGCTGGATAAGTCGACCAACAAGAAGCGGCAGAAGAGAGAGGAGAAGAAAAACACAAAGTCCGGTGTCTGGGGCGCTATGCACGGATATTCCGCATTCCAGCAAATCAAGTCCCCCTGGTTCGTGCTCATCACGCTCTTCACAGTCGTCCAGATGACGCGGATCAACTACTTTGTCGCCACGATCCGTCCTCAAGAGCGGTACCTCTTGGGCTCCGAACGCAGGGCCAAAATCGTGAATGATTTCTTCGACGTGGCACTGCCGGTGGGTGGTGTACTGAGTATCCCCTTCATTGGCTTGCTGTTGGACAACACGTCGACGCCGTTTGCGCTGGGATTTTTGGTCGTGACGGCCACGGCCATTGGGATTTTGGGCTGTTTGCCATACATGTGGGCTGCCATTGCTAACGTCTGCTTGTTTGTCGTGTACCGGCCGTTCTACTATACCACTGTCAGCGACTACGCGGCCAAGGTGTTTGGTTTCCAGACGTTCGGTAAGGTTTACGGCCTGATCATCTGCCTGGCGGGACTGTTCAATTTCTTGCAGTCTCCTCTCGACGCAGCCACACACAAGGTCTTCCACGAAAACCCTATACCGGTCAATGTGATCCTACTGTCTTTGGCAGTTGTTGTCGGCTTAGCCCTTGTGAGTTTTACGGGGTGGAAGGCTCGGACGATGCATAGGGATATGTTGGAGGCCGAAGCGGAGGGCGCGAGGGAGACGTTGATGCCCGATCCGAGTGGGGCTTCGAATGGCTACGGCACCTCAGCCTGATATACCAGGAATTGAGGCTGGACAAGCATGGTATTTGTACAGATCTTCACAGCGTCGGCGCGACGTGCTGCCCTGGGCCTGGGAAGGAGTTTTGGATCTAGTCGGCCATTGCACGACATGATGATCATGGAAAAAGTCAGGGATGTCTGTGTGAACACTCGGCTTGGGTGGCACTCCTCCGTTTTCCACGATAAGAGCTGCATAGCACGGCGCCGCTCTAGGATGGAATTTTGACAGACATTGTCGAGGGTGAGAAAAGATTTCCCACCACGTAGGTGACGGAATCTTATATCGATAGCGGATTGGAACAGATCGTAGGAGAAGACAAGCAAAAAACATCAGAGACATCAACAAGAGAACAGTTTCGTCCGTGAACGACTCGAGAGTTTTCAACCTAGAGGTTCGGATATTGAGGCGAAATTGTCGAATCTTGATTTAGAGCAATGTTATCAACACTTTGCTGGGCGCATCTTCTCCGTCTGCCTATAGGGCGCCCACAGTTGGCGTATTTTGGGCTCCATTTCTCCCGGCTCGATCAGGTGCAGGTCATTGCCAAAGGCTGACCATACAGTCCGCATGTGGCTCGGTGGTCTCGGTTTCATGATCCGTTATGAGTGCTCCGAAGCTGAAATCTAGCCCACCCAAACCGACTACGTTGCCGTCCGTTCCATCAAACGGGGACAGCATAATTGCCATCTCCTTTCGTCTCAGTCGAGATTTTGTACAGTTCATGTTAATACACATAGAAAGCCGGCGAACGGGCCCCCAGTCGTCTCGGTAGAAGATATGGGGACGGCCTGGTTCGAACCGGCGCGAGGCGGAGAGGAGTGGAAGGGTGTGAGAATCGTAGGGTGGCTAAAAACCAGGGAGGAGCATCTCGCTCCATTCCGAGTTGAAGAATGCAATGGCGGCCTGTAGATGAGAAAAAGTCAGCGCGAGTTCACTGCGAGAGAGCTCAGATGCATAGTTAATGTGAATCGTGTCGCAATGCAATTGATATGGCTCCTTCCACCAAAGGTTAATTCGGTAGACTTGGGGCAAGACTCGACACTCGCCGCATCGCATTGCTTTGTCTTGTGCGCCCAGGACCGGAAAGCCGGCAAATTGAACCAGATTCTCGAAGTGGTGGAAATTCGCAGTTGGACAGTCAGACCTACCCCGAACATAGCAACACTGATGACCACGCTGGCGTTCTCCTCTGATGTCAAGGTTTGATATACCTGGCCGAAGTAGCCCTTGGGCTGGGCTCTGCTGCGAGCCGGCTGAACTTGAATGCGCTTGGGAGGCATTGTGAGACTTTGGATGCGGGAGATAGTCGAGGGGTCGTAAGAGGTGAAAGTTAGAGAGTTGTTCACAGCATGGATGGGAAGAGATGCAATATCGGGCCAGGTCAATCAGTATCGAGCTGGGAAATTTCTGGTACGGTGAAGTATTACTGCAAGTCAAGCAGGTGACCGGCTTGAGTAGGGCGGATCATTACTTATTCTATGTGCTTCCCGAATCCAAGCTCCCGCCTGCCTCGCCTTCCTCACCTCCCTTCGCCTACCAATCCAACTACTTCCTCGACGCTATCGATCTTTTCTGCTTCCTTCGCTGTAAATATCAACCTGATCCTTGCTTCTCTATCCTGCTTCGCAACGTGCCATTCGGGTGGGTGCCCTACCATCTTGTCTTCAACACCAAGTCGCTCAGCGTCTGCGTTCACCCAGTCAACGAGGTCTTTTACATATGCTTCTTCAGCCCCAGGCGCCTTGAATCTGTGGAACTCCCTCCCTAATCCCTTGGTCCTCGCTTTCTCGTCGTACTCTCGGCGCATCTCGTCATATCTTGGCAATTGCGCCTTTCCGCTCAGTACTCTTTCTGCGACCTGACCTTGGAACTCGAAAAGTGAGAATGTCGCGATGTGGTACGGGACTCCGATGAAGATAAGTGACGGATCCTCGATGTAGAACATGTCCTTGTGCAGATTGTGGTTCATGTTCCCCTCTGCCGTCACAAGCACCGGCTGGTTTGCCTGTCCCGCTGAAATGTCATCGCGGTGCAGGTGCGGTAGGAACGGATACGAGGTTATGTAACCTGTGCAGAGGATGACGGAGTGGATATCGCACAGCGTCTCTCCATTCTCCAAAACTACCTTTCCGGCAATGGGCTCGGAGGACTCGTCCCGGATGCCACGCTGGCTTGCCTCCAGCTCGAACGATCTGATGGCACCCACTCTGGTGATGCCTTCTGGTAGAAAGCTTGCCGGGAGGTCGAAAAGCCCGCCTCGAGCACTCTGATATATGTGCCTGGCAACTCCTACGGATTCCCTAGCAATATCTGCCGCCGACACCCCGGCTCCGAGCAAAAGAACATTTTGATCTCTGCATATCTGAGGACTTCGGTATCTCTTCGAGTGCCAGACTCTATCCGGATATGCACGTTTCCACTCGCTGAGACCAGGATAATCAGGTATTCGAGCCATGTGGTAATGGCCTGAGGCCACCACGACTGCATCAAAAGTCCAATGGCGCTCTACCAGTCGCCAGCCCGGTGTCGCTGTCTTCTGCAAGCGTGTCGTGCGCACCAACCATCGGCCTTCATGTTTCCTCACTTCCTCGACACGAGTTCGATAGTGTGTTACTGCATTAACACCTTGCTGCTCTGCGATGCCCTGTATGTACTCCTCGAGGACGTTCTGGGTGACAAAATCCGCGGTTCCTGCCGGCCATGACGCCAGGCTGACTTTCATCTCTCTCGTCGAGACATTATTCTTGAGTCCGGCATAACAAGGGCCAGGCGGCGCATGGATGATCTCCAGCTCGTCGATATCCTCGTCTTCCGGCGGAGGGGTACGGTATGCAGCCACCGGGATTGGCTCATAATCACCTCTCGACGGGACCTCGCTTGGATATGGCGACGGATCGTGAGCGACCCGCTCGTCGAAATGCCACACTCCGCCAGCAATACTTGACCTCTCGAACGCGACTACTTCCAGACCGGCCTTCAGAAGATGTGCTGCTGCGCATACCCCGCTGATCCCTGCTCCGATCACGGCGACCCTTTTCGGAGCGTCTCTGGTCATCTGGGACATTGTATTTGACGGACGGACGAGCTCTTGGACAGTCCTACGCAAAATTCATGGAGAGAGATATTGGCATATACTGGCGTCTCATGTCAGCCCGCTCGTCTGCAATTGGCCGCATCTAGAAGTCTTGGAGGCACCGTTATTAGCTTGATGTTCGCAGCTTGTATGAGGGTGGGAATCAGCAAATATCCTCGTCTAAGCACGCAATATTGGGTAATTATCGCCTGCGGGATATCATGATCTTTTACGACGTGTGATTCATGCGAGCTTGGGGTGCATTATCTCCAGCTCATTTTCTGTATGGCTGACAAATCTATCGATTCGGTGTACTGGTACAGTCACTTATCGAACGCAACTGTATGTGGACGTACCCGCCTGCTCGAGACCGGAAAGTGGCATTGCTTGACTTTCCTCACATTGGAGGGTGTTCATGGTGCCGTTCAGGAAGCTGGGTACAGGTCAGCTTACGAGCTTATCAGGCCTTCACGCACTGTCAGAAAGCCCCCCTGCCATCGGGCACCGCCAAATGTGCTTGACCGTATTCAAGCAACAGCACCCATCTTGGCCTTCTTCGCCAATTCCCTCTTCCACAGCACTCTGATCACGAGAGAGATGATAATCATGCCAGCAGCGAGGCATGCAGAGGTTACAAAGCCTTTGTGATACCTTGGTGCGTCGATCTGCTGCCAGACCACCAACGGCAACCAGGCTTGGAACACATACGCCAGCTCGTTCATGGTTCCGACAACGATCGCCCTTTCCTCATTGTCATCCGAGCAGACCTCATGCGCCCAGGCCATGCAAAGTCCACTCAAGCCACCGCCACAACCGGCGATGATATAGCACGCCCAGTGCCAACCCGTCGGAATATCCCAAAAGGCCAGACTCGCGTAGGCGATGATGGAGACCACGCCGCCAAAGACGATTGGTGGCCACCTGGCACCACGGAACACGCTGTCCGATGTCCAAGCATACGCGAGCGTACTGACGATCTGCACGGCATAGGTTGTCGTGGGATATGTATTGATCTGACCAACGGTGTATTTTGGGTTCACTGAATCCTTGAGATACTGTGCAAAGGTAGGTTGGGTGACTCCTGAACCGGCGTTGTTGAACGTCATGTACAGCGTTGCTAGGGTGTATATATGCCACGAGGTGAAGATCCTTTTGAACTTCGCTTTCGTATATGGCGCGCGCTGTGCGCGACCCTCCAGTTGCATTCGCTTCTGTGCAAATAGGCGTTCTTCAGGTGTAAAGTACCAGGCCCGAGTAATCTCCGGCACGTCTGGGAGAAGGAAGAATCCCGATATGGCGATGGGCAGAGAAATGATGCCGTCCACAATGAACAACCACTGCCATCCGCGGTATCCCCCCTTTCCTCCGAGATGATAGACGGCGGCCATGAGATATCCAGAAAACATCGACCCGATGGCAGACGCGGTGTGGAAGATGCATGACCGCTTCGCAAGCTCGTCGCGGCGATACCACGACCCGATGATGTACTGCATTCCAGGGTAGAACGTTGACTCGGCCAGACCGATGAGGAATCGAAGTGCATATATCGAACCCGCGGAGTTGCATTTGCAAAGGCAAAACGTCAATACGGTCCATGTTAGTTCCATCGCAGGAATCCAAATGGATGGTCGGACGCGAGTCAGGATCATATTGGCTGGAAACGACATGTCAACGCTCGGTCACCAGGTGTTTCCAAGACAAGAACTTACAAGGTACCTCCCCGATCACATAACCTACAGTCCAACAAGTTTGCATATAATTGAGCTGATTCTTGTATAACCCTAGATCCTCCTTCATCCCCGACACGAAGGCATTATTGATGTTGATCTGATCTAGGTACTTGATAAAGTACCCCAGCGTTGCGAAGGTAAGAACCGCCGCATCGAGCTTGAACATTAGGCGGCGTTCTTCAGGTGACTTGTCCAACGTGTCCCAGATGTAAGACTGCCATTTGCGCGTCGGCTTCGCTTGGATCGGGTTTGAGAGATCCTCCTCCGACCTCGTTGTGGCTCCCACGATGATGCCCGGGTTTTCTTCAAAGCCTTTGATGTCGATCACTTTGCTGTCCCCATGGAGTGCCATTCTTGCCGACCACAACAGGCTGGGTCCTCTGGGCTCCGATACTGATTGCATGGTATTCCCGGCTTCCACGGGGGGCTTTTAAAGCTTCTCTTACTTGAGTTCTTGACCAGTCCGGCTTGACATTCTTGGCTGGAACACACCAAGCTGGGGTTCAGCCCACTCGATTGCACCTTTTGCTTTATGATTGCGTGCTGCACATCCTTTCTCTACCATCAACTCTACATGCCACACATGCTTGTCAATGCTTGATAACAGTGCGTTCGAGCCATCGTGCGACGTGCGCCATTAGTCACGCCAGCGAGAACGTCCGCCCTTTCAGCCTCTGCCCATTGAGAATCATCAGAACAGCGGCACGGCCCCATGCAGATATACCCCGGCATGTACCATGGTCCACGCTAGGTCCAGAAACCTCCAACATACCACCTGCCCGTCCTGCCTGTCTTGCATGGAAATCCTACAATGATAGTTGGAGGAAAGTGGACGAATAAAGGGGTATAAGCACGCCATCATGCGGAAGACACGTGATCCTCCAGATGACCTTATTGCACCACCGTTGCGACACATCAGCTTCGAATCTCGACCACATGCGACCTTGCCAGCTGAACCGATAAGGGACCTGCGTGAGCGGGGTAAGAATGCAAACTCGACGACAACGCGGCACCGTGCTGGTGTTATCTCCGTCCGGCTCGTGGTTCAGGCTCGCTCCTCGCATGGTAGGCCCATCCTGTATATGCAACTAGGTATTTGATTGTGTGCCGACTGGACTAACTCAACAGCCGGCAAGTACACGCCATAGGGGACTATGATCTCGCAATCTTATAAGCGTGGGGGACGAAACATGTGTCGAAGTGGATGGGTAAGCGAGCCATGTTCACCAAGGATTCTCGATTGCAAGAGAGGGACCGGACACCCGCGGCGTGTTTTCCGAGGATTGAAAAGGCGACACAAATACTCAGCAGCCCGGACAGGTGTTTCGAGTCTTGAACCTTTGCTTGAACCTTTCTTTCTCCCCAGACGTTGCTGCCTAGGCGTCACGACAGCAAACCATGGCACCTGCTCCAATCGAGCCCACCATAACCGACTTTGTGGTCCCCAAGAAAGACACCCTGGGACTGCCCGACCCGGCATACAACCGTCTCAAGAAAGCCGGCATCGACCTCAGCGAAGGCTACCCTTACCGTCCCAACCGCCCGCTCTACCTGCAAGACGTATACAACATTCGAAACCAAGACCGTCCGCACAACGATGCCGGCGCCCGTGCCGACAAGTCTAAATCCGCCCTGTTGAGTGCCGCGACGAAAGTCACAGACCTGACCGCCTACATTGGCACCGAGATCGAAGGACTGCAGCTGAAGGACCTGACGGACCAGCAGAAGGACGAGCTCGCCCTGTTGATCGCGGAGAGGAGCGTCGTGTTCTTCCGCGACCAGGACCTTTCGCCCCAACAGCAAAAGGAACTAGGTGAATACTACGGCGAGGTGGAAGTTCATGTACGACTTTTCACTGTTTTCCTCTCCGCTCCCCACTCCCACTCCCCTTTGGAGCCTCTCTGATATTAACGTGACCTCCCCGTCCTTCGCAGCCCCAAGTGCCTCAAGTCCCCGGCATTCCCGGCGTGACGGTCATCTGGCCTGCTCTCCAGGCGCAAGAATCCGCCGCCAGCTTCCGCAAACCGGGCGGCGCCTCACGGTGGCACACGGACCTCGTGCACGAGCGCCAACCGGCCGGCATCACGCACCTGCACAACGACACCGTGCCCCCCGTGGGCGGCGACACGCTGTGGGCCTCGGGCTACGCGGCCTACGAGAAGCTGTCCCCGGCCTTCCGCACCATCATCGACGGCAGGTCCGCCGTCTACCGCTCCGCTCACCCTTACCTGGACAGGGACAACCCGACGGCCGGGCCCAAATATATCGAGCGCACGCACCCGTTGGTCAGAGTCCACCCGGCGACGGGCTGGAAGGCCCTGTGGGTGAATCGCGCCATGACGGACCGGATCGTCGGGCTCGATCGGGCGGAGAGCGATTTGATCCTCGGGTATCTGTGCGATGTGTATGAGGGGAACGTGGACATCCAGGTGCGCTTCCGCTGGACGCCCGGCACGAGCGCCTTGTGGGATAATCGGATCACGGTGGGTCTCTGTTTCCCCCTCTCTCAGTGTGTGTGTGTGTTTGTGTATGTGTCTGTGTCTGTCGGTGTCGGTGTATACTGATGTCAGCCTTTGCGGCGGGCCCCTCAGATCCACAACGCGAGCTGGGACTATGCGGGCGCGTACCCCCGGCATGGCACGCGTGTGACGTCCCTCGCTGAGAAGCCTTACTTTGACGCGAACGCCCCGACTAGAAGACAGGCGTTGGGCCTACTGGGTCCGGACGAGCAGCAGGTTGATGGCATTTTGGTGGATGGATAGTCTAATCAACTTAGTTAGTCAATGATACATACGGCGCTGCCGCTCTGAAATCTCAAGCAGGTAGGAAGGTAGGTATGTAGGCAGTCGTGGCAGGTAGCTAGCTCTCGTCCTGTCCTCCACTCTGATACAGTATCAATGGGGGAATAATCGTAGTCACTGTTGCTATCACGCCACGTCCATAGCCCGTTCGGTGGTTAGAGTTTACCTATTACTGCGTCCGGTTTGGGAGCATCTCGTTGTTCGAGGCTTGAGATTTGGCCCTCATTTGCTGGTCCTGGCGTCCGACTGTACGGACAATTCTGCGGGCTGCCGACGCCTCGCAATATATGTTTGTATCTCAAGAAGCAACTGAGATGGAGGGCGTGTCACGTTCATATCACAACACGGCTCATGGCCCGCTCCTCGCCCACCTTTCCGGGTCCTCCACTTTTGCTCTCCTCATGGATGGGCATACGCTTTTCGAACGCTTGACTTCTCATGGACCCGCTCCCATACATATGACGTCGACAAAATCTTCAATGACGAGCATGGCTCCTCATGTGCAGAACAAGAACGTCTCTCCGATCCCTACGTCTATAATAGCAACCCAGCCATTGGCAGACAGGTTCGAACGTCCCGTTGGCTCTACGACCCACGTGGTCTTCACACAGGTGTTCCTAGGACGCCAGCTGTCAGCCAGATGTCTCGATGGTTAGATGGACGGGGATGAGAACTCACGTAGAGGGCGGCGGAAGCGTCGAAGCTTCTCCCGCAGCCTTGCCATTGGCAGACGATGGTCGACGGTACATCTTCATGCTCACTTGCAGTCTCTTCCTCCTCTCCACCTTCGTCGGTAGTGGTGGAGCCGGTCTCCTTCTCCTCCTCATCGCTTTGATCCCCACGAGCTCCGGCAAGCAATCTCAACTTCCCGTCCTCTTCTAGGCTCACCAAGCCTTCGAAGAGAGACATCACTTTCGACCGTGCCTTGCGACTCTGCATGAGAAACTGCAACATGGCGGCATCGCCAATGCAGCTGGTGGCGAGTTTCAGGATCCGGTTCGAAAAGGCGGTTGCGCTTCGGCCGCATCTGTCCCTCTGCTCTAGGATTTCCTGGCGTTTCTGCTCCCTCAGCTCCTCCTGCTCCGCCTCGCTCATCTCGTCCCATCTTGTGCGTGGATCGGAAGCTATCACTTTCATCACGCGGCGCAGAGCCCGCACGTCGGCCCTCTCGTGGAGCATGAGAAGGGTTTCCATGAGGGGCATTTCGGCGCGTTTCTGGCGGCTGCGTATCGCCCACTTGGTTGTCGAGTACTCGTTGGGATCCTTCTGGGGGATGTTGAATCTAAGGAGTCTGCGGCCGCGGCCGGACTTCTCAGGGACGATGTCAAGGAGGACGTCTTGCGGCATGCTGGCGAAGACCTCGCGGATGGCGGAAGGGACTTGCTCAGGACGCACGCGCTCAGCCTCATCGTCACGGCTTCCCTCCTCAGAAACGTACGCTGGAAGAGTCTGAGACGGTCTCGCGGATGAGTGGTGCTCGACTGCTGAAGTGGAGAGTCTTGTGGGTCGCCTGCCACTACTCCTACGTGTCATTCCTCTTGCGCCCCCTGACGGCCTCCAAGGGCCGTCTTCCGATCCAAGTCTCGCACGTTTCTGTGGTGGTCGGGGGGATTCGGAGGAGCGTGGTGGTGATTGGACTTCAGATGCGTTACGTTTGATGGCATTTGATGTCCAATGCGTATCTTGTGATATTGCCACCGTCGCAGCGCCATCCTGAATTGTGTGAGTTGACCGACTAGACCTTGTGACCTGAACGGTCTCTTCTGGGTCTTCTTCGTGTACTATATCGCCTTGGGTTTCATCGTCTAACATGGTGTCCCTCGTGACAGGTTGTGTTTCCGGGTCCAAATGGGTGCCGTCCACGAGCGTCGTGGATATGAGAGCGGATGTGGTTGGGGATGTAGTTGAATATCCAGAATCAGTGAGTGCTCTACTGTCGCCCTTCAAGGTCGCAGGAATGTAGAGATCGGAATAGGCACAGATAATGCCTCGTCTTATACATCTCTGGCAGGGCAGCATCTGCAAATTAGTCAGTTAACAACCATATCCTCAGTTGGAATGGATAGTGCTTGAGACTCTGGCGGCACGGATATAGAATATGGAGTGGACTCACAGCGTCACAGGGGCTGTGGCACTTTGCACACCCATTGCAAAAGACCATTCGTGTCTCTTTGGGGTCGGCATTCTGCATCCGCACCTTTTTCACGCCAGAAAGGCCATGTGCTGAAGTCACAGATGCCGTAAGAGAAGTAGCGGAAGCGCCCAAGTTCGCCGATGCTCCTTTGGCAGCACTTGCACTACCTGCTGCGGGAACATGGCGTGTAGAGTAAGAACAAAGATGGCCAATACCTCGGATTTCGCATCGATCGCAGGGAAATGTAGAATCACATGTGCTATGACATTTGGTGCACTGGTTACAGAATACTCTCCTCGTATCAGATGCGTCAGCGTTCGTCATGCGCACCTTGGTGCTGCGCCCAGTAATGGGAAGAGAAGCAACCGGAGTTTGATGTGATTGTGAAGAGGACTCGGAAAAATGGTCAGGAGAAGGGCCTCGTCTACCACGAGGCTTCGTATAAATGCATTTCTGGCCTTGGCCGTGGGTAACGCAAGCATTGCAAGGAACCATACCATCGCAATCCCGATGATTGGATGCACACGGTCGACAATCGAAGGGTTGCCTCGTAGGTCCATCGGCAGCATTGGAAGCACCTTTTGGCATGTGCTTGCAAGCATCCTGAGAAGCGGCAGTTGAAACCGGAGCCTTTGCAGGAAGGGGGTAGAAACTTTGGGCTGTGAGAGTAGGCACCGGATCCACGATGCCCCATCGAAGCAGCAGACGCCATCTATTTCTAAGTGTTGATGTGGCTGGCCCCAAATTCAGGCGTTGTTTGATCTGCGTACTCGTCAAGCCTTGTCGCTTCCCTTGTATTAAAGCGTCATCGTACGGCTGAGGGTGGTAATTGCCGCGAGCCGTTGAGGCAACCGAGGGATGGAGCTTCTCAAAACCATACTCAGAACCATCTGAGTCTGTCTCTGGCATGGTTTCTTCGGCCGAGTCAGGTACACTTAGCTCGGTCTTGTGCGACCTCTCTAGCAGATGGGCAGCTGCGTTAGCCTTTTGGACCGACGCCTGGTTTGTTGTTACCTCGCGGATGGATTGCTTCTCTTGGACCGCGAGTTGCACATCACTCTGCCTTTTTAAGTTGGACTGTGACCGACGTACCGGCGGCTTCGCGTTGGGGTCGTAGCAGCGCTTGCCGTATTTGACACAGAACTGGCAGGGTCGCCTACCATTGCAGCTCAGCCTGCTGGTATTACAGTGTTGGCATTTCTTCGGAGAAGAAGCAGTATTGGAGTCGGAATCGCAGAGATCCAGATACTTCATGGTGTGAGAGGGCTTAGAAGACGACCATTGTTGTGGATCGCCTCCAACATCCGGATTGGGAAGGACATCGCTGAAGACCAAGTCCTTGTTGTGCTGTGAACCATGGTGGCAAGTGATACCGGTTTGGACTAGGTCGCTAGACGGCTCTAGCCTCCCAGGTTCATTGGTAGCTGGCACCAGCTCAATCCTTCCTGAATCATGAACCAGAAAAGGCCCTTTAGGTGTAACTGACTTGGAATATCGTGGAGATGGAGTGGTAGGCAATTGCGCGTGTCTCGACCGGTCACTCATATGGAATTGTGTGCGCGAAGCACGGGCTGAAGGCCAGTGACATCTTCCCCTTTTCGATATCGCACATCTGCCACAGGTGGGCTTCACGCCATCGCATTTCCTCTCGTACCTCAAGCAACGTTCACAGTTTAGATCGATGGCTTCGGAGTTCGTGGCCACGTCCCGTCTGCCATCGGTGCCTGTGCTATCGGCTGGTTCCAGCTCCCTTCGCTCAGCCTGGAGGGAACCATGATTCTTGTCGCCGCCCGTTGGATCTTTCATGAAGCCGCTGAGCAAATTCATGTGTTCAGGGTCCCTGAACTGCTCTCGAACGCTCTTCGAAAGGAAGCCGCTGTCCACGGGCTCCTCATCCTCTTTGTCCGCCTCTAGCCTCCGAGAGACGACCCTGCGATTGTCGGGACTTATGTCTGGTATCCCTTGGGTGGCTCCCTCTTCATCGCTCCCCTCAGAGCAAAGCTCGATGATGTGGGCATGCAGACGCGGGGATGGACTATCGGAGGATCGCGAGTCGTGCGCAGAGCCTTCAGAATCGGACGCTTCCAGATCCGTCCATGCGCCATCGCCATAGTCATCAAGGAATGCGTTAAACGGCATTTTTGTCGTGGTGGGACGTAGACTATGCTGATCTTTCAATAGGTCACGCGTTGCTTGGGACTCTTCGGGCTGCCGCGTCCCCGTAAGTTAAACGAGGGGGTGCAAGGCATAACGGTCGAATGCAAGGACGCCGGAGGCGTCTGCTGTAGGGTAGAAATGTCGTCGAACATGTAGCATGGCACGTCTAAAGGTGGACGCTTCGCGCTGGACATTCGAGTTTCGTTCGTGAGAAGCGTGCACGTTCCCCACGTTGGCGAGGCTGCACAAGGCTAATACTGTGCACTGTACTTCGGAAGACCCTGGCCAGGTTCACACCATTTTTGGCAATTGCCAGGGTCTACGATGTAGTCTCTTAGTCTATTGCGACTCTCGTAGCCGGAAGCAAGTCTAAGCAAAGAAGCAAGCGCTCATTCGTCGTCCACTTCGTCGTCATCCTCAGTGATAGGCTCAACAATCAGGTTCGCCCCCTTTCCCACTCTCTCCCCTATCGAGCCGCCGCCTTGGAGGTCATACACCTTTCGAGGCATAGGAGAGACGAGCCGGAATGAGTATTCATGCTCATATTCTTCCGGCTCCTCCACGTCCTTTTCGTCTTCCGCTTCCGCCTCCCGGGCCTTAAGAATCTCATAGCATTCCACAAAAGCATAAAGTTCCTCCATCTCCGCCTCGGCGCGGAATTTCCTTATTACCCTCTCGCCAGAAGGCATCTTGATACTTACACGTATCGCGTCGTTGACATTTCCGGCTGGCTCGAGAGGAAGAGACTGAGCGCGCCACCTTCTCCACTGGTGCATGTTGCTCTTCTTCTTCTCCGCTAGTCGCACCTGTTCCCGCGCCTGCTCCTCCGCCCTCCTAGCGGCTTCTTCCTCTTCCCTCCTCCGTCTCGCTCGTTCTCGGTCCTGGGCTAGTGATCTTTCATAAGCGGAATCTTGCTCTCTCCGCAGATTCTGAGTCGCTGTACGCTCGGCTTGCTGGGCTCGTGCGGCAGAAAGGGACGCTTGATGAGACGTGATTGCTGTGCCGAGCTTAGCGACCAGTTCTGCCGGAGGCATGGGCCCCACGGCACGCAACACTACCGTCATCTGCCCGCTTGAGCCCGGCTCGGACGACTGGCAGATTAGCGCTGCAAAGGGGAACTTTGTGCACTGTAGATTTGCCGACACCTGGTAGGCTTCTGAGTCTCGTACATTGCCTCCCCACAAAATGAGATCGGACTCGTGGGAGTCGAAGAAGGATTTGAGTTGGGTTGAGAGCAATGTCTCGCGTATATAGGTTGCGTTTTCGTCGTGACTTGGGGACAGAAGCACGACCAAGAGGAACTTCAGGTCTTTCTTTGCGGTGTCGAGGGTGAAGTTAAAGCCGGACTCTGCGAAAGGCAGGAGGGCAGTGGAGCTCCCTCCATTCGTGCTCTCGTCGTTGTGGTCGCCAAACTCTTCACTGAACTCGCGGATAAATCTCCTGGCATTTTCTGCTGGTGGAAGAGCTCTTCTTTGGGTGGGTGTCTGCGTCTGCGATTGGTAAAGTAACCGGTGGAAGAGGCGGGAGAGGAATGTAGGCACCAGAAAACCAAATGGTGATAGGATCGTGCTGAATACTCGGTAGAGGACGTTGACTGGTGTGAAGATGATGGAGAAGAGTGGTGATGGTCGGTACGTCTGCTCGGGAACTGTGCCGCCTGTGTCGACCCGGTGGACTATGTCCTCGGGCTCGATCCGTGATGCTCTATGCGATGGCCGAGTAGCCGCCAGCAGGTTCTCATATTGTAGGTTTGCGGTCTGGCGGGTGGACGTAGTAGGTATTTGCGCCTGCGCCTCTGCGAGAGGATCTGTGGCAGGCTCACCATCGAAGAAACGGGCTATGGCAATCTGTACGTTCCACTCGCATCGTTGCAGAAGAGCGATTGCGGCAATTGGGTCAGCTTGGTCGGTGACGGCGGTGTACGTTTGAAGAGCTTCTTGCTGAGTTGGCGTTAACTGAGAGATGTCCGGGGTCGCCATAGTCGGGGTCCTGTCGAAGGCAAGGGAAACGGCAGGGAGGAAAGTCGTGGTTATCGACATGCGGAAATAGACATGTCTGGCCTCTCTTGTCTTCACCTCTGGCACAGGTATTATATCCTCAGAAACAACATAATTATTTGGTTGGTTGACGACACGGTTCGGAAGAGGATAGGAAGGCGTGTGTAATGCCGCGCAGCTGCGATTATCCCCATCTCCATCTCCCTCCCATTTCCACATCAACCGCACGTACAAAGCAGCGGACTCGAAGACACGGGCCCTGGAAGAGCTGTTGCGCTTGGCCCGTCCCAATCTTTACTTCATCTTGCAGCCGGAGACTGTTCCATCTTCTTCTCGCCTTCTATTCACTGTCCCATTTTGGATATCTTTGTAGAGACATGGATATTTCCCTCGCGCACATCCAGCCAGCCGCACCACGAGCCACGTAGTATAGCAACTGCGCCCCTGCAACAGTTCATTTTCTACTTCTTGTCGCCTACTACTGGAACCTACGTCTCTCTTGCGCGCCCACATGATGCGTTAGGACCGCAGATCTACCTCTAAGCCAGATGGATCATACCACTGCCATGATCCACCTCAGCCAGTAACGACTATGGCCGCAGTGAGCAAGAATAATGCAGAAGACACAAGGCACGCTGCTTTGTCCCCTAGAATCAAAGGCAGGGGTATGTCGACCACAGCGGCCGGAAGGCGTCGCGTTGCTGATGGTTGAGTGACAGAGACCGCGAAGGATACTCTCTGTCGCAATGTCACAATCTACGGAAAATGCCGCTATGAAGACAAAGGTAAACTGAACCACTGTTGATGAGGGTATGGTACAAGGGTGCTCACTCGTCGGCGGTGTAGGGTGTGCCTTCAACCACACGATAGAAAAGCCCTCCTCCGATGCCGGACACATGGATAGGTATCATCAAGATGCACTGGCTCGGAAGCTGTCTTCTAACCCCTTTGACAGTCAAGCCAAAAAGGTGCTTAGTGTCGATTCTCCCAGCTTTACTCCCTCTTTCCTGTCACCGAATGGCGCCGCAACTAGTGTAGCGGCGGCGAAGAAACCAGCCGCTGGCATTTCTCCCAAGGCAGCAAGCGCGGCTCCCTTTATGCCAAAGGCCATTATCTCCAGTGAGCGCAATCCAGTCTCAACCGAGTTTGCCCTCTTACAACTCTCGACAGGGTCTTCCAATGCAACTCCGCTTCGTCAAGATGCCAGGACCCCCGACTGGACCGTGGGTGAGGTCCAGGAATTCGTTCCAAGACGGGTTCAGGATCCCTCGATGGTGGGCTAGAGACCTGCGACTTTCTTTTCGAAGGCTTATAAGAACAGACAAATGAGAACGAAATCCCCGTATCTCATGCTTTTGACACCTTCCAACCGAGCCATGCTCCAAATCCCTACCTTGATCATAGCCTGAATGGAGCTGCGTTCTTTCCCAGCGCCAGTGGCTTTCAGCAACCGGTAAGTAATTGCGATGATGGTGGCTGGCGAGACTCATTGTGATAACAGGTCCAATATCATCAATATGCGCCGATCGGACACTATAATCCAAATCTCACGCAGTATCAACGCAGTGTCCATGACCTATTCATTCCGAACGATCTGCGAGAGGACATTCAGAAGAAATCTGCGGCTGCCTTGCAGACTCTACCCAGTACGCAGCCTCGCCTCGCGTCCCAGTCTGAGCTCACCGTATCTACAGATTCACAGTTGCCCAGCCACATCGAAAGCTACCACTCTTTGGTACCTCTCGACACGAATCACAAGAATTCCAATCTCTTGGGTGGCTACACCACGTGGGTCTACAAGGCTCAATCAAGCGCCAACGGCCACTTCTTTGTCCTTCGGAGAGTCGAAGGCTTCCGCCTGACAAATGAACATGCCATCCGCGCCGGCCAAGCATGGAAAAACATTGTTAACGCCAATGTCGTCCGCATAGTCGACGTCTTCACGAACCGCGGATTTGGCGATTCTTCCCTCTTCGTAGTCACTGAGTACCACCCGCTTGCCAAATCCCTCCTCGAACATCACCATCTGGGTGGCCACGCATTCAATGCACGCCCATCTCGGTCCTCCCACGGTAAAGATCAAATTACCGAACCTGCACTGTGGGCGTACGTCGTCCAGATTGCCTCGGCTCTGAAAGCTATCCATAGCTCAGGTCTGGCTGCACGAGTCCTGGATCCGTCCAAGATTCTAGTGACAGGGAAGAATCGCGTTCGCCTCAATGGAGGCGCAGTTTTAGACGTGGTTCAATTCGAAGCTAACTCCCACACGCCTCTCGCTCAAGCTCAGCGTCAGGATCTCGTTAATTTCGCCTTAGTTATTCTAGCAGTCGGGTCCGGGACTCTTGACGCAGGCCAGAATTTCGCCCGCAGCATGGACGCATTCAAGCGCTTTTTTAAACCCGAACTACAGAATGCCGTTGTGTGGCTATACTCGGCCGTGCAGAACCAAGAGAAGACCATCGACGGCTTCATCACGCTGATCTCGAATCAAATGATCACTGCCTTTAATGCAGCTTTGCATACCGACGACGAACTTTCCTCTCACCTTGCGAGAGAAGTGGAAAATGCACGCCTCTTTCGGCTGATGGCCAAGTTGAACTTTATCAATGAAAGGCCCGAGTACATGAGTGATCAGGCCTGGTCTGAGAACGGCGAGCGCTATTTCCTCAAGTTGTTCCGCGATTATGTCTTCCATCAGGTCGATAGTCAGGGACGACCTGTGATTGACTTGGGACACACGATATTAACACTAAATAAGCTGGACGCAGGCACGGAGGAGAAGGTTATGCTCGTAAGCCGAGATGAGCAGAGTGTGTTTGTGGTGACATTTCGGGAACTCAAGAAGGGCATCGAGAGCGCCTTTCAGGAGTTGGTCAGCAAGAGAGGCGGGTTGATGAGATAGACTCTCCCACGGAGCAAGCCACGAAAATTGTGGCGCCTTCGAAAACCACAACGATCTGCTGCAAGAGTTTCGAGCTGGTGGGCGAACAAGACGGACGCACCCGCGGACTTGATTGCACCAGTGGAAGTGGCACAAACGTAGAGGGAAGGAGAAGGGCTGGTCAGAAGACCGCGGAACAGGCGGGCATTTGGGATGAGGCTGAAGGAGTGGCAGGCTCAATATGCTGCAGGGTCAACCGGTAACCAAAAGGCACCTGGTGCAGAATTGATTACGCCACTAAGGAGCGAGATGCGATTTATAGAAAAATTGAGGCACAGATCACGGAGAAAAAAAATCAGAAAGCATATTTGCACACTTGATCTCAGCTTCTCCATCACAAGGTCGCGTGCTTGCGTAGTGTTCATGACAAAGCGATAATAGAGTGCGAACAGACGCAGAGACAACGGAACTTCAGGATCTGAGTGAGCATCTCTTACGATTGTGATGGAGCCTGCTCCGTGAAATGTAGACCGACCATCCAGGCCTGCAGGAGCCTGTATACTCGGACATGAGATGTCCTCATCAGGAATCGATGCAGGGCCCCAGCATTGCTCAGTCAAGTGAGGATCTGCTCTCAAACTAAACCGGCTCAGCTGAGTTGGCCCGTTGTAGACTTTTGTCGACGCGTCGAACCTTTCCCACCGCGTTCCACTGCGTAGCGCTGATATGTGCTGATCGCATGCTAGGCGATTAAGCAGGGGATGGGTGGGCTGCAACTTTCACAGAAAATCGTGCTTTCATGACTCGGGATTTACTCTTCCTGCTGCTGCTGGAAGGGGTTTTCAATCTCCTCGCTTCCGTCGACAGGCGATATTAGCACGAGTAATGTTCCGCGGGCAACTATGAGCCCGAGGGGTCGTGTTGTCTCGTTGCCCTCGTCATCTGCAAGAGAATAATGTCAGCTTAGATTTGTGTCTACGTTCGCTGGATGACGATGAAAGCTCCAGGTCCAGCGCTGAGCTTACCTCTCATGGTCTCCTTGACATCATCCAATACCAGGTTCATCAACTGATCGTAACCCTTGAGCGTGCCGACAACTAATTCGAGAATCAAGCGAGTCAGTTTCCAAATGTCCCCTTCTCGCACTTGCAGACCCGAAACAATAAGGCATAGGTGCAGACAACATACTTTCTCTCCCACCATTGAACTTGACGTTGATCTGCTTGTCGACATACTTTGTCAAGTCGAGAATGTTCTCCTTCTTGGGCTTCTCCTGTAATCTGTCGGACTGTTGTTGGGCGCCACCGCGGCCACCGCCTCCGCCACGTCCACCGCCTCTGCCGCCGCCTCCCCGGCCGCCTCCACGAAAATGACCTCGCTCCGACATTTGTTGCTCAAGGTGGCTTTTGTTCAATGGCAAGAGGAACAGGTTGTAGTAGTTTGAAGGCGCCTCAGTCTCAAAATGGTTAGTGCCGAAAGGCGCTCTGGTCACCTGAAATCCTGAGCCCGACCAGTCACAAGCAGGAGGAAAGACTATTACGGTTGGGGATCTGTCCGAGTAATTTTTGGCTGTGTGGTCGGAGTGCAATCAAGCCGAACGATGTGCCTGTGTGGTGTGTGACGTGAGAGAGAGAAAAAGGGTAGGTGCAGCTTTCCGCCGAAGTTGGTGTCGGAACATCATTGGGCGGAGCGCCGCCCTTCACGCCACGCGTCTCGCCCTCTCCACCTCTCACTTTGCTCCCTGCACCACTCATTGCGGCCTGCCGCCTCTGCCACGAGAGTCCGCGATGGTGCAGACGGCCAGGGTAGCGGGAAGTCCCTAAACACGCGAAGAAGCTCTGTCGTGCGGATGGTCAATTTCTAGTCCTAAAGCTGAAAGTGCAATGGATCTCTGGGTGCGTTCAGCATCTTGAGCTGCCTTCCTGCGCAGCTCTGGTCATCCGGGTGCTCATGCTCACCACCGACGGAGGCGGCTTCCCGCCCACCGTACTCCGTACAGTAGTTGGAGGAGACGCAGGGGGGAAGGTCGCGATTTTCGACCCCGCGCACCAACCTGAACTAACGTTAGCAATCACCACCACCACCACCACCACCAATTCACGGCTGCCGCACGCATCTGACCCTGAGGCTGCAATCGGAACGGTAACTGCTGTTCTTCCCGCGATCGCACTGGTGTTTCGGGGCCGTCCAATTCCCGCCCTTTCAGCGTCCGTGTTCGCATCCGCGCGTCCTCTGCCTCCCGAGTGGGCGATTGTGACTGGCAGACGGATCCCTAGCCTTTACCTAGACTCAGCGCCAGTATCCCCGCGATGCTGCAAGTGACGGTTTGGCTGCCGTGGCTGCGCGCTGAAGCTGGCGGGCAAGGGCCGGGAGACGATGCTCTCAAGTTCCCGAAATGGTTGGTTGCCGCGCCTGTTTCAACAATCCGCTCCTTCGCCGCTGTCTGTGCTTGCTGCTCCTCACCTGCCTTATTTGCCTTGGATTTTCTGCTCTCGGTGGCCTCAGCTTCTGGTTCCGCTCATCGGCCCTCCTCACGCCAGACCCTAAACCCGTGCCCAAGCTTTCCCACTCCTGCCCACTCTCACATTTTCCACCCTTTTCTTCTCACTCCTCGTCCTCCTTCGCTACGAGCGTGCACACGGCTTGGTATCTGTCTTCGCTCACGGCGCTGCAGCTTGCCAAATAGCTCTGACCATCTCGGGTCAACTATTTCAAGCTGATCCACCAGCTCCCTCCCCACTTTTACCTCCGTCCACACCTCGTCGACCACCGCTCCGCAAGGCTCCCAGCTGAACAAGCACAGCCCGAGCGCACCACGAGCGACTCGGGCTTCTCGACCGATTTGCAGGACACCTCTATGTTGGAGCTGTGCAACCTCAACATCCTCTCACCATGAACGTTGAGCAGACACCCTCGCTTAAGCGTCCGCGCTCGCCGACCGAGCCTCACCCCATCCCAGCCGCAAAGATCCCTCGGACAGCTACGAACCACCTGCAGATCAACTATCTCGTCCGTCAGCACAAGGAGGACATACCACTCGTCACGGTCAACGACACGCTGGGAGAGATTGCTCGGTTGCTGAGTGAATACGACGGAGTCCTACAACGCCATGAAAGTCTGGCGGGCAATTTGGGAGCTCGGCCTGTCGGACCCATCTTGATCAAACGCTTCGAGAAGATGTTCGACGGGCCACCCAAGATCCTGAAGTCCCATGCAAAGGACTCACAGGTAACTTGGTTGGATGTGGCCGAATTTGCTCAGAACAATCCCAAACAGTTCAACCTGGAGAGGACTCGCAATGGTATAAGAGTCTGCCAGTTCTACACAAAACAGTGTCGTGTCGAAATATCCGAGGAAGACTACGTGCTCATCGCAAGTGGTCACCCTCAAAAGCTGATCCCCCCACAGCCCATCAGAGAGGACGAAGACAAGGAGCTCGGCGTCATGGATCTTCTGGACCGCAACTTGGGTCAAGTCATCCAGCTTGCTGATCAAGGTATGGGAAGCCCTACTTCCTTTGTAGCTTCAACTTAACTGTGACCAGTTTCCGGCCGAGCTCGGCAAATGATTCACAAGATGAAAGGTCGGCGGGCTGCAATCTTGACCCGGCGCGAGCAGGAACGAGAACCGCGAAGACAGCCAACAAGAACCGAAGCTTCGCCCGCCCCACCAGCAGAGATCAATGGAGTCAACAACAGCAGCAGCAGCAGGCCAATTAGGAGCATCGAGGTTTCTCAGTCACCTCCTGTCGGCTTCACAGCTGTCAATCTGCGGCAGCCTGCTGCTGAAGATCCAGATCGACGCCCTCCTTCGACAAATGATGCGCTGAGGAGCTTCGCTGAGGATGCATTTGGCACGCCGAGCAATGTCACCATTATCAATGGCAGATCGGTCAAGGACACCTCGCCCACCGAGCGAGCTGAGCTGATGAAGAACTTCTTAACACCCAGTGAGAGAGAAGCTGGCCTGACCGAAGAGACCATCCGACGTACGTCGTTGGGTAGTGGTACTGCTCGGACTCAAGCCATGCATGCTAATGCAGCAGACAAGCCACGTTCTCGTTCGACTGAACTGCCGGGTGGAAGTTCGTCGACAGTCGCCATACCAAATACGCCTGCGTCGTTGATGCCGCAGACGAAGCCTGCTCAATCAGATAGGGACGATGGCGGCCCTTTTAAGGCGGAGATGGTTCGCAGAATGGACAATATGTGGAAGGGAGATCGGGTGATTCCTCCCTGTGATCGTTGTAGGAGGCTACATATGGATTGCCTGAAGAACCTCACGGCGTGTATGGGTTGTACCAAAAAACACGCCAAGTGTTCATGGAAAGATGTTCAAGCAGGGGAACTGGATATGACGGCACAAGCTCCACGGGACAGAACACCGACACCATTGGCCTCCCCTGCAGCACCCGCACCACCTCTCTCGGCCGGATCTACGATTGAGGTCAACCAGCAGCCTGGTGGATTGAAGCAACCGTCTCACATTGGTCGGGCGTCATTAGACTTGGCAGGTGGAAAGACAGAGAAGTCCAAGGACGATGACTTGCCGCAGACACGAGACGAAGCAAAGTCGGAGCCAGCTCCATCGAACACCTCGAGTGGGAGATTCGATGTGCGACCACCACCTTTGGCGCAGCAATTGCAAGATGCAGCGAACGGGCGAGCATCGACTGGATCGACGCCGTATGAGACAAGTTTCCCACCTCGCGAAAAGGAAAAGCCATACGACGACGATGATGAGGGCGACCGTTTGCAGGCACTTGCTGCACGAGTTGCTGCACGACTCTATCGCTCCGCCTCCCAGGGAGGACATCGAGCTTAGGAAACAGGCCATACCAACCCAAGTGCCCTATCGGAGGCGAAGATGCATGGGAACGGCCACGGAGGTGTTCGCATACAGGCACTAGTCTCACAGATCCAGTCATGATATTACTTCAGACGGATACAGGAGCAGATTAAAAGGGTCCTGCGAGCGCGCTGCGCATCTGAGTGGTGGACAGCAGGAAAAGTGCAGGATATGATTACGAGAGCGCCCCGAAATGTGTCGCAGCACAATCTGGAGGAACAGATGATTTGTTAAAAGTTTCGCGGTGCAGCGGCAGGCTTATTCTTCACGCATAGCTTGTATTGATAGGGGCATTTTTGCGTCCTTTGAGCTGGTGGCTGATAGAGCAGGCCGGAGTTTTGGCGGAATACATTCCACTGCCGCCATCCAATGTACGACGAGGCTTTGTCAGAGCGACAGGCGAGTACAATGTGCCCCTCGATTGTGGGGATTGTTCCTCTGCCGATGCATGTTCCACGTCCACGATGCTTGTCTTCGGATCCTGACCGTCGCACAGCCTCCACCGTCAACATCCCACTTCACCATGTCGCCCACTGCCGTTGTGCTTGTGGATCGAAATTCACCATGACCTGACAAGCGACTGACAAGCGAATCGGGATCCTGGGCGAGCCCTAAATAATGGTCTTGCTCAGCATCTGCTGAGCGTCTGCTGATCTGCTCCTGGCCCATCGGATACTCCCACCTGCATTTCTGCATTACCCCACGATCAATCTTAGCTTGTTCGGTGGGAAATATTATTTCACCTGTTCCTGTCCTCACATCTGCGTTTTCTGGGGCCGTGTTGATATCGTTTGACCTGTTTCTCATATCTGCGTTTTCTGGGGCCTGTGTTTGTCTACCACCCGCCTTGCCCTGACCTGACCTCTACTCGTACCCAATCTGCCCACTCGCAGTCGGTCAGTCTACAATGGATCCCTCCAAGGTCGACATCCCTCCGCTCAAGGATCTGACGATCGACAACATCACCGAAAACGTCATCGCGATCAACTCGAACAACCCGGACCCGCGATTCAAGTATATTCTCGAGAGATTAGTCGTGCATCTGCATGACTTTGCGCGGGAGACGAGGCTGTCCACGCAGGAATGGATGGCGGGCATCCAGTTCCTGACCAAGACCGGACAGATCTGTACGGATGTGCGGCAGGTAAGCCGTCAACCTACCTACCAAGCAAGCACTTGCCCTCCACTGCTCGTACTGACGAGACTACCCCCCCAGGAATTCATCCTCCTCAGCGATATCCTCGGCCTGTCCCTCCTCGTCGACAGCATCGACCACCCCAAACCGCCCAACTCGACCGAAGGCACGGTCCTGGGCCCCTTCCACACGCACGAGGCCGAAGTCCTCTCGCACGGCGACCTGATGTCGCACGACGAGAACGGCGACCCCCTGCTCGTTCTGTGCACCGTCAGGGACGTGCAGGGCCGGCCGATCGAGGGCGTCAAGATCGACATCTGGGAGACCGACTCGTCGGGCAAGTACGACGTGCAGCATCCGGACCGCGACGGGCCCGACGGCCGGTGTATTCTCAAGTCGGACGCCGAGGGCGTCTTCTGGTTCAAGGCCATTGTGCCCGTGCCGTATCCGATTCCGCACGACGGGCCGGTCGGGCAGCTGCTCAAGAAGCTGGGCCGCCACCCGATGAGGCCGAGCCATATGCATTTCATGTTTGAGAAGGAGGGGTTCGACCATTTGATTACGTGCGTATACCTTTGTCTGCACCTACATTCGCACAGTGGCGGAGGTAGTGGTCTTGTCGTTTGTACTGACATTCTCTGCGCGTTAGGGCTCTGTATTTGAAAAACGATCCCTACGAGACCAGCGACGCCGTCTTCGGCGTGAAGAACAGCCTCATTGTCGAACTGTCCAAGGTGTCGGCTGACCAGGCCGCCAAGTATGGCGTCAAAGAGGGCAGCGCTCTCATGACGTACGATTTCGTGTTGGTGACAGAGCAGGGGAGCGCGGATCTGAGGGCCCAGAACTCGCGGAAGGCGCTGGAGAAGCTGGGCAGAAGGGTCAAGATCGTGAAGGGCCTGCCTGTGCCGGATGTGGATTGAGCGGAGGGGAGCGGTGGAAGGGGAGGTTACCCTACATGAGCACGACGAGGCGAGGGGGGAAAAAAGGTACTACCAGGTAGGACTACCGGTTGGGCCACATATATGTGTATATTTGGATGTTCTGATGTATGTTCGTGAAATTGACGGAAGAAAACAATACGTACCTAGTAGTGGTGGACCTGATCTGGTTGGCCCCGATCAGTCTGAACTTGGTGATTTGGTGACTTGGTGACTTGGTGACTTGGTTACAGAACCAGAAACTCCGTCCTTATGCAGTACGTATTCTAGGATAAGCATGAAGCTACTGTCAGGAAGTGCGTTGCAATCACCGCCACAGCCACACAGAGCACCCAGATCGCGAACCCGCGGGAAGAGATGTGAAAGGACGCCCTGGGAGGCGTGAGGTTGGTCGATGTACCCGCATGCGCATGTCCCTCTGCGACTCTCGACCTTGTTATTTGAGCATTCGACGTCCCGCCAGAGATCCCAGTTATTCGTCAGTCGTGAAGGCACAGCAGTAGGGCACCACGAGACATCTACACATGCTCCTGTTGATAACGGAATCATGCAGGGGATTCATCCCCAGGCGGGCCCCTGAGGGGCGCCCAGCGCTGATAGGTGCGCTCGGCCCCCCGGAACGAGGCACCCCCGCCACAGACAACTGTCAGCGCGCTGTTTGCCTCTTGGTGGTTTTGGAGGTTTCCATCCCCAAATGAATGACGTGCTTGATGATTGATCGACCGCCCGCGAATCTTCCACGAGAGCCTAAACTTGCGATACCATTCGACCTGCGTTCAGATTCTGGCTTTCAATATATATTTGCAGCCGTGTTGCTCATCGCGTCCGACAACGAGCACAGCAGTAATACTTAACGACTTGTCCGAAAAGCAATCGCAACTTGCGAACCGCCATCCCGCAGATTCAAACATCACGAACACTTTATCTCCTCGCCCCTCCTCATCCTCGCGCTGAACAATGGCCTTCTCAATGCCCTCGTTCCTGACCCGATTTCTCCGCCCCTTTTCCACGACCCAGCTCTCCCTCCAACCAGACGCCCTCTCCGCCATGCAATTCCCGCCAACGTCCCAGCGCGCGATCTTCGCGGGCGGCTGTTTCTGGGGCCTCGAAGAACTCTATCGCCACCACTGGGGCGGCGGCAAGGGCCTGCTCGACTGCCGCGTCGGCTACACCGGCGGCCACACCAAGGCGCCGACCTACGAGGACGTCTGTTCAGGCCGGACGGGCCACGCCGAGTCCTTGTTGGTCGTCTTCGACCCGGACGTGGTGACGTACCGGCAACTGGTCGAGTTCTTTTTCCGCATGCACGACCCGACCACGCTGAACAGGCAGGGCGCCGACACGGGCACGCAGTACCGGTCTGCCGTGTACGCGGAGAACGATGACCAACTCAAGATTGCCGAGGAGATCAAGCAGAAGGTCGGCGAGCAGTGGTATAAAGGCAAGACTATCACGACCGAGGTCAAGAGGGCGACGCAGTGGTATGATGCCGAGGGCTTGCATCAGAAGTACTTGTTGAAGAATCCGTCGGGGTATCAGTGCCCGGCGCATTATGTGCGACCGCACCCCGAGTTGAAGTAGGCGGCTTCAAGCGATCGGGAGATGTGAAGGTCGAGGAGAGGAAAAGCAGAATGTTTATCATGGTGACTTGGGTGTAGCGTAGTGCCAACGGCACCCAAAACAAAACGGGTGTCTTGTGTATATGTGTATGTGTCTTATGAATTGATATGCTGGATGTTGTTTGTCAAACGGGTTTGACGGGATACTCGTACCAAGCGATCAAATTCCCTCAGACCCAGGAAGTGTGTGGTGCAAGCGATTTGAAGTACTCATGTTTATACCCCTTTCGCGGAGCCGGACTGACTTCGACGCTCCCACTGGATATCGGCATGCTCATGCGTTGGGTCAGTCACGACTGGCGGAAATTATCGAGGAATGATCCTGGTGGAAGCGCAAAGTCAGACTCCGCCACAATAGTTGTAGGGCGGTGTTAGGCCGCCGAGCTGAGGACACAGCCTTGTCGGTGATCTGAGTACCTACGGAGGTCCTTACAAATATTGAGTACTGTAAGAAGTAGAATCCAGAGATCAATGCCCAGTTCCTCCGAAGCTGCTCAAGGTGGATGACTAAGTTTGACTTACTTGTATCCTTGCCTGTCTGGAGCTAGACACCAGATCTCCCCTCTTACGGCGCGACCACTGTTTCTTGGAAGATATACTGCGATTGCCTCAATCGAAGTACATCCAGCCAGATAACCTGGGTCATTCAAGGACCCTTTGATCCAAAACCGCGACGGCATCTCATTACCCCCAGACCCTTGGTTGACTATCAGGTAGTCGCACTCCGTACCTCGTTCCACGAATCCAAATGCCCGACTTCCTCCGTGTGGCCGGCGGTGTCGTTGCAAAAGACCGCATCGCCGAATCAGAAGCCGCCCAATTCGAGGCTCTCAAGAAGGGTGTCCTGGCCGAACAAGCCCGGAAAGAACAAGAGGACAGGCAGAGGCGGATAAGCCAGGGTCTCGCTGCCGAGTTGACGGCCGAGGAGAAGAGAGAACGGAAGAGGCAGGAGAGCATCCGAAGGGAGGAGGGAAAGCAGAGGAGGCGAGGAATGCTGGGCAAGGGGCAAGGGAAAGCAAGTAACAGGCAAAGTCGCGAAGGTAAAGGGAAAGGAACCGGAGTTTTGGGCATGTTGTGCTTTGGTGCTCGATGAATGTTTAGTATTGCAACAAGTCATAGCCGACTGGGCATTCTCACGGCGCCGTCGAGTCGAATGACAAACCCGTTCAGCATGGGGTTCTCCACGATTTCCTTGACGAGGCGGGCAAATTCGTGGCCTTGTCCCATTCGCATGGGATATTGGATCATCTCCGTGTTCATGCCCGCCCTTGTGCTTGTTGCTCCCTTCTCTTTCTTCGCTCCTTCCTTTTTAGGAGATTGCTGCTCTGGCGACGGTTGTGGTTTCTTCTTCGGCTGAGTTGTCATGCCTGTCTGGAACACTCCTGGCGCGGTGCCCATGACTCTTATCCCGGCCTTTTGGCCCAACTCCCGTGCCAGCGGGAGAACGATGCTTCGGACGGCGCCTTTGCTTGCGCTGTATGCCAATTGACCAACTTGGCCCTCGTACGCCGCGACGGAGGAGACCACGACTATAATCCCACGCTCGCCGTCCGGACCCCATGGTTCGTTGAGCGCCATGTGCGGGATCGTCAGCCGGATGAGGTCAACCGTGCCCCGCAGATTGATTGCCAATGTCCGATCAAAGCCGGACATGTCCATATACTTGGCCGTCTCGTGTGTTGCTGAAGGATCTTGTCTGGGTAGGGAGAGCGCAGCCGTACCGATCCCCGCCGAGCAGATGACGCCGGAAAGAGGTGCAGAAGTATCTTCTTTGATCCATTTCAGAGTGTTTTGCAAGGCGGTTTGTATGGACTCGGTGGATGCTACGTTGGTCTTTGTAAAGAGGATACGGGCGCGGTCAAACTGCGAATCTGAGGGAGGAGGATTGAGGTCGAGGATCGAGAGGTATGCGCCGAACTGAACCAGGAGAGAGGCAGTTGCGAGGCCGAGCCCACTGCTCCCGCCCGAGACGATGAATGTGCGGTCCTTGATCTGCATGTTTATTGACCCTACTTGATATCCTGACGGGTAGATTCGAGAGATATCGTGGCAAGAATGGGGTGGCTTGAGCAGGAGTCTAAGACAGCGATGAACCTACCTCGGCCCGGCAAAGGGCTTTCATGTGCCCCGTGAGACCAGGCGAGCATCATGAGGCTGGTTCCGGGCAACCTTTCAGTGAGTAGAGAGCCCTGATAGGTCTTCCAGTGGCGGTAGCTTGTGTGCTCCCGGGTGCTTCACTGACCGTAGTCTGAGAGTTCTGTGAACTGTGTAAGTGTGTTGATTGAACTGAGGAGAAGCGCATTGAGCGCACCGACACGTGACAGTGATCTCCCTGGGCACTGCGGGCAGCTGCAATCGTCCGTCATAGGTGCCTATTTTAACCCACCAGAAATGCCCCTAAAGCCTTGCGGGCGCCACCACGGTTGCAAGCCAGCGCCCGCAGTGCTGCATCGGGCGAATGTCTGGGGTTGGGCTTGAAACATTATTGATTCTGTCACGAGTCACTCGCTGTCAATTGATAAAGGAAATTTCACCCAGCTCAATAGCACAAACCGGAAGTGAACAGCCTGTGTGTTTGACTGACTCAACTTGAGCTGCAGGTATCCTTTATCAGTACAGAAGAAGTCCAACTACAGAACTGGATCTATCCGGCCCCAATCCAGGGGCACTATTCACAACGCTGATCTGGTCCGACCACGTACGGCGCGGGGCCACAACGAGACTGGGCGCATGCGAACGTAACCTGAGAGCAATAGATATCTCCCTGGTGTTGCCTACTCGGCTTCTCTGCAGCAATCCTCAATGACCACTGCGCCATATGTCCCAGTCCTCCAGTCGCTCGAAACCGCTGCCTGTACGGAGCGTCAACAGCCTCAGAAATGGAGGAGCCAGATCCCGAGAATCGTCGAGGCCGCGCAGGAAATCTATAAGCGCCAATGATGCGTACCTTTACGCTTTGAGGGTGGCGTATCTGGCATACCTGTTACAGCCTCGCAAAACGAGAAAGAAACATGTCGAGACCAAGCCCGCAGTCAGTCGCGCAGCGACCTCTAATTCTTTCAACGACCTTATGAACGACTTCACCGTGGTGCGAGATTCGAAAAGCACAAGGATCCCTCATGATTTCATTAGGGCACTGGAAAAGAGACTGCAAGGCATCCTCATGGGGAGGGAGAACCGGCAAGAATACCAGGAGCCAAACGTCAAGAGAGTGTTTGCCATTTTCCTCAACACGTTGTCCGACCCAGCTTTCAAGAAACGCATGGAGGCAGACCGAAGGGCAGAAGACTTGGTCCTCATCTTCTTCTCAACAGCCACGAAGGAGTTACAGCGGGGCCACCAGCCAGGAGACGACGGCGTCAAGCGCATGGTTGACCGCCATGTCGCCCTCTTCGTCCGGCTGATGTCGCTAATTCTGAAGGATAAGGACTGGGCAAAGGACAAGCCCGATCTGGCCACCCGGTTACACACGCTGGAGTCGAAGTTACTGAAAGGAGACGAAAATCTGGCGACCTCTCAGACGAACGGAGAACTCAAAACCGTGGACGAGGTGGTGCCGCTCAGCTACGAGGTCAAGGACATGCCCCTGGTTCTAGTGGTTGGGCGGCTCTTCGGCCTGACTCCCACCATGGTACAATCCGACATTACCAAGCACAAACCGGTGTGGACGGAGAAGGCAGCCCTGCAGGATCTGAAGACATACCAACAACACCTCACTCTGGGGACAAAAATGGTCCTCAACACTAACGATTTTGATACCCACGAAGCGTATGAAGCGTGGAAGAAGAGCGAAGGACCTGACCTGTCCCAACTCATGCTCGCCATCATGCAGTCAAACCCCGAGTTGGCCAAAAGCACCCCCGGAAGCGCTCTGCCTCAATTCAAGGACCAAGCCGAGCCGACGAGTCCGTCCGACGCTCACTATGCTGAACTCTCTAGAGCCATTTCGCAAGGGGGAGAGCCATCTTCCTATGTGTTGGATCTGCCGGCAGATCTAAGCGCTCTCAACTCGAATGTGAATGATTCCTCCCAACGTAACGATGACGCAGCCGAACTCTATACCTTCATACCTCCTGATCCCAGATCCATGTTTCGATATATAATGCTTCAAGCCCTTGATCATGACCTAAACGATAAAAGGAACGAAGGTGGGGCGCAATTGTTCTCCAAAGAGACCACAGAGGTCCTGAACGAGATCGCCCTGAGATGGCGAATACCAAAGTTCACTCGCATTGTCCTCTTCCTGGATGTTGTCCGCGAGAAGTTTGTCGAAGGAGCCATTAGTCTGGAAATGCTAGATGCAGCCTTTAATTACGTCAAGGAGCCTCCGCAGGAGGAGCCGAAGAACAAGAGGAGCTCGCTGATAATGAGCTCGACTCTGTACGACCGGAATAATTGGACCGTTGCCGACTTCGCCCTGATGGGTAAACTCTTGAATGCCATCTACGAACGCCTGCTTCGCGATTTGTACGAGGTCATATCGACCTCTTATGCCGACAAGGCGCAACTACCACGGCTCGGAGCGATCATGGCTGTGATGGACGAGCACATTCGGAGCGATCCCAGTTTCCGCCAAAGCCCTGAAGACTTTGAGAACTTCAAGGCTGCCGCCATTGATGGTTTGGCTACCGAAGCTCGAAAAATGTACGACAGTCTTCTGGACCGTGAGTTGCCTCAAGAGCAGGAAAAGTGGGAGTGCTATCACATCATGCAGCTCGCAAAAGCCGTGTTGAAGCTTGCAGAGAAAGTACAAAAGAGGTTCAAGAAGAACCCTGAGATTCTCGGAATCAATCCGCTCATGATCTTGGTCAATTCTACTCTACCTGCATTTGCGGAAGACTCGAAGGCTATGCTGGAGCAAGTCTTGGACAATGCTCAGAGAGACGGGCTTGAAGTCCCAATCCAGGACGGGTTTGATCTGTATAAGGAGTTGAGCGACTTCCGCCGAGTGCATGCCGACGCCTTGCCTCATGTGCCGTTTGCCTACAAGATTGAAGATCTGCTGAGCGATTTTGTTTGGCGATGGATTAGAACGACCGAAGCACAAGTCATGGGCTGGGTGGAGAATGCGGTAAAGCAGGATGAGTTCAAGGTCAGAACGGAAATACCTGGTCAAACCCCCACTGAAGACCAGCGTCATTCCACCTCCGTGCTCGACATATATAGCTCTTTCAATCAAGTCATCAACCAGATCGGTGAACTGAATTGGGACGACGACCTCAGCTATGCCAAGTTCATGACGGCTCTGTCAAAGGCAATCGGCCAAGGAATCTCCCGGTACTGCGATTTACTGGATCAGATGTTCAGCAAGGAGATGGATAGGCTGACTCCTGAGCAAGAAGCTGCTGCCAGCATGACTAGACAGGAGAAATGGGTCCAGCTTGCCAAGGACACCTGGAATCAGAAAGAGAGAGTCGAGCCTTTCAATTTCTATCCTCAGTCGTTCGTCAAGCTCAACGACATATCCTTCGCTATCCAGCAATGGGACAAGCTCGAGTCCGAGGTCAACGTTGACGGGTGTGCTGAAGTGATCAAGAAACATGCTCCTCCGCTGCAACAGCGACCAAAGAAGACATCCAACTACGTCTTCACCATCAAGATCGTTGAGGCTGAGGATCTCAAGGCTTGTGATGTCAATGGTCTTAGCGATCCGTATGTCGTGTTGACCGACGAATACCAGAAGAGACTATTCAAGAGCAGGATAGTCTACCGGAATCTGAACCCTCGATGGGATGAGTCAGTGGATATCACCACGCAAGGGCCCCTCAATCTCATTGCAACCGTCTGGGACTGGGATGCTGTGGGAGACCATGATTACGTGGGTAGGACTTCCCTCAAGCTCGATCCTTCGCACTTCAGCGACTTCCTGCCACGAGAATACTGGCTAGACCTCGATACCCAAGGACGGGTGATGGTTCGTGTCAGCATGGAGGGCGAACGCGACGACATTCAGTTCTACTTTGGCAAGGCGTTTAGAAGTCTTCAGCGGACACAGCGAGATATGACACGCAAAATCACCGACAAACTATCTGCCTACATCAATCACTGCCTCTCCCGGCGTGCACTTCGGTCATTGCTCAACAAGGGCATCTCCATGGCCAATGTCTCTGCCAACGTCTCGTCCTTCTTCGCCAGAAATCGAGTCTCTACACTACCGCCTACGACGGCCATGCCCACTGACGCCGAAATCGTCAACGCTATAAAGCCATTGTTCGACTACTTCGACGACAACTTCGCCATTATGCAGCAAACGCTCACCTCGGAAGCAATGAAAGCCGTTATGACCCGTATCTGGAAAGAGGTCCTCGTCACGATAGAATCGCTTCTGGTACCCCCGCTTTCCGACAAAGTCTCACAGCAGAAAGCCCTGACTCAACAAGAACTTGACGTTGTTTTTAAATGGCTCCAATCGCTGTTGGAATTCTTCAACGCTGTGGATGAGGACACAGGAGAAGCTAATGGCATCCCCCTCAACGTGTTGAAAAACCCAAAGTATCACGAACTGCAGATGCTGAATTTCTTCTACTTCGAACCGACGGACTCACTCATCCGCGAATCCGAACGCATGGCCAGCGCGACTGCAGCTTCCCAACAACAACTTTCGCGGTCCCGCTTTTCTGCGCCAGCAAATCTAGGTACTGCGAACCTCCTGTCCCCAGGGAACCTTGCTCTTGGTGGCGGAGCACGACGAGCTAAGAGCATCATGCTCTCCCGCAACCTGGGGACCAAGCGGAAAGCCAAGGAAGAGAAGTGGAAAGCCGCTCAGGCGGAACCGAATGACGATATGATCCTCAGGATTCTGAGGATGAGGCCGGAGGCGGGCACGTATCTCAGAGATCGCAGTAGGCAGAAGGAGAGGCTGGCTGCTGCGGCGGCCGCGGAGATGATTGTGAGGCAGAGCCTTCTCTCTGGTGGCGGCAGAATGACAGGGCCAAGTGTCGTTAGACGATGACGTTGGAAGAAGCAATTGCTAGCACATGACCTGGGTTTTGAAACGATAATCTGCGTTATGGGTTTATCGTCGGTTCAGCAACCTCTTGTCATGATCTATGGCCCAGCTGGTTTTGGGCACACATTCGTCGTGCAACGATGAACGGGCAGGTTCTACCAGGCGCCCAGGAGCGAATCTCCGATTTTACAAGATACAGTATTAGTGCACACGGGCATGGGATGTGAAGGCGTTGGTTCAGTATACCCCATCATCTATCGCGCACGCTTTTTCTCTTCAGGAGTCGCCTATTTTTAACTCATTGCTAGAGCCTTTGCATTGGTCTCATTCCTTCTACTCTTACTCGGCGTTGATCAAATCAGGAGAGCAGTGACCCACCCACCCGGCTGACCTGACCTAGTGAACAAACGCGAGTATGGAACACCGTTCGACATCCTCGTTCTATCCAAAGCCCCAATGGGGACGTCAGGGTATTCCACTGGCATGGCAAACAATGCCAGCACGCTGTCCGTCTCCTCTCCCACAACCTCTTCCCGTGTAATCAACTTGGTCTCCTCCCATTCAGCGGCCCAGCAATTCTCACAAAACGAGGTATTCGACGCTCTCAATTCCCTTTCGCGCCCAGGTCGCTTCGAGTCCGAAGATCCTCATCTCGACCATTACTTCCCCACCCTCTTCGCGGCCCTGGAGGGTGCACCAGTCGAGATATGCTCGACATTCTTGCACCGGACATGGGAGGTTGCGGCCACTATACGATGAGCGAGGGGATTGGGCAGATTGGGCAGATTGGGCAGACTGGTGGAAATTCGAGTACCGATCCTCCGCTGGAGGGTGGTGTCTGGATGAGTACCGATCCTTCGCTGAAGGCTGGCGCTTGAGATGCAATATACCAGGCCACCCTATGGACGTAAGCCACCCGTTCGATCGCCAGGTGCAGATTTCTGTTTCCGACCTGGAGTGTGGAAGATGGTGGTGGAAAGGTGAGATTTTCCACGCGCCACCCTTTGCTTGCGGCCTCGGTGTCGGGTGCGAGTATGTTGTATGCGTGTGCTCGAAGGGTGCGGGGGATCGGAGCGCGGACATTCTTGGGACAGAGCTTGCTGAGGCGGGTGACTTGGAAATGTTGCAGGATGAGGGTGTAAAATCTGTGAGAGGTCAGCGCGAGGCAGACCAGAGAGGGAGCGTCGAGGTGGTGGATGATCTCGAGGAGGATCTCTGGGGCCAAGCCACTGAGGGATTGGCCTTCGGTGGTTTTGCCGTCGCTGCTATTGCGTGAAAGCGGGTGAGGTGATGGGACAACCACAGGGACGCTTTGAGTCAGATCGAGGTTGGCGGCATGATCGTCAGCAGTGTCCTGGGTGTTTTCTGTTGGAGGTGCTGGGACTGATATCGGCTTTGTTTCTAGAGGGTCGGTCGTCATGTTCTGGGACTCCCCTGGAGCAGTCACTTCCTTGACCGTGGAGACCATTGTCGCTTAGAGTCAAAGGACGTATGCTGCTTCGAGACCGTGACGGACACGTGGTGATAGGTAGGATAGAAGCACAGGAGACACATCTTGTTGACATCGCGATCTTCACCGCCTCGCGCTGGTCGGGAGACATCTCACCGCCCGTGTGTCCGCCTACAGTGAAGAGGAGGGCGTAGATGGCCAGACCATTGTCCAAAATAGACACACATCATTGTGCACGACTTTGCGTAATGAAGCGCAGGGTGGTGGTGAACGAAGAGTGAATAATCGCAGGATCGTGCTGTTTCAAGTTATAATACCATGTACAGTTAAGAGTTAAGGGACGTTGGGCTCAAACGAAATACAGCTTACCAGAACCAAGGATGTGCGTCCACTGCGATGGATGTGCGTTACCGCTCTGGGTCGACTTCAGCAACTTGGTGCCGTCCATCCAGACACAGATGATACGCCTGTCCTTTTTGTCGCCTGGCTGGAAAGTGGCTCACGGCGCGCTCAGAAGGGAGGAATACATTGTCTGTAATGCTGACAGAAGCGGGTCCGCAATGGCAAGGCGGAGGCACAGATAGTTGCCCGTCGATTGCGATAGTCCGGTAGGATAGCAGTCCTTTCCAGCAGCTCATGCTCTCTTCGTTTGTCCTTATGACGATTGGTACTGTCCCGAGTGGCTTACTAGATGTTGGATGAATGGGATGGCCTCGAGAAGCATATACATGATCATCGGCGTGAACGGGGTAGCCGAAATTATGGCTCGGGATTTGGCAGTCGTACTCGCTGGAACTTGTATTCGCTCGAACTCTGTCAAGGGTTTGAGGGAGAGATGACCTCTGCTCTGGCCCAACTCTCAGTGTGGTTTCTCTAGCCCGTCCACGATAGGCTGGTGCGGCTTCCGCCCAGGACGAGGTCCACCGAACGCTCCGAGGTGACCAAAGCACATCGCCCGAACGTTGCGACGACCCACTGCATTGCTGACAGCCATGACAAGATCACGATGTAGGAGTAGTGAGAGGCAAGAGTACGAGTAGAAGGAGCCTCGCCGAGAGATATCGGCACTTGATACCCCTCTACTCCACCGTATACGCTACGTGCTCTCTCTACGGCCAGCTGTTCGCCAAAGCGACGCAATATCTTGGCACACATCCACCACCGCCCGCGCAAAATCACTGCGAAATTTCCCCACCCGCGTCGTCGACGACAGTGAACAGCCTGCAATTTCAATTCCGATTCCTAAGTCCACGAGAGTCTCCTCCCCTTCGTCCCGCTACCTGTCACATTCCGCGAACAATCAACCCAGCAACAAATAATTCATCCTCACCATGGAGAACGAAAAGGGAGAAATCGTCGATCTGTAAGCCAGCCCATTCATCGCTCGCTCGCTCACCTGCTCGCTTCCAAATGGTAATATCTCTAACATGTTCTGTGTCTACCAGCTACGTCCCCCGCAAATGCAGCGCCACCAACCGCATCATCAAGGCCAAGGACCACGCGAGCGTGCAGATCTCGATCGGCAAGGTCGACGAGAACGGCCGCTACACGGGCGAGAACCAGGTGTATGCCTTGTGCGGGTTCGTGCGGAGCCGGGCCGAGAGCGATGACAGTCTGAACCGCCTGGCACAGAAGGATGGGTTCTTGAAGAGCGTATGGAGTGCGCAGCCTACGAGATAGGTTGTGCAGACAATGTGAAGGAGAGGATATGTGAGGGAGAGGATGTGAGGGTGAGGGTATGAGCAGCGAAGCGAGGCAGTGGGAGAGGGAGAGGGAGAGATGGGAGATGTCTGGTCAGAAGGAATACCCATGGCCGCTTTGTCTGCTTGCGTGCATGCCTGCCAACGACGCCAACGATGTGTCCCGCCGTTGTTGTTGGCCGAGACGGTGGTGGAACGGATGGTGGAGGCCTGAGCATTGCGGCTATGGCGCTTGCTTGCATGCGCGCAATGCATTCTATCTGTCAGGCAGACTGGCGACGTGAGGCGAGGCAATGTGCTGCCGCAGATTCAAGACGCACTTCGACTATCACAACCATAATCACCGGGGGTGAGGTCATGATCATGGCGACGGGTTAGTATGATAGAAAGTCAATGAAGCATGGCACGGCTCAGTGCGACTACAGTTTTTGGGTGGGAAGATCAAAACCCAACAAGCCAAAATGAACAAAATGAACAAATCAAAAACAAACCGATATCTTGTGTTTCTTTGTCCTATGCTACGCTATGCTCAAGGAGTTCAAGGATGATATCCATGTTCTGCGAATGTAAAATGTGCTGCCCGTATCTGTGCTCTGACTCTCAATCTCGGAATTGTCACAGCTCTTCAGAAGGCGGCTCTGTATCCACGTCTTGATGTTCGGCTGGTGTATGTATGTATGATTTTCTACCTCCCCAATCATGGTGGTAAGTCTGGGGAAGCCTTGATGTGCCGGTCATGCCTTATGCAGCAAAGAGAGGGGAGGTCAAGGGTGGAACGTTGATAATCAGAAGAAACCAAATGGGTATCATTTCTAGTTCTTCTTCGAGGCTCCGAATCTACCTACAGGGAAGACCGTGCTGCGGAACGGAGCTGGCATTGTCTTCGCTTGACGACGCATGTCCGTTCGTACATCTGGATCAGTAAATCAGGTCTCATACTTCATACAGTCGTATGGTCGATAAAATTCCACCTAGTCTTTGTGTAGCCGCACGGCCGGGTTGGTCTCGATGAAGTTGAGGTCGACTTTGTGGCCCAGCAGTTCTCGGATGTTGTTAACGCCGTACCTTTTCAATGTCAGCAGATAGACTCCTTCAAACAGAACTTGACTTACTTGATCATGGTCGGGCGCTCCAAGCTCAGACCCCATCCGTAGATCCGCATGTCCTTGGGCAGACCCATGGGCTCGAGCATTTCCGGTCTGAACATGCCGCTGTTTCCGATCTCGACCCACTTCTTCAGGCCTTCGTGGTAGCTGAAGATTTCCATACTAGGCTCAGTGTACGGATTGTAGGCCGGCTTGAACCTCAGGTTCTTGATGCCCATCTTGCCGAAGAAGACCTCCATGAAGCCTATCAAGCCTCCGAGCGTTAATCCCCAGTCCGCAATGACGCCCTCCACCTGGTGGAACTCTGCCAGATGTGTTTGGTCGACGGTCTCGTTTCTGAAGACACGATCGATGGAGAAGTATCTTGCTGGTCGGGGGTTCAGTGCCAGCTTATGCAGCATGTAGGTCGAGATGGCGGTGGTGTGAGTTCGGAGAACTAGTCGTAGTGACTCCTCTTCAGCCCAAGGGTATCTGTAGCCTATGGAGCCGAATTTACCGTCCTGGTGGACTGCTCGTACGTCGTCCCAGTACTGCTTATAGTTTAATGTCTTCTCCTTCGACTTCGTTCGCTTATGTGAAGCTGCTGGGGTATGTTTCTCGCCAGGAGCGACAGGCTCCGGATCTGCGCGGGGTGGGTCGGCCTTGGCAGGATCTGAGATATAGAAGGTGTCTTGCAGGTCGCGGGCAGGGTGTTGTTGAGGGACGAAGAGGGCGTCGAAGTTCCAGAACCCGGTTTCCACATATCGATTCGTGGGCATCTCCTCAAATCCCATCTCGAAGAAGATCTCCCGGAACTCTTGCCGGACTTTGTTAAGAGGATGTAGTGCACCAGACGGCGTTATTGCACCTTTCGCCTTGAAATTGTATGGCTTCAGCTGCACTGTCTTCCACGACCCCGAAGCCAACATATCTGCCGTGAGATCTGTCTCCTCCTTGACGAACTCGGTCGAGAATTTGGGACCTTTGGAAATCTTGAAGGTGACAATCTTCTCTTCAACCACATACTTCCTTTTCCTGAAGTCGGCAAGGGTCTTGGGGTTGTCTAATGTCTTCGTTGACTGAATCTTTTGTAACTGTTCTTGTACCTCATCCTGTATTCTGTCTGTTGCGGCCTTGAGGGTGTCACCTTCCTTCTTGACCCACTTGAGCTTGAAGGCATCCCCTTGACCGAACTTGGCGACGTTGGCGTCACCAACAGCGGCAGGTAGGTCCTTGATTTTCAGCCCTTCCAGTGCTTTGCGCACGGCTTCAAAGACTCTTGCGCCGTTGCTTCCAAACTCGGCAATATCTTGGCCTTCTTTTGTGAGAACGAGTTGTAACCGGTCGATCTGCTCGGCTTCGATGAACTCTCGTGACCGTAGCTTGTCGACGGCAGATTTGACACTGACAAAAGTGGCATTAGGAAAGGCTTCGGAAGTCAGGACTGGCCCGGCGGAGGAGTTGAGGACTTGAAGCACCTGCGGGGTCAAGTCCTCAGCCATGGTTAAGCTTGCGAGAGCCGCCTGCACGCGGGCAACAGAGCAATAGGGATCGCGAGGCGAAGGACCAACAGGACAAAACAGCACTGAGGGAAAAAAATAATTGTGCCTCGTCTCTTTAATGACTCCAACCGTCAAGGAAAATGACTCGAAAATGAAAGTGGGTCTGACGCGCCGAAGCCTCGTGGTCGGAGCCTCGCCGAGTGGAGCAGGGGAACTTCACTAGCAACGCGCTCCAAACGGTGAAGGATGGAGAATCATTATTTAGGTTGCTGGCAAGCCATAAACAACAGGAGGACAAAGTCTCGACCCCGATCGAGTTAATAGGATGCGATGATACGCCAACAGTGTTCGTCGTCCCGACATAAATTAATTCTCCCATGTCTATCGAAACCAAAGTACAATTCGCGGACCTTCTCAACCTCCCGCTAATACCTGCCCATCCGGTATCTCCTCTCGCATGCCAAAATAGACGGGCCCAATGGAGCGTGTCTCCTATGGCCTAATTGTGGCCTTCGCTTCCATATCAACCACCTTACCCTCTTGCCCATCGCGGCGGCTCCATTTGTGCCCGAAGAAGAGGGTGAAGAGAACAAGAGCTCCAACCATCATCATGACTCCCGTCAGCAAGGTGAAAGTCCAACCAGCATGCGTACTGTTGAGCAGAGGCCCTACCACAGCTGTTCCTCCGGCAGCCAGTAAGCATCTGACAAGGTTCAGAGATGCCATTGCCGAGGCACTCTGGGTGTGGTGTATGTCGACAAGGTAGGTCGAAACCATGCTTTGAAGAGAGATAGCGGCCCAGCCAAGTACAAAGAGACTGACAACCGGTACGGAAATGTGAACACCCTGATCAACCGTCCATCCAAAGACCAATACCGATGCACATTCCAATGCGGTCCAAATCCAGACGGTTCTCAGCCGAGCTTTCTCAATGGATAGGGGTTGCTCAGCGCCGTCAGATTGGGACATCATCTTCCTGTAATCGTGGTCGAGGAATTTTCCTGTCAGGAGGGTGCCAATCATCGAGCCTGCGCCATTGGCAAGGAAAATCAGTCCAATCTGGGTTTCTGAAGCATGATATGTGTCTTGGACGAGCACTGGCAAGGCAGTGAGCACCATCTGCCATACTGTGTAGTGAACAGCAACATATACGATGGCGCAGAAGGTCTTGCCATGGGACAGGATCCTCATTGGTCCTAGAAGGTCGACCCTTTTGTGAGCATTGGGGTAGTCGTCCTGTGCCTCGACTGAAGCGTCCGTCTGGTGACGCTTCTTTTGAACGATTGAGAGAAGAGACTTCGCATAGCACGCCGGCTCTTCCGAACCATTTCCCACCATCGACCGCAAGGTCTCGGGCAGAATCAGCACAACGATGATGAGGCAAGCTCCTCCGTAGATGGTCAAGAACCAGAAGACGGACCTCCAACCGAGCTTGTCCGCGAGCAGGCCACCAACGACAGGGCCAATGGCAACGGGTATGAGCAGGCCGCCCTGGAAGAAACCCATGTACGATCCCCTATCCTCGCGTGTTGTGATGTCTCCGATCACTCCAGCCCCTAGAGCAATTGTGCTGGCACTTCCAGTGCTCTGGACGCAGCGAAGGACGAGTAATTGTGCATAGTCCCAGGTTTCCGCCAGGCTTATGCATGCTCCAAGGAAGACAGCGAGGGTGCAGCAATATGTGATGCGGCGGCCTTTGGTGTCGGCGAAGGATCCCCATATAGTAGGTGACAGTCCCTGGAAGATCAGGTAGCATGTAACCGTGAGGTTGACAAGGGTGGGGGAGACCGAGAGGTCTTTAGCGACCTGCGGAAGGGCAGGAAAGTAAATATTGGATGCGAAGCCCGAGAGAGTGGCCGTGAGTGAAACAATAGTGATAATCACCGCTTTTTCCCTCGACGTGAAAATTGTGTAAGGCTCAGAAGAATTACGTCGGGCTGGGTTCTGGGATTGATACATGGTTAATGGATCTTGAAAATGTGCGAGATTTGTGGCAGCATCGCTGTACATATATACTCACACTGGATCGAAGCTGCAGGGGTGTTGGGTGCCCATCGGATCTCCGAGAGCAATATTCGGGATGTTCGATTCGTGAATCAATAGAGATGGCAGTCTGTCTGACCAGGAATACCCCGTGCCTCAAAGCCTCAAAGAACTATGGTCACGAGGTGTGCTCTCTGTCCTTTGATGTCGTAAAGCCGTTGCCCTTGGGGAGCAGCCCAAGCCTTGGGCCACTGAAGGGAACTGACGGCATAGGTCTGGTTCTGGGAGAGAAGTACAAGGATGTGCGAAGACAGACGACATGCGTCGGCAGGGTACGTATTGTAGGAGCCAGCCATCAACCAGTCACGCGAGTCTTGGCGAACTGTGACCTTTAAAACAGGAGCTTCGGTATTCCGAGATTGCCACACCGAGGCGGAGTCAAACGTCTACTCACATCCGAGTATCGTCGTTAGTCAGACTCCCAGTGCATTGATAGCATCGCCAATTGCGAGAGTCACGACGTAGTGGTTTTGTGTGTTGATATGTCTTACGACAGCAGGAGGCGAAGAACTTGCTGGCGGCTGAAACGAGAGGTAAAGGCAGGGGGAGGGATGAGTGAACGGAGACATGAAGCGAGGGCCAGGTGAGGGCCAGATTGCCAAAGGAAACTTTGCCGGAGAATCGCTCGACGCATTCACTTGGACAGTTTCCACATCATTAGCCAGTCGCGCCAGTACCCCGTCCCATTGCCGTGGTCCAAATATACTAATGCATAGGACTTCTCCTCTCCGTCTGGTTCACTGAAACCGCTGCAATGAGTCCGAAGTTGACAGTTCCCAGGAAGAAGTCCTGTAACAATTGTTTCAAGTCAAAGCTTCGATGTGACCTTCGGCGCCCTTCCTGCTCGAGATGCCAAAATCGCAGATGGGATTGCGTCTACACTGCTCACTCCTACCGTCCCAGCGTGGGGGATGGAGCTGAAGAAGTCGATCCGCCCTCAGCCACATCTTTCATTGCTTCACCTGCCGTCCACCTTGACCTATATCCAAAGCCCAACAACCAACAAGCAGATTCCCTGTCCGATGAGCCTCCTAACAACCATTCCAGCGCCAGCTCCTATATCAAATCGACTCAGCCTAGTGAGACCCTTGACTTCTCCCACGTGCAGCTGATGTGTACCGTGGATGCCCACCGAATCCGTGTCCGTTGGCTCGAAAGTCTCCTACCATCCATCGACCAGAGACCTAAACCGTTTCAGCCGGCAACCATGTCGTTCGTTGCAAGCATTTTCAAGTCGTACCCTGGCATGTTTGTGGACGGCGGCTGTCCCCCGTTTGTTCACTGGTCGCAGGTAACGGGCGAGGCCACATGTCAGCCATTAGAAAATTGTATGAACATGGCCCGTATGTGGGCCGCTCGAACAGTAGGAAGCGCTGATATGGTCCAAGAGGTTATCCAACAAGAGATGAAAAGACTTTTTGAGAAGGGAAGTACGATCTGCCTTGAATTGACTTCGTGACTAACACCGGAGTTCACAGCGTATCGACTGCTGTCACTTAGACCTTCTGGCAACGTTCCAGGCCTATCTTCTCTATGCTATTATGCTCTTCCCGAGCACGATTTCGGCTGGCAGTATCCACCAGGATGTCATGATGCGACTCCAGGAATTAGCAGGAGACGCAGCAGGCAGAGGAACCATTTGCTATGCGGAGATGGAAAGTACCCGACCTGACTGGGAATCCTGGATTATCGCATCCGCCAAAAGGAGGACCCTTTTCGCCGCCTCACTGTTCGATAACTTGGTCAATTTTTCTCAAGGTTCGCCGTCCTTTGTCGCAGTTGAACTTGCCGGTCTTCCTGCTCCAGCAAGCAAGACCCTATGGAATGCACGGACACGTCAATGCTGGAACCAGGCTTATAACCGGCAGCTAAGCCACTGCGGAGACGGTGAATTGTTGATCAGCGATCTCTGGCCCCAGTCTGAGGCAAATTCAGAAGCGCTACAGCCGAAGATCGACCGTTGGTTGTCATCAGTTGACGAGTTTGGGATGATGCTTTACGCTGTCACAGCTCACACTTATAACCACAACGGCCCTCGTGCTTGACCCTGGTGCCACTCCTGAATGACAACGTATGTCCTGTGCCACAGAGGGTGTATGAATGACTGATCTGTTTACAAAGCATCTGCTAAGAGCCCGAGGAATGGCTGCACAACATCGCTATTGTCTTCGCAAAGCCCAAACTCTGGCCTAGACTTACCCGAGAAATGTCAACCTTGAGGCCATTGTTGACGAATGGCAAAGGAAAACCTGGGCTTCGATGACCAATTTTCCAGACCGTGATCATTGATACCGAATGTTGATCCGGAAGCTCTGTGAGCAGTCGATTTGGTTGGGGAGGGCGTGGGCTCCTGGGACCCGTCATCGACAATGCATCTGTTTATTCAGCTGTGCACACCAATCAAGACATATGAATATCAGCGGTCGGAATCAAAGTGGTTCACCCGCCAAGCATTAACTTTCCTGGCATCTCGGCCAACATCGGCTTCCGTGTTCAGTCGACCAGGAAGTGTTCGCGCCCCACAAGGCAGTAAAGGGCAGTCTTCAATGCAGTATCTCATTACCCAGTTGGGCAACATAAAACCGACGCCAAGCGCATTGACCTCTGACTCTCCCATGACGGGCCGCATTTTGTTACCACTCCGAACCATCGATCAGTAATCATGACAAAAAGCACTTCAAATCTTGGACCTCAATTATCCCGATAAAGATCCCTTTGCAGATTGGCGATCTACACTCCTTCGATTATGGAACTCAGGGGCCATCGCGTACGGGTAGGGCAGCGTAGGTGCACGGTACATCTAGTCCTGAACTGAAGAGCAGTCATTATGCAGGCTTCCAGTAAACCACTTCCCAATCCCCAACAGTGTGTTGGCCTTGTCGAATCCATGCACACCGTTGCTGTCGATGAAGTGAACAAGCCCCAGCTCACCAGAACTCGGGGCTTTGTGCTTGCAACCACGATTGTCATGACACAGTTCGTCCAGATGGCCCCTTTTGGTGCGGGCATCAATAGTGCGCTTGCGATCGGAAAGGACTTGGGAGCCAACGAGTACAGCTCAGCATGGATTGCCGCCAGCTACCCGCTCACTCAAGGGGCGTTCGTGCTTATGGGTGGGCGCCTCGGAATGATACTCGGGCACAAGAACATGGTGTCAGTCGCGGGGGCCTGGTGGGTGATATTCTCACTCGTGTCCGGATTCACGAGGAACTTCATCGCCCTCTGTACGCTCCGAGCGCTTGCCGGCATTGGTGGCGGCATGATGGTGCCCAACTCGATCGCGCTGTTGACGATCACTTTCCCGCCCGGGCGAATGCGAAACATTACGGTCGCTCTTTTCGGCGCCATGGCTCCATTGGGCGCATCCGGAGGCAGCGTGCTTCCTGGGCTGCTTGTCCAGCTGGTGCATTGGAAGTGGTTGTTCTTCTTTCTGTAAGTCAGGGCCAATCCCGAGCAGTCGAATCCGCTCCTTCAATTCTTATCCCTAACCCTTTTCCGCCAGAGCAATGTTCGGGGCAGCCATATTCACTTTGTTCTATTTGGTGGTGCCTTCCGAGGGCGAGCCCTTTGACAAGCACGGATCGTTCGACTACTTCGGGGCGTACTTGGCGACGGCGGGCTTGATATTGTTCAATTTTGTGTGGAAGTATGCATTTACGACCATTTTGGCCCCTGCCGTGGTCTGAGACTCACTATGTCGCAGTCAAGCTCCCGCTGTCGGATGGGATGAGCCTTTCGAGTACGTCCTCCTCATCGTCTCCGTGCTCCATATTGTCGGGTTCTTGATCTGGGAGGCGAAGTTTGCCAAGCAGCCGATCCTCCCATTCGACATCTGGAAGGCGCCATCTTTCCTGGCCATGATAACTGCCACGTTCTTCACCTTCATGGCTGTAGGGGTCCACGTATGGTATACCACCGTGTGGAACAGCAACATCCGTGGGTTCAGCATGCTACTGGTCGGCGCGGCGTGGCAGCCGCTGACTGTCTTCGGAACCATAGCCGCCTTTCTAAGTGGCAAAGTCGTGAGATACACCTCTGCCCAGTGAGTGCCCGTCGTGTATTTGTCTCTACAGTTCTGGAGACCATGAATGTTGTTGAACCTTCCGACCTGCCACGCCCCAGCGCGTCCCCCTTTCCAGCCTGAAACCCAGGTCTCAAATCCTGACTGGCCATTTTAAGGAGCTAACATGTCAATCCCTCCAGATACATCATGGCAATGGGCTCCCTCGCGACGATGGTGTGCATGATCCTCGTAGCGACCCAGCCAATTCCCCAGACCTACTGGGCACAGTGCTTTCCCTCGACCATCATCCTCTCGTTCGGACCCGATTTCATTTTCACGGCCGCGCAGATCATCGCTTCCAATGCCGTCAAGCGCAAACATCAAGGCATAGCAGGCTCACTGATTGGCACAGTGGCCTCCTACGGTCTGAGTACAGGACTAGGCTTTGCAGCCACGGTCGAGGCATACACTAATCATGGCGGAAGAAAGCCTGTTCAGGGGTATAGGCATGCGCTGTGGCTTGGTGTGGGCATTGCTGGGGCGGCGATGCTCCTTGCGCTTGGATTCGTCAGGATTCCCAAGGATGAAAGGGATGGGTGGGACGAGGATGAGACTGAGGTTACGAGTCTTACGACTGAAGATGCTCGGCCCTACGCAGAGCCTACGCAGGAAGACAAAGCTGTCCCGTCATCTTGATCGATGGTTCGACTGAAATACTGGAGAATATTGTAATGGAGGGGGTGAAATACGGGCATGCATGTGGTGCATACAATCATTGTCTGCATTGTGGATTGTGGATTGTAGCGCGGCTCCCAGTCACCTCGGAACTCGACATGTCCACCCTGTCGCACTCTTGGGACTTTTACCTGCTGCAAAGTTGGAGTACAGACAAAGGCTATTCGCTCCCTCTGGACTGTAACTCGGTGGCCGAATTTCGTGTCAGACTGCGAGAGGTATGAAGATGGCCCCCACACATGGCTTTTCCTCGCTGGCACACATGCAAGTCAAGCTTGCCTCGACCCGACCTCGAAACTGCCTCCCAGCATGCGTTTTGGGATTACTTAGGAATAAGGTCGCAACTTGAGCAGTTCCGCACGCCACGTACGATAATTGACTCCTCAAGAAGCTGGGCAAGACGGGATACATCCATAGTGGAAAAATTGAACGAATGATCATGTTCTCGATGCTTAGTATAAGTCAGCATTCACGCAGGCCGGAGGCTCGGGACAAGATCAGGCTCCGCTCTGGTTCTTGCACCGTTGTGTTCGGATTGCATGGCAGGTACGTAGGCCGGAGGTCGGAGGTATCAGTAAACCACCTGTGCGATTTGACCAACTGCGGAGTTCATGGTGCGGCCTATGTTACTAATTTCGAGCTGCTGCAAATGTGGTGAGAGCCTCCGTTGGCGTAAGCAGCCTGGGGACTGCGGTTCTACCTCCGTCAAGCTGGTGTCTACGTGTGGCTCTGGGTCGCTATCAAGATGTGATGCCGGGTTTTGCGGCGCGGATTCGCATGGTGGGAGAGATTTGACCAAGGGGATTTCACGTCTGCTCTGGAGATACGGACGAAATGAAAAAAGGGCTTCAAAGTATAAATTCAATGCTTTCATGACCAGAGAATGGCAGGAGTACAAGGAGCCAACTCACGGAGACCGTCCAGTCGAAGCAGAAGAACACCGGCAGTCTGGAAGATTAGCTGTGTTTCTCTCGGTTGGATCACACCATGCCTTTCAGCACCAAGATCGAGCACTTCGAATCGTATGATCGGATCTCACCGGCAAAATTGTCTTCGGAGTATGCCTCGAAGAATGTATTGATCTCAGGCGGCGGTTATGGGATAGGAGCGTCCATTGCACGTTCATTTGCAGAGGCTCATGTGGCCAGCATTGTCATCGTGGGCCGTACCGAGTCGAGGTTGAAAGCCACGGCCGAAGAGTTGAAACGGGATTATCCTGAACCAAAGGTCGAGTACCGCGTGGTGGACATCGCTTCGGAAGAGTCTGTCAAGGACTTGTTTGCGTCCATCACAATACCACTCGATGTCCTCGTCAACAATGCCGGTTATCTCTCAAAGCGTGAGAATTTTGTGCACGCTGATATGAAGGAATGGTGGCGGTCGTTCGAGGTCAACGTCCTGGGGACGGCCATGGTTCTGCAGCAATTCCTCCAGGGCCGGGCTAAACAAAACGCAAAGGAACAAGCTGTGGTTATCAATGTCAATAGTGTCGCTGCTTACAACGTCCTTCTGCCAAGTCTCCTTTCGTCATACGTCGGAAGTAAGGCAGCGATGTGGAGGATGATGGAGACCATATCAATGGACATCCTGGACGAGACGGTCCTGCCTGGGAGCGCGAGACTGATCTCCATCCACCCGGGTGCTGTCGAGACTGACATGTACTGGAAGGCTGGTCTCGACGGCGTCGTGCAAATCGAATCCACCAACCCCCAACTGGCAGGCGATTTCGTGGTCTGGTGTGCGAGTCAAGAGGCAGCTTTTCTGGCTAACAGGCTGGTCTGGGTGAATTGGGATGTTGATGAGCTTGTGGCGAGGAAGGAGGAAATTGTGGACAAGGATATGTTTAGAACTTCCATGTCTTGACTTTCACATGCCCCTGAAGTAGCCTGTAGTAGATCACTGGCATATATGGCTACATGCTGAGATGCTTCACTGCCACAATGGAATGGCACATGCTCTCGAGGGAACGAATGTTGGGAGCCGCTTGAGTCCGTCTCCCTGTTCTGCCAAGCCAATGATGTTCTTCCGTTGGAAGTGGCGGCTTCTCGGTAAACCTTCCCTTCGTTTCCGCTTATCGTTATCACTTTGCCCCGCCCGGAGTTTGTCGCCGTCGCTTCTACATTGAGTCAAAATAACCAAAAAAAAAGTTGTTGAGCACTCTCCTACGCAGGCACATAGGACATCTCCTCGCTCCTTACCGTACGCTTCAGTCGTTGGGAACCTTGCCGGAACGATGGGTACAGGACTACTCGTCGCTGTCGACCCTGAGGCCATCCTCCAAGACGAAATCAAGGGTTTGACCCTGCAGCAGGTGTCGTACCTTGGACAATGTCTCGTCCAGGTCAGGCCGGAAAACTTCCACTCGAGCCTGACCTTCCTCCGCCAGAACTTCACCAAACTCGATATATACCTTGATGTTAGGAAGCTGAAGAGCTGGGACGATGTGGTTGACGTGCTTAACAACGGCGCATCCAAAATCTTCGTCACCTTTGAGCAGTTGAAGGTGCTGGCGCAGGAGCCGACCATTTCACCTGATCGTCTGGTTTTGACAATTTCACTTGTCAGTCCAAAGACCGACATTGCCAAACTCAAATCATTTCTTCACGAGAACCCCAAGTGGAAAACTTCGGAGTGGGCATTTGACGGCGACAAGGGCAACGAGCTTGTTGATACCGTCTTGAAAGATTTGGACAACTATCCCCCGAGTCAGGACCAACCGATTTACATCGCAATACCGAGCGAAACCGATGGAAGGAATCTACTCCATGAGTATCCTGGCAATGCGCTCATTGTCTCGTCCACCAAGTTAACGTTCGACCCATCCCAGGCGTCAGACAAAGATTTATTGTCGGCTGCGGAGTTGATCGTCGCGGGTGCTACTCCTGACCGGAAGACGGGCCTCTACGCGACCACGGTAGTGGATGAGCGGGGAGTCGCCCTGGGACTAGTATGGAGCAGCAACGAAAGCATTGCCGAAGCCTTAAAGACTGGCACAGGCGTGTACCAGAGTCGGAAGCGAGGACTATGGCACAAAGGAGCATCGAGCGGTGACACTCAGGAACTCATCAGCATCGGTTTCGACTGTGACAAAGACTGCTTGATTTTTCGAGTCCATCAGAAAGGCCGTGGCTTCTGCCATCTCGGGACAATGTCATGTTGGGGTAGGGTTTCTGGTCTTTCAAGGTTGCAGAGGACTTTGCAAGACCGCAAGGTCGATGCTCCTGCAGGTTCATATACTGCTCGCCTCTTCAACGACCCTAGACTCGTCAGTGCAAAGATCAAGGAGGAGGCAGACGAACTTTGTGCGGCAAGCTCAAAAGAGGAAATCGCCTCCGAGGCAGCCGACCTGCTTTACTTTGCCCTAGCTCGATGTATAGCAGCGGATGTGACCCTTGAAGACATTGAGAAGAACCTCGATCTGAAAAGCCTGAAAGTCAAGCGTCGGAAAGGCGATGCGAAACCACAATATGTCGAAGAAAAGCCTGTAAGTGAACAAGGGTCCGCGCAGCCCGAGAGCAATGGAACCAATGGCCACCAAGATGAAGACGTCAAGGAAGCTGCGTCTGTGCCGAAAGCTCCCTCAGATCCTGCCGGCCAAAACGAATCACGCCGGATACAGATGACGCGTTATTCCACCTCAAGGGCCTTCTCAGACGATACGTTAAAGTCGGCTTTACAACGACCTTCACAGAAGTCAAACGAGAAGATCATGTCCCTTGTCCAACCTATCATTGCTGATGTCCGGTCGAAGGGCGACTCGGCGGTGCTGAAGTACACGCATAAGTTTGAGCGGGCCACCGGTCTAAAGTCACCAGTATTGAAAGCACCGTTCCCCGAAGCTCTCATGCAACTACCTGAAGAAACCATGAAGGCAATCAACGTCTCATACGACAACATCCTGAAATTCCATTCTGCACAGAAGCCGTCGGCACCGTTAATCGTAGAGACCATGCCTGGAGTGACGTGTTCTCGATTCTCGAGACCGATCGAAAAAGTCGGTCTCTACATTCCGGGAGGCACGGCGGTTTTGCCGTCAACGGCACTCATGCTTGGAGTCCCGGCGATGGCTGCAGGATGTAAGAATATTGTACTCGCGTCACCCCCACGATCGGATGGTACAGTCACCCCAGAGATCGTGTACATCGCGCACAAAGTCGGAGCGGAAGCTATAGTCCTTGCAGGTGGCGCCCAAGCTGTTGCGGCAATGGCATACGGCACGGAATCTATCACCAAGGTGGACAAGATCTTGGGTCCCGGAAATCAATTCGTGACAGCTGCAAAGATGATAGTGAGCAACGATACTTCCGCCTCGGTCTCAATCGACATGCCGGCCGGCCCCTCTGAAGTGCTCGTCATCGCAGATCATACTGCCGACCCTGCGTTTGTGGCTAGCGATCTTCTCAGTCAAGCTGAGCACGGCACAGACAGCCAGGTCGTTCTGATCGCGATCGATCTTGATGAGAAGCAACTCCAGGCGATCGAGGATGAAGTCCACAAACAAGCATACGAGCTACCTCGCGTCGACATTGTCCGAGGCGCAATCGAGCACAGCGTAACCATCTCGGTTGGTTCTCTCAAGGAGGCCCTCAAGTGGTCGAATTACTACGCTCCGGAGCATCTCATCCTGCAAATTGCAGATCCGAATGCTGCTTTGTCAGACATCCAGAATGCAGGCTCTGTATTCCTCGGCGGCTGGACACCAGAGTCGGTTGGCGACTACTCTGCAGGCGTTAACCATAGCTTACCGACGTACGGCTATGCGAGACAGTATAGTGGCGTCAATCTGGGAAGCTTCATGAAGCATATCACCAGCAGTGAAGTGACCGAGCAGGGTGTGGGTGAAGTGGGTTATGCTGTAATGGAGCTCGCCAGGTGCGAAGGACTTGATGCTCATCGACGGGCGATGGAGCTTCGTCTAGAGAAACTCGGACTCGTCCCGAAGAAGTCTGCGCAGAAGGCCCCCACCGCCTCATCGCCGGACATTGAAAAGCACGTTTCATCGGCATTAGTCGATGGGAACGAAAGTCTTTCATCTGCAGCGGCTCCCTGAGCGATGTGTCGTGGAAGGGCGATTGTTCGAGGCAAGGCGTCACGGACAGGTTGTCAACTGTGTCATGTCACCGAAACCACTCCAGATTTCAGGCTATTGTGGGAGATAGATTGGGTATAGAAAAATATTAGAGCCCCAATGGCATTCAGACTGGATTGGCCTTCCCCACGCAACCTTTGTCGAGAGTTACAATGACGAGGTGTGTGCGAGGTGCGAGGCCGAATGGCTGACTAATCCGGCTCTTCTGGAAGAACGTTGTTCCGCGGTCTCAGGCAGCAATCGAAGCTAAATCCCTTCGGCTTGATTTCCAATATAGATAATTAATTAGTGATTTATAGCCCCTGAAACATCTCAACCACGGGCAAAAGGGCGTCTCGAGAAAGGCAATAGGTCTCATTGTCTCGTAAGCGGAGTCCGCCACCATGAGCACGTCTGAATTACCTGAGGTCCATAGCGAGGGCAGCGACGACAGCGACGAGGCGGAGCAATACAAGGGCGCCGCTCCCAAAGCCAAAACCGTCAGATCGAGTCGTGCATGCATAACTTGCAGACGGATGAAAACGAGATGCGAGATCGATGAGGCACTAGGAAGTGCTTGCAAATTGTGCATCAGGACGAGACGTCAATGCATTATGCAGGATATACCTCGACGAAGAAAAAGAAAGACGACCGAGAGAGTAGCAGACCTGGAAGAGAAGATCAACATTCTGACGGCGTTACTTGCATCCAAAGACGCTGGTGCATCGACCACGGACACTGATTCCGTCCCTAACCGACCCGACCCTGACCAGGAGTCGTCAGTAACGCCCGAAGAGAGCCTCATCGCGGAAGCGTTGTCACGAGGCCTCTTCGATTGGGAAACGGCCTGCGCGGCATTTGAGAGGTACCAGCATGAAATGAGTCACTACTTCCCGTTCGTGGTGTTTCCAAAGACCACGAACGCCAAAATTCTCAGGGAGCAGCAGCCCCTGTTGTTGTTTGCCATTATTACCGTCTCTATTTCCAAGATACGGAGCAAGGTTGATTCGGAGCTCTGCGACATGTTGGTCAAAGACCTTGCGCTGCGGATCGTGTACAAAGGGGAGAGGAGCCTTGAGTTGGTGCAGACTCTCCTTGTCCATGTCTGCTTCTACTCAAGGGCGCTGCAGATGCGCGACCTAAACTTCAATCAGATGACACACATCGCCAGCACTATGGCCACCGATATAGGCTTAGGGAGGCGTCCTCATCGGGCGACCTCGGAGCCACGCAACGGTCCTTACCAATTGGAGTCTCTTGCAGCACGGAGAGCTTGGTTAGGATGCTACTATATGGCCACGAGGTAGGTCATAACTAAACGGTCCGGTGACACTGCTGATACTGTTGCAGCATCTCGATGGCTCTCCGTCACCCTGCCTTCGTCCGGTGGTCCGTGTACACTGAGCAGTGCCTGGATATCATCTCAGTCGAACCCCCTGCGTTACCAAGCGACGTCTGGCTGTGTGACTTGATACGCATCCAGCGTATTGCTGAAGCTGGGTCGCTCGCCTTCTCCATGGACGACCCGGGCGCGAGTGTTACTCTTCGGGACATCAGAATTCAATATCAGCTGCGAGGCTTTCGTCAGCAACTCGATTACTGGCGACGACATGCGAGAACGGACTTGAGCCTGCGTAAGTCCGATGCAGGGTGCCCCGGGAAATATCTCGTGTAGTGCTGACTTCAGCAATGTGAAGCATACGTGCGGCACGTCGCGGCAAGTACCGATCTCTTCATCAACGAGATAGCTCTCCATCCGGAGCACGACATAGATGATCTTCGATCGCCGCTCCGTATTCCTCAGACTAAGGGACTGGACGAGCTTGCCTTGAAGTTCAAAGACCTGCACTTCATACCCGCCAGAGAGGAGGCCCTCTTTGCATGCCTGGCTGCTATCCATGAATGCTTCGATGCTTTGCTGTCCACAGACATTGCCACGGCTTCCACGTTACCAAACCTCTTCTTCGTCCGTACTGGATACGCCGCTCGAGCGCTGCGCAAGTTACTCAACATATGTGACAGCCAGGCGGAATACGAAGGCAGGTCCCATATCGACGTGAGGGATTTGAAGTTCGAAGAATATCTGAACTCCATCATCGCTCTACTGGCCAAAGTGCACTCTGAGAACAACTCCACCGTTGCGCGAGCTTTCGGATTAGTCCTTGCGCAAATCAAGGCACAAGCTTTGGAATCGTCCAAGTTGCTCTCCGCGGTCAGGTTGCCAGGCGATAGTAGCGGCATCGACCCGAAACTGGACCCGGACTCAACTTTTTCAATAGGTACAAAAGGGCCATGCGATGATCCATGCTACCAACTCTTGGGGAGTGCAGCAGTCTCACGGCCAGACTTTGCCACTGGAACGCCATTTGCTGCTCCTCCAACCCTCCCCATTCAGCCTCCACCGGTTGCTGGTCCCCTACACCCGCAAGCTCAGGTTCACCCGACCCCGTGGCAAGAGAACGATGCAGACGATGAATTCATGACAGGAATTGATGTTTTGCAGTGGTTCGAGCAGGATTTCGCCTTGACCTCTGGAGCCTTCGACTACGACGGTATGGGTCTGCAGCCTGCAGACGGGCATTGGCAGTATTGAAGCCGATGCTCGACGAACGTGCACAAGTACGATGGATTTAGGCACGTTCAAGGGCAACTCGGCGCCCGTGTGCGCCATGATTTTCATCCGCTATTTGAGCAGGTGCATCGTATAGGGGGCAACTTCCACTTTATGGAAACCTCTCAGCTTGTCCCTGCCACCATTTGTGCTCAGCTCAGTCGTGGAAGGTCAAAATATATATCGCTCATCTGAACCTGTTCCAGGAACCTTCCACTTCCACTTCACTCGCATCCTCCCATAGTATTGCTAATATCTTGGAGAACTGTTTCGTCATGTACATGAAGCTGACGAGGAGTTCCAGAACTTCGGCAGGCTTGTGGAGCTTAAGAATCCTCTTACTTCGTCTGAGATACGACAAGAACCACGGGTGCTCTTCAAGGCCTACTGACAATTCTACGCCATAAAAGCATGCCCGGAGTATTGTCCGGACAACTTCGTCTTCGAGATTCGACAGGTCGGACAGATCCAAAGCCTCCAATGCGGCCTTGAGCTGCGCTGACAGGCAGGGGACGAACAGTGCTCCTGAAGGCAGCCCAATGACGGCAGCAACGTCGCCGATCAACAGCACCCAGCGGACAAGATTCCTCACAATGAAGAGCCGAGTCAGGTGTCCGAGCGTGAGCAGATGGTAGTCTGCACGATGCACCATGCTCGATGAGGCTGCCTCAGAGGATGACCGGACAGGGTCTGATGGACACGGTCTTACAAGAACGAAACAGGAAGTCTGTCTTCTAATCCAACGACGTGGAGTGGAAAGGAAGAAACACCATGGGTCCTGTGAATGTGGATGAGCTCCTTAACCCGTCTAACCTTGCAGCACAGCAGCATCGTCGGTCTTTGGGCCGCATTCGACACATCTTTCATGGTCTGCTGAATGTCAGTCAGGCCCGATTGGGGGACTTTTTGCAGCTGACGGCCCTTAGAAGCGAGAACTTGGACTTCTTCCTCGATCCTGCCTTCTTCTCATGCCTGGGGCAGGCGTTGGCTTTCTGTCTGGCCCCGGGCGGCAGCTGGCACATTTGCTGTTCGGGGGTTCGTCGTCATATGTGCACGGTCTATGGCTGGCATTCCTTCGAAGGGTCGCTAGGCCCAGTGGCTATCTCATGAAACTTCCGGTGTGACAGTCTGGCAACTCAGTAAAAGGGGAGGTCGAGGGTCTAATTGATTACGCAGGGTGTTAGGCACCGTTCCCCATCAGGACTCCTCTCCATCCCTGGATCTATCTAGCGGCATGCAGGCTCAAGAGCTTACCCGAAAGAAGCTTCGACGGAGGGAAGGCACCACTCATACATTGAGACTAGCTGTGACTAAGCAGATTTCCACCTGAATCAGCAGGGGTTTGGGGTTGAGATCTGACTGGACTATCCCGCGTTCACAGTGGGATCGCTGGTCTAGAATTAACCGCTGCTAACCGACAGCATGGAACGCGTCTATCGGGAATGCCACCGGGCGCCTGAGATATGGCAGCAAGAAAAGCACGATTCTGGCTCAAGGTTTGGCAATCGTATGACCTTACCAAGTGCATCACCTGCACATGTCCAAAGGACTACGGCAATTGCGTTGGATGTGGCACTATACGGCATTGCTCAATTCTGTCTAGGAGAGCTACTTTGTACTCGGGAGCTTGATTGACTCTTCATTTCCATCATTTGCGTCTCGAGGTCCTCATACATCAGCCTGAAATAGTCACGCTGTGCCCGGGTCTGCTTCAACTCCTCATTCATCGCCTCGACATTGCGCATCGTCTCATGGAGGAATCGGTTCCGCTTGTCTCGGTGCCGGACCTGTGCCGCTCTGTTCTGTTGCCTCCGACGCTGGATTCGACAGTTAGCCAAGGTACATGTCACTATATTCGGCCCATGATCTACCTCTTTCCTGGTAGGTACAGCTGGTCTCGAGTCTTCGCGTATCTGTGGCTCGATCGTAGAGAAGGCGGACTCGGGGTTGGCCAAGTCTCCATAGTCTTGAGGCGTCGGGGGCTGATGGGAATAATCGCCCTCGGGGACGAAATCAAGCGAAGTTGGAAGACATGTGCAGTATGTGTCGGGGGTTGCTCCGCACACGCAGCTAACCAGAGTGTCTCTGGTCCAAAACGCGAAATGTGAGCCAAACGCCGTGTTCCAACCCGGAGTTGGTCTTTCTTGCTCGAAATCAGAGGAGAACGCGGAAGCCACTTCGTCAATATCGTTCATCACTTCCACCATTGCTGACGAGCCTGTGTGGAAAGATGGAGCCAGACTAGAAGAGTCGGCGATTGGTTTGCTGGGGCGTTGCAACGCAGGACGTTGTAATGGTCTGGTTCCAACCCAGTCAGATGTGGCTGCTGCAGGAGAGTGTGTAGTCCTTTTGAGCCGGCTTGCTGTAGCAGGATCTACTCACGGTTTCGACGTCCCCATCTCCCGTCCTCCACCATTGTACCCCGGTTGCAGCGCGACAGACTCTGCACTTATACGGCGTGCCATGAGAGACTCCCCAGCCGGCGGACGCACACATGGCCACCCACATGGCTATATCAAGGTTCGAGCCCCAGGCGTTCAGCTCCGACAGAAAAGTGGAGTGCGAAGGGATCGTCGAGCTGCCACAACTGACTCAGGGCTGGAGAGTAGTCGTGGCCATCGGAACCGTGGATTTTGGCCCCAATTCCACCGTCTAGTACCAAGACGTGATAGAACAAATGCACCACGGAAGCAGGCTGGCGTCACCATTATGCATTCGAGATTCACCGGTCGCCACGGTTTCACTCCATCTGGTACGGCGACAGACCCTTTTGTACCTGCCTGGCTACCTTATCTCCGCAACATGGCTTTGGGCGACCATCCAATTGCAGGTCCATAGCTGGCGGAAGCTCCGATCTTTTCGACGCCCACGCGAGGAAAGAGGTCCTCGAGATCGGTCATTTGCTGGACAATGCGAACCCGAAGCAGTGCTTCATTCAGGGGTCCCTGGAGCCAAGGGCCGGCGGGATCCAGCCAATCGGCTTCTGTTACCCGTCGGTCCCGCAGCCCTGCGCCTTGCAGGGGGCACGAACTTCTAGTATTGATTGGCCGGGATGCTGCCAAATGGCCGTTTCTGGAGACAAACCAGAGCAGTGCTAACTGCGTACCGAATGGCCCAGAACAGTAAAAGCTACGCAGGGGATCGGCAACAAGCACAGCCGGGCCGTTGCTTGACTGATTAACTCCGCACTTTTGGACTCTGGAGGCCATGGGATTTCTGGTTTCCCCATCGTGAGGCCACATAGAGGGCGCCACTCTACCCAGGGCGCCAGGGCACCTACACAGTACTCGACACAGGTTAACCCCCTACTTACAGTAGTTAGGTTAGTGGTGCCCACGGCACTTTCCTACACGATTCCACGTCGATAGGTCTATGGACCATGGAAACAGCACATGCCACGCAAGCCACGCAAGCCGCACCATGCGAGATACGCGGCGTATCGCGGCCGTTTATCTACTTATCTGACATCGGCTGTCGACCAGCAGTCGTACGGTATTGTACTCCAGCTAATTGCTGCAGTCAAACAACAAAAGTACCAGGCTGTACAGTACGCGCTGTCCATTTCTCCGCCCATTTCTCTGCCACAGTCGATGCTACAGTACCCAGCTGATCGCTTAGAAATCGCGACCGGTCCACCAAGCGAGTAGGCAAGCAAGCGCAAGAAGCGCCCCGACTCGACGGTCTGGACTATGGCAGAACTAAACGAACTTCACCGTCAATCATATTTCGCTAGTCGGCTATGAGAAACACCCACTCGTGCAGCTCACCATGTGTACGCTATGATGGACGAAGAGACTAGTATAAAAGATAGTATGCATTCCGATCATCGAGCGTCGAACATCAGCTTTTGAATATATTGACTATTTTGGCCTCGACTCACCAATGCAGCTAATCACAGCTGCTGTTTTCTGCGGCCTGTTTCCCGTAATCCGTATCCTATATCCTATGTCCTTGTGGCTATATCCTATGTCCTGTTGGCTGTATCCTCTGGCCTGTGTCCTGTGTCCGACATCTATCCTGTATGCTGTAGGCTGCTGAACAGTATGACAAGTTCCGAGATTCGAGAACAGTATTCGCGTACGCACGTAAAGACCACTCACTCACTTCAGTTTCCAAGTGCGTGTATCCTTGGGGCAAGGTACTTACTCACTTCAGCCTCCAAGTGCGTTTGTATGAATCCTCACTGCTCAGGGCAGGGCAGATATGTACCTCATCTACTTCGGTACATATACACACATGCAGTCCTATTCTGTCGACCACTGAAGACGTCCGGGACAAGGATTCACAATTTCACATACTACCTAGGTAAGTATGCCCCCATCCATTGACCGAATGCGGAAGGATCAGCGGTGTCGGTCAGCGCGGCCGCTCGGGTTACGGGGCTCAGGGCCCTGGCCAGGCTTTGAAGGTTGAGGCTCTCTGATCTCAACTTGTCAGAGGTCAATCCTAATCATACTAGGCGCGGATACACTACCTCTGAGTGGTAGACCGCGTACTTGGCCGGTGAGACATGAACCAGATACCTTTCTGCATACATGGTATTTTGTCGGGTATGGGCTTGAAACACCTCCATGCATAATTACACGATACTTGCCTGTTCAGAGTCCGCTGCGTTACATTGTTACTATCATCATGTGTTCGTGATTGTTTAGAGTACACTCAATTGCAGTGAGCACTGCATGCCTGTCTGTAGCCTACACTGCCATGCTAGGCACAGGATACACCATCTCGGAGAAATGCATGGCTTCTTCGTCACGCAGGGCTACCACCTCATCCCAGAGCTCCTTGTGTTGTTTGTCATCCTGGTACTCGTGCCAGATGACCTGTTGAAGACTGGCCTTCATGTCCTCCCACGAATGGATCTCCAGATCGGTCGCCACGTCGGCGAGTTGGCTGACGAACCACTTGTGCTGGGCGGGCCCGTAGGGGCACGTGCCTCCCACGGAGAGAAGCCACAGCAGGAGCTTGGTCGACACGTGGCGCTGGTCGATCAACGGCCTCAGCGTCAGGAGGAGATTGTGCTGCGCGGTGCTCACCAGCAGGGTCGGGTCCGGCTGGTGACCGCACCACTGGGCGAAGACGTGGATGATCAAGGCGTGACGGCATGCGGTGGTAATGGCGCTCTCGTAGCTGCCTATGCCGCTGACGCCGAGCAAAGGGTCGTGCGCGGGCAGGGGCAACGTGAGGAGACGCTGCAGGGTGGAGCACAGGAAGGTCAACACGTCCTGGTACTCGCGGGCGGAGCCGCAGTCGTTGGCCGTCTGGTAGGTCTTTGCCAAGATGCGCAGGTTGAGCATTAGTTCAGAGTACTCCGGCGTGACACCGTGGGCTTGGAAATCCAGCGCGTGGTTGGCGTTCGCGCTCGGGTTCGGGACGAGCTCGCTAGATTTGGACTGGCTGGTTGTCCCGCCCGAGCCACTGGCGAAGGAGAAAGACCGGTCGAGTTGCAGGCTGTGGTAGAACCAGGGGGGTCGCTGGACGATCGTGTCTGCGTCGCAGGTGGGGAAGTCCACATCGGCTGCCGCCACGAACATGCTATAGTTGAGGGTCCGCCATGTTAGAAATCGTTACTCTGGAACATTGGTTGCTTAGTGGAGGAGACGGAGAGTTCCGCTTACCAGAAGAGCACGTTTGCAATCGTAGGGTTTGAGATACGAATTGCTTCCAGCCCGCCTCTCACCTCCAGCATCCGTCTAAGCCCAGTAACGTGGATGCGGGAGAGACGCAAACTGCCCTTCTCGTGCTTTATAGTAGTAGTCAGCGTCCAGCACTTGAGAGAAAGGAGAAGACAAGTCGAACCTCTATAACGGCAAGCCCTGCCACAGCCGCCAGCGTCTCATCCGAGACACAGATGGGGAATGGTTCATTGATCCTGTTTTGAATCAGGTCCATGCACATCTTCGAGAGCCGTATGCATCTCACGCGTTCGTTCGGCGGTAGGTGCCGCTCCAGTCGAAACGCGCTGATCAGGAGAGTAACGTGAAATAACACTGTATCCTTTGTTATCAATGGGGCAAAGAATTCCAGCACGGGATTAAGCGTTGGGGTCGGATACTGTTTGGTCTCCGTTAGTCTCCAGTCTTGTCAGTCACAACCACGCCGCGATAGGCGGTGCTCTCAAGGGTGGAGTGGTCCTTACATAAGGAAAGACGTTGAAGATATGCGATGAGAAATCTGCCACATGGTCAGTTGGGGCCCGTTCCACTCCCTGCCTGACCGGTGTGAACTGACAGGTCCCCATCAAAAGGTTGATGTCAGGTTCCACTGAAGGTGGATGTTGCGTGAACGGATCCCAGTTCGACGAAGCAGGCCTGGCAAGGGTCGAGAACCCGACGTCCTGGCGATGGCGAGACTTCGGCAGGATTGGCACCGCCTTCAGCGGACTTCGCAGTTTGTCCGCTGCAGGTTTCTTCGTCATCGATTCCTGGCTGCTGGGACTTTCGTCGCCGTAATCGCACTTCTGGATATTGGCATAATGAATGGCGCATTTGTCACATACTGGACGCTTTTCATCGCACTGGTGGTTGTGTCTGTCAGTCAGGGTGAAGCGGCTGATGGTCTTCTCGACTCGAACTCACCTTGACTTTCCTCAACTTGCAATTCCGACAGCCCGTCCGGCTCTTCTGGTGGACGCGTCGCGGTACAGGGTATGGCGCCTGGTCGGCGGGTGATTCCTCCGACATCTGGTGAGGAGGCTTGGGAGGTTGTGCGGGAGGAACTGCTCGCGTTCGGCATCGTATCGGTGGGGCGTCTCGAGGCTCATATACCTCGAGGCCTGCCACCTCTGCGTCAGTAGCACCATATCGATCGACAAGGCTGTGATGTAAAGGGAGAGCCTCTAATCCAATACAAGCAGTGGAGCCGCTCAAGGCTGGAGGAAGTGCTAAGTCAGCCGCAGAGAGGGAGAGCAGCAGACGCAGGATGGGGTTGCTCCGAGCTGGTCGGCGGCGTATCGACAGCGGTAAGGCAGAGACGCATCATGTCAGCACACGTTTTGTAAAGACGGGTCGAGAAGGTGCATTTTAGGCGTCCCGAGGGCTGTCTTCTGAATTCATTCTCGGATTCGGCTGGTTCCTTCCAATACATCTTCCGGGCTCTGCGTGGCTGCTGCACTTGCGGATCAAGTTGCTTCCAGAACACTGGAAGCTTCTGCTTGCGAGCTTCTGATGGAAGTGATTTGGCAGCCAAGATTCCGCGTTCATGACGCGTCGAGCCCTGGCGAGCTTGCTCAGCTTACTTTCACCTTTCATAAACAACGAATCTAGAACTATCTCTAGCGTTGCTCTACGTAGAACTCCCTTTCTACAGAAGTTCTGCGTCATGGAGGCATCGGAGGCTCACAACCACCATTCAGCCACGATTTCCGCCGTGCCACCAGTACACACCGCCGGCATTGCATGCAGGCCTCCTGTGACGAGATGCGCCACATGCATGACCCGCCAACCGGCCGTCACGCGTCGTAGTCCTGGAGAACTTCTGTGAATCCCAGTCTCTCGTAGCTGGGACCCTGCTGCCGTCGACAATTGGCGGTCCATTCTGCATGAGCACCGAGTGAGTATTTCCTCAGTCTCCTCGTGGCTCCTTGCGCCTCGACATTTTTGGGCTCGAGACTTGCATCCAGTCACATGCGTCCGCTTTTCATCAGTGAACGCAAGCTGTCTGCTGTGGTCAAGGCCAATTATGCGACACTCCCCTGCGTGAGCCCGCCACCCGGGTTTCAGAAGCGCCTCGCAGTGATCAAGCTATTCCGAATTGACCATGTCCACTGCGGGCTGCGCATACAGTACGGGGCGAAGACAGCAGGCAAGCCTGCATCCTGCCGAGTTGGTAACCAAAGATGGGCGTGTCCCTGCACGTACTCCGTAGAAAAAACCGAATATCTTGTCCACGGCGAACGGATAATGTGTTGACCAGGCATGCCAGAGAGTATCTGCGGTGAGTAGCCGGAAGCCTCAAGTGAAGAGCCATGTTGCTTTCAGCCTTACTTCACTTTCTGTTTTTTTCACCTTTGATTTCTCTCGCACCCAAATGTCCGCACTTCCCCATCCAGATATCTCGGGGCTTCATCAACTATTATGGCTATTACGCTTGTCTTGATGGTGTAGCTCAATCTCAGGTTCTTTCTGCCTTCGCCAAGTGCCTGTATCCCGATGAGATAAATCAACGCAGAGGCGGCATTCGGACCCTTTGACTTGATGAACCATTTTCACCTCAAGCTCAACAATCGCCTTTTCCATCTCAAGCCCAACAATCCCGCTCCTACATGAACAGAAGACCATCAAACGAAACTGGTCGTCGCCTACTCTTGAACTCAGCCGCAAAATGTCCGAGAGCGACGAATACGATGATTACTCTTCGGACATCGACTACGAAACTGAGGATGAGAACAGCGATTTTAAAAAGCGCAAGACCGTGCCATTAGCGTTCACAAAGTCGTACGCCCCTGACTGGACCGAGAAAGATGCTTTCAGAGAGTTCTATCAAAATTGGTATGGGAGCTTCTCTCTACTCTGCTGTTTGCACAAGATTGACATTTTATAGGCGAGACGGCATTATTGAGTCTTTCAACCTACGACCCGATTTGGTCCGGCCGGTCTTCGCACGGAATGACCATCATGAGATTCACATCACCGCATCGTTGGTTGCCGAGTCCACCGCAGGCACATCTACCCCAAGATTGTTTGGATATATCATCTTCAAGAGCCAACCAGGAAGCCTGGAGATAACCAATTTCGAGGCTAAACTGGAACGCAGACATCTTCACTTGGGAGAAACGAACAAACGCGATGACCCACGCTCTGCAGGAGGTCACGGTGAGGGCTTCAAAGTGGGAGCACTGGTATTGCGTCGAAGCGGCTATTCTGTAAAATTCGAGACCAATTCTCTATATTGGAACTTCGGTTTCGCAAGAGACCGCGCTCTTCTCTGTTGCGCCCTAACCAAACCACAACAGTCAGTGCTGATCAAACAGGCAGAGAAGTGCCGGAAACAGAAAGGCACGCCAAATCAAACACGAGGGCTTGTTGCACGCATCCGAGAGGACATGACTGTCAAAATCGGTAAATCGACAGACGACAAGCATGGCGTTAGACCCAAGAAAAGAGGGATCTCGGAGGAGACTTTCCGTGCCTGGCTCACGGTTTCGCTTGATCTAGATCCGCCCAATGCAGCGCAGGTAATACACACACCTGCTGGTGATCTGATAGGTGATCCCCGGTATCGTGGTCGGGTCTACCTCAAAGGTCTTCTTGTTAGCGAATACGGTGACCACAAGTCTGGTGGGAAGAACTACCGGTTTGGTTACAATTTCAACAGCGGAAAAGTCAACCGCGACCGGCAGAGCGTTGTGGATCTGAATGAAGAGGCGAGAATGTTAGCCAACATCTGGGAATCAGCCATCGCCATGAAAGGGGTGGCCATCATTGATTCTTATGTCAATTTGTTCAACCAAGATGGGGAGGTTCCGGACATAGCGATGGCATTGGACCATGTTTCGCGTCTTACAGCAGTGAACATCTGCAAATATCTCAAGATGTTCCATCCAGAAGCGTTCTTCTACTCGGACCGACAGGAAAGCGAGCAGAATCCAACTACAGACGTGGGTTTGGGAGCTTGCCGGGGAATAGGCGTATGCTAACGATCGTGAAGGAAGACATTATCTCACAAGAACTCAAGAAGAAGCCTTTCAAGCTGGCGAAGAAGCTTTGGCAGATCATTCGCAAATATGAAGACCAACAGGGCCGACAATTGATGCTTACACCTCTTCAAGAAAGAAAGCGCTTGTTCTAAATGTCACCGCGTATCGGCCTACCCACCGATGTGTTTGGCCTCAACATAGTCCGGGCTTTGAAAGGATCGTTTTCGCTCGACAGCAAGCTGATGGATTTGCAGTTCGAGTTTGTCGATGGTGCCCACACAAGCATTGATCTCCTCTACGACCAGAACCTCAAAGTCCTCCACATTCATGGGAAGTGGCTGAACTTTACGCATATGCACCGAGGGTCTAATTGTGAGTTCTTCAGAGCCATTGGAGAACATCCGGTGGATAGTGATCACGGCTTTGTCTGTGACCACGTCGTCCAAGATTTGCTCGAAACAGCCTTCGATGAACTCCGCATCCCTTTTGGCTTAACACATGAAGGCGCCTCCTGCCTTCGACGAAACGCAGTTGAATATCTACGACAAACGCCTAGAGCTGTCACACTCAAAGTCCCGACAGCCACTAATACGCTGAAGGTCAGCTGGATTGGAAATGAGAGCGGGATCTTGATCCGGCAATTCGGTGCAAATATCCACTATTAGGTCACCCTTCACAAGGCAAGCTCATGCGAGAGGGAGATGGGAGTCGTTCTGAACACAAGCAGTACGTCACGCATCTCTTATAAGCTTGATTTAACATTATAACATAGCTAATATCAGCTCTGGAGACAGATATCTCAGGCACACCAACCGAGCCCGACCATGCCGAGAAGGCCTGTGGCTGTCCCGCACAGGTTATTGCACGGGCGGATTCTAAGGCCATTTTCACAGGACTTGACCACATCGAGGCATATTTCCCCATGGTATCGAGGACACAAGGGCCATCCTTTTTTGGACTGCCCCCTCCAGCACTGAAGCCTAGAGAACCTACAATTGCTACGGCGCAACCGTCTGATGGGCAGCATGGCACGGCGATTCTTCTGAGGCGGCGAGAAAAGACACATTCAGTCAATTCCAGTCCCTTCGATGACTCAACAGACGGCTCTGGTAATGTCTTCGACAACTCATCAGACACCACTTGTGGCTCTTCCGACGACTCCTCAGAAGGCCTTTGGGATGACTTCGACGACTCTCCAGCAGCCGCTTCTAGTGACCCCAGCAACTCAATAGAGCCGTCTGCAGTCCCTCCTAGCGACTTCCACAACACAATCGCGCAAGAAGATGAGAATACGTGGGCCGAATGGCACGACCAGCATCTCCCACAAGCTTTCTCCGGCCTCATTCCGCCACGAAAAAGCGATATTCAGGTATGCCCTCGGCGCTCGCTGTGTTTTGAAACCCTATTCGAGGCAATCTCTCACACTCACATTTACAGGTCCGCGGAGTTCTTCTGCAAGCACCACTGCACGACCGGGATCTCAACCATACCTTCGAAAGACGTCAGTATGCGTGGGTTCAGCTAAATGAAGACTCAGGAGAACAGGTCGTTTACATCCACGATATCTTCCAGCATGAGAACCAATCCGAAGTCAACCATTATTTGCTCGCCACGCTATATTCATCCTTCAGCTCGATCTTTCCGTTTGGCAACGTCCCGACTAATGGACGTGCAGCAGAGCGTGAAAACGAACTGATTCTGCACTTCGGTGATTTCGCAAAGATGAGGACGCCTGAAGATGCGACTCTAATCTTGCTTGCCGAAATCTCTGCAGCACGATATCTTGACGCCAGTACGACCACAGTCTCTCACGTGTTCCAACACCTTCCAGGTACGTCCTAGTGACGAGCCGATGCGACTTCTGCTAACGCAGACTCAAAGGCGACCATGAGGATCTCTTTTGCCGTTTTGCCATCCGCGACTCCGCAGCTGAAAGTACCGCATCCCTTACACCTCTGGCTGCGCATCTGGTAGAAACTCGAGAGGAGCTATGGAGCAGGCCCAAGCCTTGCAGCCTGGGCACGCCTCTGGTATTCGACCTGAGCCCAGAGGTACTGGGGGTTTCCGAAGGGTTTTCTCAGGCTGGCTTCACCATTCAAGCAGCGTTTGGCATTGACGAAACCCAGCCCAGCACGTGGAAGGTATGTTGCGTCGTGATACCACACCGTTGCGTTCTCGAATTTTGCTGACTCCTTCAGGTCCGACACAACTCCGCTCAAACATTTGATGGAGCCATCCTAGGTACTTTCGATGACCTCAACACAAGGAAGCTTTTGCCTATACAACTACCAGATCCGGTGCCCCCTCGGATTGTACTTTTTGCTGGTAGACACACAAATTTCAGGATCAACGAGCTGAACGAGCAGATGCCGTCGTTGGATCAATTCCTGCGCGACCTCCAAGTCGTCGACAAAGCCGCTGCAGAAGAAGGTCCCAATTTTCTCGTCATGTTCATGTCTCCCGCCCTCCTCCATCCGTCTGCGAGCTCGAGGTTTTCCGAAACCGTTCTCGGACTTCTGAAGATGAGGTACTCCGTGCACATGAAGATTGTTCAGGTGCAACAATACGGCTTGCCGCAACAACGAAGCATATTGATTATTGTGGCATCGTCCATTTGTGCGCCGCTACCTTGGAAGGATGAGAGATACACTGTGCAGCCCAGAAATGCCGTTGGCCTTGGCGAATTACTCGCAGACTTGAATTTCGAGAACAGTCGAATGGCCGACAAGGAGTGCTCCGGATTTGTGTGCTCGCCTCCCCAGGATCATGACAGGGCAAGAAATTCTAGCCTCGTTCACGTCTACAATCATTACACCGGAATCAGCGTTGCTGATGGCCTTGGGCGAATCGATATGGAGGCAAGCACTACCTTGAGACTGGCTGAAGGACCGAAACCGTGGAAGCACCCAGGTTCGTGTCCGGCGATAAGTTCACCCAGCCTTTCTTGTTTGCTGACCGTCCGTCACAGATAGGCCTGACAGACTCACCGTTCGCGAACTCGCTCGCGTGCAGGGCATTCCTGACGACTTCAAATTCTGGGGCACGATAGAATCAGAATACGAGGCTGTATGCAAGGCGATACCTCCTGTCATCGCGAGGATGGTGGCAGACACCATCCGCCAGGCCATCCGGAATACCTTGACAGTCACGGTAGACCCCCGTAGAAGGAACAAGAGAGCGAGAGTGGCTGTTGCCGAAGAACATTGCTGAAGGTAAGATGAGGTCGTGAGGACCGGTAGCTAATGCTTGACTCCGAGTCGTGTGCTTGTTGCCCATTTGTGCAATGACTGCGAAGCTACGCTGGCTACGCTACTTTAGAGACATGGATAGCTATTGGACAGGGTCTGGATCCGGCATTGGATATGGACGGACCCGCTTCTTGGTTCAGCTTACGCACTTGGCTGGTGGCCGCTGTGAGATGACGACGAACGACCCGGAAGGTTCGCCGTACGCATACTGTCTCCTGCATGGATGTCTCAGTTTGACTGAGCGGGTATGGCTGGTGAGTTGGGAAATGAAAGTCATGCGACGTGACGAATACTTCCCATGAAACATGGAATGCGCAGCGGGCGAGCACAGGTCATGGCTACAGGTGATCGCTCCGAACTCTCTCAGCTGTGTCTCCTTCTACTTCGAGCTCACTCTTGCAAACAAGGCAAAGCATAACAACAGCATCTCGCTCTCTTCACCTATTCTTCCATTTCTCTTCCATGAGTCCAAATAACCCTTTGTGTTACCAGTAATTGGCAATATCGGATCCGATCGCAGCGACCTGGTGGTTCACTAGAACGGCTCTCGAGGAAATGAAATGCGATATGTGGGGGGAAGGCTCATGCTGCCGACTAAACGACCGAGATAAGGGGATGCCGTCCTTGCACCAATCCTTGCGCCTATCCGAGAGTATCGACGCGACCAAGGAGTCATTATGCCAGAACGAACACAACAACGTCAGCTCTGGTTCGGTCCTGTTCTCTCCGCCTCATGGGGAAGCCACGCACAAACCTAGGAAAGGAAGGAGCGCGACCCTCGTATCCAGCATCTGCCTTGGAGATAGCTGACTGGCTGGCTAACTGGCTGACTGACTGAATAACTGGTTGGCTGACTGTTCGTGGACCGCGCGACAGAAACCTCTAGGCCGAAGCCCTCACCTCCATGATCTCACTTTATTTCACTTCCCTTCCTTTCACTTGCCCATCTACACGGTACTGTACTCTGCAGCATGTCCTCTTACCCGCACAGCCATCACATAGATGACAGCCGTAGCCGAATTGCCAATCCCCGACAAACTCACAAACTCACAAGAAGAGGGGTATGTAGGTTGGCACGGGCTGGCCATGCATCAGACCGAGTGCTGGCGACGACTGGTTAAATTGCTGCCCATTCGCCAGACCGAACGCGAGCGCTGACGAGGAACCACGACGATCATACCCCTATCCGCCACGATATGTACTGCGGTAGACCCGTGTAGACAAACCACGAGTATGCCGCGTGCCACTCCAAGACATGAAGTCGGGTGTTAAAGGGATTCACGACCCTAACGGGCGCCAATAGGGACGTACCGCTTCGGAGGCCGCGACTCGGCGTCCCGTGCCCTTGGAATAGAGGCGTCCTATTCGAGGGATGCCCGGTTGCGCGGCTGTGCAGTTCCGGTGTGTGTCCTTGATTGTGGGGCTTCCGCTGGCGCCCAGCGAGCGAGCCGATAGATATTGCGGGGAAATGGGGATCGGGCGGGTCGTGCGCGTGGAGAGTCGGGTAGGATTCACACACAAGGTACCTCTGTCGGTGTACTGCGTGGACAGGAGGGAAAGGGACGTTGGAGCAATCTGTAGAGCAGACGCGAAACATAGGAACATACAACACATCACTCAAATCACCGGGCAGGTTGTACGTGGCACACATTTGGTACGAGAAATTTAGGAGATGGAGAGCGAGAAAAGGCAGCGCGAGAAGGTCCGAAGATAGAATCATCAATTCATGGTACAGGATCTGTATGACATTCATGATATCCAATTTTCCCAGAGGCTCTCGTGGCGTTGAGAGCCCTTGAGGCCCGGTCCCTCGTAGCTAATCACTCTGTATGCAATTCCCAAAAACATGATATCGCAACTCCTTCAAGGCGAGGTACTCGTGTAGTGAGTACCGGGACACTATCATTCCCCCTGCAGGCTGATACACAACTCCAGTAATATGCAATGCAACGCAACACAACACAAAGTATCATGTCATCCTGTTAAGACACGCTGGATATAAGAAAAGTCGTTCAAGATCGCCCCCTGCCGAGGTCGACTCGTTGGAATGAAAGCTGGTTGCAGACATCGCCTTTACCAAAGTCCACTCGTCTGAATGAAAGCTAGTTGCCCAGCTTCAGGAACTTATGCGCGACGACCTCGGGAGACTCGACTATGTTGGAAGCGAGAGTAGGGTTTTCGACGGAGGAGGCGGACCCCGTGGAAGTGGTGGAGCTGGATCGACGGGTCTTCTGCAATGCCGGGACTAGTGATTCGTCGATGGCGGGACCATCAATCGGAGATGTGAAGGGTGACATGGTAGCGACACGGTGTGTGGCAGGAATGAGGGTTAGGAAGTTGTGAGTCGGGCTCGACATGTTGTTGCTGATGTGGAGGACGGTGGTAGTATGTGTGCAAGTCGTGAATGTCGTGTTCGCAGAACTTCAGAAGGTGATTTCCAAGCGCAAGGATGTAGACAAGGCGCTCCTTTATGAATGTTCTTTGTCTCGAATGACGCAACAGGGGCGGCTTTGCTGTTTGAGATTGCCTTGAGTCGCGGATGTCACGAGGTCGTATTTAAGACTTTGGGTTGCTTTGTTGAGGGAGAGAGTTTCTGCTGACAGGAGCGGTGTGTGTTGGAACTCGGTGGACTCGTGATGAGATATTTTGATATAATGGCCCAGGTAAGAAGTGAATACTCGGCGGTGAGAAGCTGTCAAGCAGAAAAGGACTTCTACCTGTCGAGAGGGGCTGTCATGTTTTATAGACACGCCCACACTCCCACATCCATCATGCAAGCGGGCACACCCGAGATAGGGTCAGAAAGACACGACTCGAAATTGATCGTGGTCGAGGGGTTCCCTGGCAATCTTTCAGTCGAGGCTTTCAGCGACGAATTGGATGCCTGCACAGGGCGGATGAAACCGGCAAAATTGTTGGCTGTTGTCGAAAATGTTTCGATGCACAGGATATCGAGGCATAGATCTGCCGAATTGGGAAATGTCAGTGGTGGGACCGGCCCAAGCTTCACGAGCTAATGTAAGCCCGGCAATGACCGTGGTTAACCTCGGTTAGTGTGGTGTGATAATCAGGGCACGACAATGCACAAAGCATGACGAGATTGAGAGTTGTCGGCCTACAGACCGCCCCCGTGGGAAGACCGGGCTTGCTCAATTCCCCATGGCTGAAGAAGGGCATTCTTCCTTGATTGTGGTTGGCTGCAATATCCATGATTGAGCGGTGTACACGACAGTGCTTGCAGAAGCCTTGTGTAAGCTGGAGGGATAATGTGCAAGGTACCGCTCGTGGGAGATGCACTTCAGCCCACGCTATCGTGCGATACTAGAAGGAGTCTTACCAAGATCGTGAATCTCTCACGGAAAAGCACGGAAAGCGACTGGGCCCCTCACGCACGAGGCGAGGCTTAGCAATTGTGATGTCTGACAGCTTGGGTTCCTTAGGCCCGAAAGCAGCACCGTGACTTTAGGACGATTGATCCGAAACGTTGTGTAACTGTGCATTCACATCTGACATAGGTCAAGATTGAGAAAAGCAACATAGCTCTGGAATGGTCGAGTGTCGGCCATCCACCTTGAATGCATTGGCAATCACGTCTGTGATAAGATGGCAAGAAGGGAGAGTACGAGGCAGAGTGGGATGGACTGAAAATGAGTCCACGTTCGGTGGGCTTGGCCTACGTCATGGCTTTGTAGCCGCCTCGTCAGACCTGCCTCGCCTGTCATCGCCGGCAACTTCTCTACACAGTACTGGACAAAGTATGTACAGAGTATGCTCCAGGATGCTGCCATGTTGAGAGCGACGCCTGTACACTGCGCACACCAAGACTAACACTCGGTTTTCTGACAGATCAGTATCCTTCGGGCGGAGACAACGAATTCTGCGCCCATGAGCAGTCCTTGTACTGATGCCTTCCAGACCTGATAGCACGTGTGCGTTGTCGCTCTCTTCTGAGAGATGACCACAGGCTGAATCTCCGCAACGTTGGCAGTAAACACCCGTATTCGTGCTCCCCGCCGCAATGTATGATGGCGACTGTGGGCAAGGCAGAGATTTCCAGCGTCATCGCTCGCTGGCATGCAACATTGCTCGGCACGTAAGCAGGTCAATCTCAATCATGAACCAGCTTCCCATGGTCTCACTAGTCTACGTGATATTCATGTCCAGCTCCCTTGTTATTCCGGTAGACTCGTGAGGTCTGTGGCTCACGCAACAGTGGCGAATCATCAAGGACCAAGTGATGAGATATCGCCAGCTTCCTGATATCGAATCAGGTCTCGACGAAGCTTGTCATATTGCATGTTGACTGCTGCGATTTGCCATGAGTTATTCATTGCACTTAGTTGCAATATATAATGCCATCCAGAATGCTTCCCTAGATGCTCTTCATGCTTCTATGACATGAATATCAAATTACTTTCATTCCACGTCGGCGCACGCCAAGCCTTAGCCTGGCGGTGCATCACCCGGGGTTTGTACATGACAGCTCGTAACCTTCTTCATCAACAACCTAAACAATGCACTCCGCGCTGAGATGATCGCGCTGGCTCGCTCCGTAGTGACAGAGGATGTCGGTAGACATTGGATGGGAAACCATCACCTCCGGCCCTGACGGTGCCGCTCTTGCCGAGAAGATTCGAGGCTTTGTACACGAGAAATTCCAGCAGGTGGCGCTGCCTCGATTCATCAATGCCGTCCACGTTCATTCGTTTGATCTGGGGACAGTCTGTCCGGAAATCGAGATCAAGGACATCTGTGATCCGCTGCCTGACTTCTACGAGGATGACGATGACGACGAGGATGACGGAGACGAAGATGAAATTCGAGCCGAAGACGATGAGACTAAAGCGGCGAAGAATCAGAGCTTGGAGAGCATGCGTGGCAATGGATCTGAGGGTGCTGCTTTGAGCTCCCGGCAGCCACGTCCGACACCACAGCTTTCCAATATATTGACGAGCTCAGAATTCGCCGAGTTTGCCGCCAGGGGGCAGAGTGCAAGCGCCCACACCTTGAGCGGCCCGTTTCCACGAAGCACAACTCCGGGCATTCCAGGCGGGACGTCAAACCTCAGCTACTTTCATTTCCCAGGCAGCGGTCTCTCTGGCACTCAGACTCCGCTGGCGGCACTTGCCAGCGGAACTCCCTTCACCCCGAGACCCTGGTCGCACGATCCGGCATATAATGCCGCTGCCCAGCACACGGCTTCCACCGAAAGAGGACAGTTGCAGCCTGTCCCATCGGTGCATGGTGATCCATCCACCAGACCATCCACGGCCAACAGCATTTCTTCACCTCGCGAGTCTGAATCAGGGCTGTCATCGTCGCCTCCATCACAAAACAGACATACTCCAGGCACCGACAGTAGACACGATTCTACGCTAGATGATGAGACGGCACTGTCACCCGCTAGACTACACAGCAGACAGCCCTCGGACTTGCAAGTGGTTGCGAGTGTCAAGTATGCCGGGAATGTGCGCATGACCCTGACGGCAGAGATACTGCTCGACTATCCCATGCCGAGCTTCGTGGGGATCCCTCTGAAGCTAGCCATCACTGGCCTCACCTTTGATGGAGTCGCGATAGTGGCTATGATTAAGCGGAAGATGCACTTTTGTTTCTTGGATCCCGAGGACGCTGCCGCACTCGTCGGCGAAGCCCAGACAGATGACCGACCCGCGCAGATCCGTGGCAGGGATGGCTTGGGAAGTGGTGTGCCCGGTCTATTACAGGAAATCCGCGTGGAGAGCGAGATTGGGCGGCAAACTGATGGAAAGCAAGTCCTCAAGAATGTGGGCAAGGTGGAAACGTTCATCCTTGAACAAGTCAGGAAGATCTTTGAAGAGGAGTTTGTCTTTCCAAGCTATTGGACGTTTCTAGTGTGATACCAGTGGTGTTCTAGATGCCGCACTGGCCTCCCCAAAGATGAAGGAGGACTACTTGAAACACCCTGTCGGGATGTCACCAGCATTGGTCAGTTCTCGAAATTGTGTACCTGCAGATTGCGCCATCCTACGACGCTGCCCGTACAATGTCTGATGACAGCCACGTCACACGCTACGTTGGTACTCCATACTGTGAACAGTAACCGGGAATCAGGCGATCAAAACCTTGGTCACTCAGACCGCTCGCCTGTCAGGTACGCAGCCAATAGGAGATGATCAATCCCGGGCCAGGATCTGTTCCGCCGACCTCGGCTCGTGGTTCGTGCCACGTTCGTTTGATGCTATCAAGATGAAGTCCCTGGTCCCCAGAACTCCTGTTGACATCGCTCTCTCGATTAGCAAATAACAATCAGCCGGCAATGAAGCATCGCAGTGGCCTGTCACTATTGTTGGCCGGCGCTGTGCATCATGTCTCGACGCCAGGACCAGATGTTCTAATGTTCTGACATCCGGCATGACGTCGACCATTCGAGCGACAAGGTGGGTAGGTGGACAGGTGGGCGGGTTGAAGCATATGTATGGGCTGTAAGGTCCATGGTGGCGTGTCTCCAGAAAAGTCAATCAATACAGTATCGATTTCCCCTTCTTTCCTACACATCGAGAAATGCTAAAGACAATCATGCGTCGTTTCAAAAAGGTCCTCCAACGCGCCAGATTGAAAGGCTCGCCATCACAGGGTCCGCCTCCGCCTCAACCTGCCGCTGCCCATGCCGCGATCTCCGAGCAACGCGGCCCTCCGCCATTGCAATCGCAATCTCCAGCAGTCGAACCGGCAACGGCGACAGCAGCAGCAACTGCTGCTACAGGCTCAATGTTGAACATCGCCCTCCAGAACCAGACGACATCGCAGACCGTATACGCATACATCACCGGCAGGGCGCTCGACCAGGGCAATGCGTGGTTCCTCCTCTCCGCGGACGGCCGCACGCCATACTATCCCAGCTCCCCTGGCTCGGTGGGCTCCCCGATCCCGCAAAACTGCGCCATCCCCCTGGGACGGCCGGGCAACACGGTCACCGTGACGATCCCGCACATCGCCGGCGGACGGATCTGGTTCTCGATCGACTCCCCACTGACCTTTCTGCTGAACCCGGGCCCTGCGCTGGTCGAACCGTCCGTGACCAACGCGTCGGACCCCAACATCCACACGAACTGGGGCTTCGCTGAGTTCACGTTCAACGCGGACCAACTGTACGCGAACATCAGCTACGTCGACTTCGTGGGCCCGCCCATCGCGCTGACGCTCACGAGCGCCACTCTCCCGCCGCAGCACGTGGCCGGCATGCCGAGCAAGGGGCTGGACCAGGTGTGCGCGGCCTTGCGCGCCCAGCACGCCACCGACAACCAAGGCTGGGACCAATTGATCGTGACAGGTGCCCAGGGACAAAACCTCCGCGCCCTCTCGCCCAACCAGGCCATGGTGACCAACCCGGCCCTTTTTGCCAATTACTACGACGACTACGTGACCCGGGCGTGGCGCAAGTTCGCCACGCAGCCAATGTCCATCGACACGCAGGCCGCGTTCGGCACTGTGACGGCCCAAGTCGACCAAGGAAGCGGGACGCTCAACTTTGCGCCCCCTAGTGGCTCCGCATCCACATCGACCCTCTCGTTCACGCGGCCCTCCACCCGCGACATTTTCTCTTGCTCGACAGGCCCCTTCGCCACGGGCCCCAACCCCGCGATCAACGCCATCATCCCGCGTCTCGCCGCGGCATTCAACCGCTCCACGCTACTTCAGACGAACGTCTTCCCCGCGCCCTCGGCGCTGTATTACAAGGACAGTACGACAAACCACTACTCCCGCATCGTGCATGGGGTGAATCTGGACGGCAAGGGGTACGCGTTTCCGTATGACGACGTGCAGCCTAGTGGCGGGGCCGATCAGAGCGGCGAGGTGCACGCTGGGGATCCCGTGTTATTTACTGTCGCTGTTGGGGGTGGGAATGCCGGGACAGCACCAAGAAGGGAGCTTTAAGCAACGTCTTCTCTTTACAAGCTGGAGCCCAGTTGCGACTTGCTCGGGATGGTTCTTCCGTCTTTTTGGGTCGCAGTGGGTCGCGGGTTCGTGTCGGTGATGTTCGCTACCTCGTATGCTACTCGCTCGGTATCTAATTACTATACCTTGCTTGCTATATAGATCTGGGCGGGTGGGGTTGTTTGGTGGTCGCACGTCTTGTTGGATGTGGATGTGATGGATCATTGCCATCGTCCCGGCCAGGGCCAGGGCCATAGAAGGAAGGAAGGAAGGAAGGAAGGATGGATGAATACTTGCTTGTTTTGGTTGTTGCTAGATACCCGTAACGAAATGATTGACGCCTTTTTTATCTACAGTTTGCTTTCTCGGTCACGAGCGAGCATCGTTTTATGCAGTTCTTTTGTAAGCAAGGACAATCGGGGTTTCTATACATGGCAGATAGATCAGCGGATCAGTCCCTCGCCGACCTTGCAATACTGGCCTCGTGTTCATCTTGGATCCTCCACCCGGGCACTGCATTCAACCGCCGAGATCAGTCCGACTTGGAACATTGGCTCACCTTCCTCTATCATTTTGTGCGAGATCAGAAGTAGATGTGGCGTGGAAGTGAGTGCGGAAAGGGCAGGACCACGGACCGACTGGGCGGAGATAAAAAATTGTGGTGTCACCAGTGTCATCGGTCAGTGATGAGATAGCTCCCACATAACAATTTTTGCTCTCCTCTACCTCGTACATGGCCAACGTCACGGCGGCGGAACCAACTCCAACCCCTCGACAGTCAAGTGAAAGGCATCAGGCCGCGAATAATGCCCCGTGACATCAAAGTCCAGATGGCCCCTTTCACAGTCCTCAAAGTCCACGTCTCGCCAGAGCAGGGCGTCTTCGTGTTCCCATACAGGTCCGACCAGGGTCTTTCCCATGGGGTCCACGATGCAGGCGCCGCCTCTTGACAGGAACTCCTCGCCGTCGGCCTGTTGGGTTGGCGGGGGTTGTGATATGGCGGACCGACCGAGCTTGGCGGGCTTCCCAGTGTCTTCGGTGTCTTTGTATGCTTCTTCTTCTTCTGCTGCTGCTTCCTCAATAGCCCCAGAACTGGCCGTGTCTTTGCAGCGCCAGGCTATGGAGTGGTTCTCCTCGGTGCGAGTTATCGAGAGCCGACGGCCGGGTTGCCGATCCGGGGACGTGCCGTTCGTGAGTAGTGATCCTTCTGGCTTCGTTGCCGGTCTGGACGCCCCGGCCCCTGGTTGCGATTGCGCTTGACTTGCCAGCCACTCCTTCGGATCCCCCGTGATCCACTGGGGTAAATTCTTCCGCTTGATACATTGGTTCGTGGAGAGCACGAAACACCGTCCCTCCGCGGCAATCGTCCGCATAAGTGGCTCCCACGTATCCCGCCCGTCCGCCGTGGGTGCCAGCCAAAGGTTCACTCCCTGGCTGTACAGGCTGTACCGCAACAAGGGCATGAAATTCTCCCAGCAGATGGCGCATCCCATGACGACCCGGACGCCCTTGATCGTGGTGGCCACTGCCTTCAATGTCGACGGCGACCCCTGGGCCCAGACCAGCCGTTCAGAGGCAGTGGGCATGACTTTCCGCCGCTTGCCTATGATCCCTCTCTTCGGGTCAACGTACACTGCCGTGCAGTAGAGACTGCCGCCGGCTTTCTCGATCAGTCCCGTCACAATAAACACGCCCGTCTCCCTGGCCACATCCTCGAGAAACTCCCTCGTCCCGTCCCCTCTGCGTCCTGTTTCTTTGTTCACGGGCAATCGCCGGTCGATCCAGTCTTGCTCAGCTCCCTGCGGCGTATCCCCTAGATCCACCGCCCCCTTGGTATATGCGAGGAACTGATCCCGACCCCAATCCGTGCGACCGCCTACCGCTGCGCCGAAGTTGCATGTCCGTGGGTAGCCGCCTAGGTATGCTTCGGGGAAGAGGAGAACGGAGATATCCTTCTGAGCGGCACGTTGAGTGGCTTCTTTGAGGGCAGAGAGCGTCTCTTGCAAGCTGGAGAGGGTGTGCGATTGGGAGACGCCGATCCTGAGGAGCTGCGGCATGTTTCTTTGCAAGGTGGGAATGAGGGAGGATGTGGCTTGACGAAGAGGATTCCGCACAAGCTGGTTGCTATCTCATGGATCTATCTGGTCTTGTGGCTGTTCCTGGCCCGGGTGAGAAGATTTCAAGCCTCGACAAAGCAGAAATCGAGAAAGATGTGGAGGCACGGACATGAGCGAGCAGCCGAGCTCGTGGAATAGAGAAAATGCGGGGAGACTCTGTACTTTTGTACCTGCCACTCTGGGCCTAGGTATGGAGAGGCGATGACATTCGAGAGAGACGCGCCTCGGCGACAGCAGCAAGCACTGAACTTACCTTGTGGGAACTTCCAAGGTCATGGCCTAAACACGATCATGTGTCTTTGACTGCTGAATGACAAATTCTACATCTATAGCCTTGACGCCTCATGGTACGACACATAGTCTGAAATGCAACTAAGGCAGGAGTCATTGTATTGCCGGAAAAATTACAATATCCACCACCGTGAGAGGCGGAATCGTACTCAAAATCAGCAAGGTTGATCTTGTCTCGTACGCACACCGGAGTGGGCATCCAGCTCAAGATCAAGCAATAGATAAATGCGGACCGAGCGAGGCAAGAGACGTCTCCGGGGATTGATAGTGCAAGCACCGTTCATAGCACGGTAAGCATGAAATCAACGAATGGTCAAAAGGGTGGTATCAAACGATCATGTCAAAGGACCATCGCTGCTTGGAAGCCTCTTGAATGGCAGGAACTGACCCCATACGGCCTGCTCCGCCTCTTGTCCATGGGTATCATTGACCTCACTCCTGTCTCCGAACTGAGGAATGGCTTTCTTAAAGAGACTTTTCTTGAGGACGTTGTGTCAGCGCACAAGCCCTCGCTTCCCTGCGAGCTCAGTATGCCACCCGTGTCCTCATGTCCGAGATCTTCCTCTCAATCTCGCGGATACTGCGATCCAACTCGGCAGCTATAAGCTGTTTCTTGTCACCCGACAGCAGGAAAAATGTCTCGCATAGATCGCCATCAATCGTGCCCTTCGAGGGTGCATAGTATGACCGGTAGATTAGATGATCCCTTCCGAGCAATGGGGGGTTGCCATTGGTTGAAGCGAGCTGCGTTTCGAGGCTCTGGAAGAAATCGACATCCTCACGGCTCACGAATGGCACAAGGATGCCCAGCGTGCTTTGAAATCCAGTCCAGAAGACAACATCACGCCCACCAGCCACAAGATTCGTCTTTTGGATACTGGTCGGAATGTCGCCGGGGAAATAGTGCGCCATGAGACTGAGGCGATTGGGTGCGCCATTGAGGTACTGTCGCTCGTGGAGGAGATGCGCACCGGATCCATCCTCGTCGGCCTCTTCAGATGCCTTTTGCGGGCAGCGAAGCATCCACAGATTACCAAACTTGTCGCCTCCTGCCACCGTTTCGTAATCAACCATGGCGCAGCAAGTCGTCCAGCGAGCGATCACATCATCGGCAAAGGGGATGAGTTTGTTCTCCTGATATTTGTACACGCAGTATGACACGCTTTCCTGGATGTCACTGACGATGATTCTGCTCCCTTGGGTTTGCAGGCTAACGATGATGTTGGGAGCAGCCTGCACCTGACACTTGCGTAGCATTTGTTTCATGCCGAGATCGTAGATTCTCAGATCTGTCCCGATGCCCGCCAAAAGTCGCCCCTGAAATGCCAGGAGAGCGGTGGGCGGGTGTTCCACCTTTGTCTTGTGGATAAACTCGAGCTCCTTGCCATCTTCGTGGAAACGGTACACATGGATGTATCCAGCAGCAAAGGACCGAGGACTAACGACTAGATCTTTTGCCGTCCCGACGACGAGGAATGTCTCGTCATCTTGACCTGCAAAGGGAGCTGCCGTGATGCTCGTTGCGCATTCATTCTCCTCCAGTTCAAGGGTGAAAACCACAGACTTGGAGCTCACAGGGTCAATGACTTGAATGCAAGACGCCCAGTGCCCAGTGCCTCGTGGATATCCAAACTCTTCGGCCGGCAGTTGAACGGCGTCTCCGTTGACGGCCGTTGACTCTGTAAGAAGCTTTGTTCTTGTGGCTGGCGCGAGGACATTGTTATCTGCTTCGATGACGTAGAACAAGGGGTGCTCTGGATGTTTGATGAATTTTCGAGGAGTGTATGGAAGTGGGATGTTTTCTTGCAGGAGGTTTCTTGATAGGTCCTCGATGGTAAATATCCTGTCCGAATCTCGTCAGTTGGTGTCGGGAACGTGATTGAAAACGGTTTGGGGCACGGTCGGTTCAGAAGGAACAATTGGTTGAGTTTGAAGGTCCGCATAATGAGCTCGGAAAGAGCATAAATTAAGATTCATCATCAGAAGAGGGGGAAGCAGAGATTTCACATACCTTAGATTTTGCCCTTGGATGCCCACCATTCCCTCTGGACACTGTTCACTTGTAAAGTTCCAGACGTACTGTAACCCGACATAGTCGAGCGGCGTAAGCATGAAACCGTTCGTCTGTATGTCGGTGTATCCCAGCCAAGGACGAGAACTTAACGCCACCACGGCATTCTGACCCTTCACTGAGACGCGGAAAAGTTTGGCCGGCTTGATACCCAGAAACCGAGTCCGAGTATCTGATAACTCGCCAGTGATCTCATCTAGCACGGTCCGCAGGTAGACGCCCGAGTAGAGCCCAATATGAAGATACAGTGTGGTTCCCCCGGATGTAGAGTCTGCCATGGGCATGATGCACAGAGCTGAAGGTGCCGAAGTCAATGCCTGCACTGATTTGTTCTCCAGCGTCGAGTCGGGGTCAAGGCTCAATATTCTGACAGTCGAATCGTCACAGCCAACGGCGAGGAACGAACTGCGGACGCGGCCTTCAGGCACATCTCCTAGAGAAAGACAAGTGACAGTCCCAGTCATTTCTCGTCGCTCGTCGTACTCTGCCAAAGACCCATCCGAGTCCATTTCAAAATAGACGATTTCTCCCGAACTTAGAGCCACCGCAACTTGCTGCTCGTTCGTCGTGGCAGCCACAATTGATCGATGTTGGGGTGCAGGCCATTCATTGACTCGTTTATCTGCTCGAATGTGCCGGATGCCTTTGGGATGTACTTGGATCAATGCATCGTCCCCCAGCTGCTGCACAGCAAGCGTCGGAGCTCCCGAGAGAAAGCCGGTATCGGTGACCTCCTCGACCGTCTCCCCAATGCTTAACACAAGGGTCCCAGTGCGGAAAGACAGCACGATATAGGCATCGTATTCGTCATCCCTCGCCAGCTTGGTGGTCCATACAGCCTCAGGTTTATCTGGGAGTTCTGACTCGACAATTTCCGAGACTGACAGCCCGTGCTTGAGAGTCTTGAAACTGCTGCGAGCGCCTGAGCCACAGATCGAATATATCTGCGGAGCATCTTCATCGAGTAGGTTTGCGATTTTGCAGTCCATCAAGGGATTCGCTGAATCAATGCTTTGGACTAGGTTGAGATTGGAGAGAGGCCGAACACGGAAATATGCTGGGGGGTAGTCCTCGGCTGGATCTGCTGGAAAATCGTCGCTGTTGAATTCGGTCTCATCGTCATCGTCCCCGAGCTTTTCAAACTGGTAGAAGTGATGATTCCCGCTTTCACTGCTCACAAACAGAAATCCGCTCTTCAAGATGAGCAGACTGTTTGCCACGGGCACCGTGTCAAAGTATTTGATCTTCAGAGACTTGACCTCCCCGGTTGGTTGGCCATTGTCATCGTCCACCATATCGATTGTAACTTTGAACAGATCGCCGTCTTCTGTCTGCAGAAGCAGGAAGAACTGGCCTTTCATCTTGTGCATTACTCCTGCCACAATATGTCTCTTACGGTCAGGATTCTCCAGAATTCCTCTTCTCCGGGGGATAGGCACACGGAAGGCCTCCTGATTCGAATGCCGATATGTGATATTGTCTTCGCCGCAAACTAGGACGCCGCTCGGACCATCTGAACCACCGGGGACCTGTAATAACTTTGTCGCGCTTCTCGCGACGGGTTCGGCCCATTTGCGAACAACATGGTTCAAGCCCAGGTCAAGTTCGTAGAAGACGAGTAGTTTTTCGACCTCCTCGAGAGCCTGGCCACTAGGATCTTGATCCACCTCGGTATAGTCAACTTCGAGGGCGGCGAAGATTGGGTTCTCGTAACCGACGTCAAGGGCTATCATGTCAAATACCAGAGTCTGGGGTTTGTGCGCCTCAAGGGGTGAGGAGATCGTAAGCTCGGCCTGAGCATTTCTGTTCAAGACGTAGACCAGTTTATTCTTTTCAACAGACGCGATCATACATGCTCTTCCTTTTGGGTCGGCCGCAAGGTATTGACCAGGGATGACTCTTCGAATACCCGATTTGCCGTATGTTTCGAGGTGGACGCGGTTGAAGCGGTTCTGTTCTCGAAGGTACTCGAGAATCGTAATGCGACCGGAATCTGAACCGACAATGAGATAGTCTACATACATGTCAGCGAAATTTTGCGCAGGAGGTGAGCGTACCGACCTTTACTGCTCCCTGCTAACCGAAAGGCAGCAAGCGATCTGATGATGCCGAAGCAATCCTGGGTGAAGAGAGGGGAGACTTTGCCCTGAGTGGCATCGGGTCTGTGGATGGTGAGCCTGGAGCCCGATGCTGTGATGATCTGTTGCTCTTTTGTACCGGCAAACTGACCCAACACTGCTTGAGTAATGGCTGACGGCGGCTGTATAGTCAAGCTATACATGAACATAGAGCTTGTCGTCGCCATGGTGGGCTATGTGGAAATGGGTATTTCTAGGTCACTTCTTGCAAGATATCGAGTCGCATTGTCGCCAACAGCAACCCCGAAGTACGTGCAGTACTGTTCTGGTCTTCGATCAAGCAGAAACAACCGCTGCAAGTCGACGCACCAGTGAAGGCGAACAATAGTTGAAAAAAGTTCACAGCCTTGCCAAGCGCAAGCGACGAGCCTCGGGGTGCAACCGAAGGGGTAACTAGGCCGATATCTGTGCCCTTGGTGCCATCGACAGCCCGGACACCCCTCGGCGCTTGCCCCTCCGAGCCGCAGGTGTGCCTGGACTGCCGTGACGCATGCCCAACAGCGCCGCCTGGCACCTTCCGACCGGTCCAGCAGTCAAGTTCCTCACTCTCTCCATCGATTCACCGGCCAACTTGTCCACTGGCCTGTTCGCAAGATCTTGTTCACTACAGTACATCTCGTGGTTAGCACGACTGGCCATATCACCCTTACGACTGCACCAGGCACCACATCCCTCCGTCTACGCTCTGCTCGAGCATCTCACCTCTACCTCGTTGCGACTCCAAATCCGTCATCCATCCTCCGTCCGTCCACCTCTGAAGCTTTCTAATAATGGCCGACACTGCGGGGGCTGAAGATGCCAGCGTCACCTTTTCCGTCAAGTCCTCTGGTGGTCAGAAATATACCCTGACGGTCCCTCTATCGATGACAACGATTGATCTGAAGAATAAACTCGCCTCGGAGGAGTACGCCAATGTCCCAGCTTCTGCTCAGAGGCTGATCTACAGCGGCAAGGTGCTGAAAGATCACGAGACTCTTGCATCGCACAATGTCAAGGACGGCAATACGATGCACCTGGTGAAGAGCGCCGCCAGCAATCAGAGACAGAATCCTGCCGTACAATCCTCCGCGCCTGCTACTCCGTCTTCTGGGACGACATCACAAGGCGTTGCTGGGGTGCCTCAGAACCTTGCATCCGGCACAGGAAACGACCCATTGGCTGGGCTCACCGGTGCCAGATACGCAGGCTTTGCTCAGTTGCCGAGCGCCAGCGCATTGCAAGAGAACCTGAGCCCCGACGACTTTCTGCGCCAGCTGGATAATCCTCACTTCCAGCAGATGATGCGAGAGGCCATGGGCAATCCTCAAATCCAAGATATGATCATCAATCAGAATCCTCACCTAAGAGCGCTGGGCCCTCAAGCTCGGCAAATGCTCAATTCAGACTACTTCCGAAGCATGATGACCAACCCTCAGATGCTGCGCAACATGATGCAAATGCAGCAGCAGATGGGGATGGGTCCTTTTGGAGGTGCTGGTGGACAAGAGGCATTTCCTGCTCCTGGCGAAACCAATACGACTGAGGGCACAACCGGCAGTACCCAGAACACGTCCAACAACCAAACTGGTCAACCTCGGCAGCAACAACCACAGCCCGACCCTTTCGCGCTGCTACAAACACTGGGCAATCCCTTTGGCAACTTCACTGGCGGTCAGACTGGAGACGCCGCATCACAGGCTCAGGCTGGAGGCCAACAACAGAATCAGCAACCTTTCAACCCCTTTATGGCCTTGTTTCCCCAGGCAGGGGCCCAGACAGGCGGCCAGGCAGGTCCCCAGGCGGGGGAAAATGCCGGCACGACTTCTCCTCCTCCTTACAACAATCTTTTCAACCCTCAGAACAATCCCTTTCTGCAAAACCCCGAGGCCATGCAACAAATGTTACAAGCCATGACTGGAGGTCAACAAGGCGGCACAGGAAATGACATGGGTGGTCTGTTCAATCTGTTTGGTGGTGGTCAAGCGGCAACACCAGCGGATAACCGGCCGCCTGAGGAGCGCTACTCCCAGCAACTACAGCAATTGAACGAAATGGGTTTCTATGATTTCGATCGGAACGTTCAGGCACTCCGACGGACTGGTGGAAATGTGAATGGGGCAATAGAATATCTCCTTAGTCATCCTACTGACTAGAGCTTGAGGGATGAGGATTTCTGTTTTCCAGCATTATGATTACCACCATGCAAGGGTTCAGTATGCGAATATTATGTTATCGAGCAACCTAGGCTCGACATGTACCATGCGCTCCAGACACAAAGAGACGTCCCATTGGTCACCAAGACTGCGTCTCCTCAGGCTACCGTGTACCTCTCAAGCCTCATTTACTGCCCTTGTTGACTCCCGAGAGGCTGACTTGATCCAGCTCTTGCCTTGCCCCGATCACAGCTTCGATGTTGTTGGCCTTTACAGTTCGTTATCGTCCGGAGTTCATCGTTCGAAGGACTGACTCTTTTAGGGTCGATCTCCCTCCTGTGAGCTCAGTGACATCGAAGGCGGCGTGACAGGAGTTGGAGGATGGTATCGGCGCATGTGTTTCTCTGATTATAGGACATCTCCCCTCAACGAAGTCTGATCAATCCTGGGGTCGCACTTCCGCCGCCTGAGCCTCACCGCAGAGTCAGGCTTACGCGTAGTATGCTAAGACCCCTCTTGTCCTCCTCGATGGACCCTAGCGGGGTCACATTCACCAGTGGCCTAACTCCCTGGCATTTCAACGCGCCTCGAACAAAGGATGCGTAGCAAGCTTCGGCCCCATTCAGCAGGTGTTGCCCGGTAAGCTTCTCCAATGCTGCTGCTGCCACGTGGCCAACATAGAGATTCACTCGCACATGCTTAATCCACTGGCGGTCTTCGTTCTTGAGCCCCCAAAACAGGTTCTCCAAACACAATCCATTGCAGAGGACAAACTGCTTTGGCGACCGAGTCATGAGATCCCGGACCTCGTCGTGAATCTGGCGGTTTACTCGCAGTATACGGTTGTCGAGAGCTTTGTATGCGTCGAATTGTTCACAGCATCCGCCAGGGAGGTGGATTATACAAGTGCCTGGTGCCGAAGGGCATATGCAAGGCTCCACTTCGACGGGCCCAAGAACGAACTCCCATATCTTCAGGCGCACCTCGGACGGCAGACGGAGTATCGATGGAAGCATGGTGGGAGCAGAGCAGGGCATGATGGCCGGACGCAGACATTTGCGACATGGGTCAGTTGAAACGTTGAACCTGTGCTTGGATTTAAGCCCTACTCCGTACGGAGTCTATATACATGAAGCTAGGATCACCCCTTCGTTGCTTTTAGAGTCAGAAATCCGGGCCGCGTGCCCCCTAGCCACCTAGCCCTAGGTAGGTCAGAATACCCCGGCCAACAGACCCGATTTTAAGTGTGTTTAGAGCATTACTGTGTATGCCTCATGCGCTACTCCGTATATACAACAACAATATATTCTCATAAATCCATAATCTATAGATAGCCTAAGGCCTAGCTACTATAATAGTTGAGAAAAGGGAATAACAATTCAGCACGATCAGGATAGAAAATTAAGAAGAAAGACTCGTGAAGCAGGAATTTCCATGGGCGACAGGGGAAATTTGTTAGCAAGCCGGCTGACTTTCCTGGGGAAGGTGGCCGGGTAATTCTGTCCCTGGCTACACAGTAGGTGCGAGGATACCGAGGGGGTTGTATCACGTGATCTCGCGTGAGACGCTATTGTCTTGGCTTCAGGTGGTTGCTGCGGCTAACTTGCCTTGGCGGGTTGTGCCTTTGCTTGCTGTTGCTGGTTGATGCTGCCGAGGCTGTCACGAAGCTGCCACCAACAGCGCCATTCCTCTGTCCATAGATTCATTCTACTGCTGTCACTCTTTAATAGCCCTCACCTAAAGAAAAAATTGACCCAAGCTTGCTGCATACGAGCTGCTTCCAGTCATCTTTTCGTACATGTTCGCACAAGACTTACCTGAATAAGTAGAAAGTCCCCTGAACATGAAGACAGACCAAGTTCTACGACGTGCGTGTGGGCTTCGCAACTCGTCAACTGGCCTACCAACAACAAAAGTCCCTGCACCGGTGTATACGACGCACGTGTTTCGGAGCCAACGCTCGAGTCGGCTATTTGAACGGTCACAATTAGAACCGCTTGCGAGAAGGACGTTCGATCGACAATATTCGACGACCAGGGCGTGGTCGTCAACTACTGACATTTCCCACAAAATCTTGGCGACAAACTTCTATGGTGACGACGGCTTTGGCCGAATACGCTACGACGAGATAGCTCTAGGCAAGGACGGCCGCAGAATTGCAAAAGTCACGATCCAGAACAGTGCTGCGGGCAATTCATTGAATGTTTCCTTACTTCAACACATGACGACGGCCTTTCGCGAGCTGAGCCAAAAAGACGACCTGCGGTGCGTCATATTGACCGGCGATAAAGGGTTTTGTACCGGCATGGTGAGTCGAGAGAGCCCTAAATGGCAGGGTACAGCACCTAGAGGACCAGTAACTGACTGTACCCGCGACATCATTACAGCATGTGACGGAACTTGCCAATCTAGCCACCCCTGACCAAGCCAGGAGCCTGATTTTGAAGGTCTGCGAAGCAGGCCAAGCTATCCGCGAGACAGCCGTACCTACTATAGCACAAATCGAAGGCCGTTGCTACGGTGCTGGACTCGAGCTGGCCGCCTCGTGTGACTTCCGCTATGCCTTGAAGGGGACTGTCTTTGCCATGCCAGAGGTCGCCCTGGGAGTCCCGTCCGTGGTCCAGGCGAGACTGCTAGCAAACATCATTGGGTGGCAGAAAACCAGGCAACTTCTCTTGGTAGGCAACAACGTCGATACCGATATCGCTCCCTCCTGGGGTCTTGTTGATTACGTCTATCCCACAGCCGAACTTCTTCGCTTCAATGTTCTCAAGACGGCGCAGAGTATTTGCGACAACGCCCCCCTCGCCATGAAATCTCAGAAACGCCTGATCAACTATTGGGAGGAGAATGATCTTGCGGCGGGCATCGCTGCCAGCGTTGATGCCTTTGCAGGGGCGTTCGAGGGTGGAGCCGTCGAGCCCAAGGAATACACCCAGAGGTTCTTCGTACGGAAGCAAAAGGCCAAAAAGGACTACGAAGCAAGACAGGCGATAAAGACGGCTGACGAGAAAGCATGAGATGGGGAGGATCCGTCCGACTCTCAGGCCGTTGCCTCGTCCCAGACCGCTCAGCAACGCCAAGGTGACACAATCCAGCGAGCTCCATCAGATCTTTTCACGCGGAAGATAGCATGGGCGGGACTGCTGGCTGTAGTCGCCCCTTTCGCACGGCTGCTTTTCAAGTCTATAGATACCAGCATGCCGGTCTTGCCACTGTTGTCTTTCTCTGGGCGAATACAGGCAGTCCTGGAGTGCCGGGCAAAAGCGCCACGAGCCAACCATGAGCAGAGCCATTCCGGATGCTACAAATGATGTGACACCACCCCCTTTGCGGATACAAAGATTAAACAAGGACAGGGAGCGGCAGAAGACGCACCTGCTGCTTCCAAGCAGGATCCCTTCTCCAATCGTCAGATAGCCACCTATCGATTCATCAACTTCTACCTGCTGGTCACCCATGCCAGGGCCACATATACTACAACGTCCCGACAATGTCCTCGATCAGCATTCTCGACGTACCAGTGTCCTCAACCAGCCTTATTGGCGAGAAGCGGAGGGAAGTTCGGTACCAGACACAACGCTGCACTCGCTCGCTTACCATTGTAATGGGGTTGAGAGAGGCCAGGGGTTGGCAAGGCTGCCACCTCTCTGGACAATGTCCAGCCCTGCAACCGAGCGCTCTGATTCGCTGGTACTTTAGCGCAAGGCTGCGCTTCTTCTCCTTTTGTCCTTGTTTACTTTACGGATAGCACATAGACAGACAACTTGACAAGCAACGTATGCAATACAGACAACCAACTACAGACCTTTGCGCCGTTCCTTCAAGATGTAGCGTGTGGTTTGGTTTGAGCGGCCCTGCCAGCCGCCGCACGAGAGGCATACCCGTTTGGCCATGAAGCCTCACCCAGTTCACTATCGCTCAGAATTGCGCATATCTTGATTTAATCTATTCACAAGGAAGGCGCGCAAAAGATCCTGCCGACGCCCACCCTATTCAACCACGTGCCATGACACTGACGACACGCTGGAACAGCTCTGCCGGACTGGGCGCCATGGCTGACGAAGGGAAGCGCAGGACGGCATCCAATCCTCCTTCCACCATCTCAGTCTGTGGCTGCACTTGCATCTGCTTCTGCATCTGCTTCGCCGTCGTCTCTTCCGGCGCCGCCAAGAGGCCTCTCGCAGGATCTGCTCCGTCAATTGCAACTGCGGGAACAGGTCGGCGACCAAAGATCGAGTCCAAGCTCCTTGTTACCTCCTCGGTCTCGGCTCCCCTTCTTCCGCCGACACTTCGTGTGACCGTCAATGCCTCCTTCGCGGAGCCAGTCTGTCTTAATACCCTTGTCTGATTACGTTCATCAATCATCAAGAACCCTGCTCCGCTGGTCAGGGCGAGTAAACCTTTCAACACCCCGGTGAATTGCCCTTGATACACGACTTTCACGCTCACTCCTACTCCTGCCCCTGCATCCGCAGGCATTCCTCCGGCAGTGATGTCGTTGAACTCCAAGACCGAGACTTTATATCCTCGAGGCCTCTCACTCTTCCCTACCCCAACTGCAACAGTTCCATCATATTTGTTTCGGGCCAGAAATATCGGCGCGTTGCTCTTTGGCGGAGTGTACGCCTCTCCAAGCTCGAGTGAGGATGGTACTTCCTCACACAGTATGGTGTCGAAGATCCCAAGCTTTGACGACAAAGCGAGGAGATAGCGACCATTGAAGAGGAGTTTCGCATACCCAGCCGACAGGAGGGACGGAGCAGAAAATGCGATGCTCCCGGAAGAGGGATCAATCAGGTGGACGAAGCGTGTATGCGTCGTGGATTTTATAGCGGAGTGTGCGGCGGGTATAGGAAACGACCAGGAAGCAGCTATGACAGAGCCGTCTTCGCCGTAAGCGAGTGCTGCGGACGTTGCGGGCTCAGCCTCGGATAAGGCGTTGTCATTGCAATGGACGGCTCGAGAACTTGTCCACGTGTATAGCTGGTCGTTCGCGTTATTGCGCACGGCGATGCCGTTTCTATGACGTGCTTTCGCTGTCCAGATACGGACGTTCCCATCTGCTCCTATTGTCGCGAGTTCGAGCCTCGCAGGGTTAAAGTGCAAACCGAGCACGGAATTTGGTCCCGCTTTATGAGGCTCGTCGATTCGAGTAACTTGTTCGAAATTGTCGGAGGACTCGTTCCATAGCCAGATGCGCAGATTCGTCTCAATCGCTCTACCACGGAGGGCCTTGTCGTCAGAGTTGACATACATGGTCTCAAGATCTTGTTCATGAGGCGTCCACTGGTCAATCGTGGCGAGCCATTTCCCATCATGGCTGAGATCCATACACGTAACGCTGGGCTCCCTTACGGGTAGACCAGATGGCGCCACATTCGAGGCTGTGACCATGTTTCGTGTCAGGGCTTGGCGGGTCAGCTGCAGAGACGAATCGAGGTCGTAGACTTGCAGAAATGTAGGAAGCTTGCTGTGGAAGGAATCACACGAGATGGCCGCGAGGAGACGATTAGGCGTACGGGGATGGAGGAGGAGTGTGGAGGAAGTCTGAGAAGGCTGGCCCAGTGCGAGGCCAGTGACGTTCGTAGACGGTAGCAGATCCGCTGTTGAGAGGATCATCACCGAGTTGTCGGCCAGGCGAAGACCGTAAGCCGAACCAACGGCAGAGACGGTGAGGTTCAGAATCGGCGTGGACAGATGCGGTAGGTACTGTCTCCGGTTCGAATCTAACTGCCAGATGACGAGGACGGTCTCATTGCCCCCAGAGATGATGTAATTCCCGTCTCGTGACCATTTCACAGTGTTAACGGCCGTCCTGTGCCAGTGAAGCCTGCGCGCAGTGATGTCTCCGGCACTGGTCTTGTTCTTCTTCTCCATCCCGATGAGCTTGAAGAGGATGTCTTCGTAGTGCATGATGACCCCATCGTTGAGACCAACAGCCACATCAAGGTAGGGCACTTTTCGCGACGTCTTGGACTTGCCCGATTTGAGCTGCGCGTCGAAACTAGTGACGGGTCCCGGCGTGGTGAGTTCTCTCCATGTGTAAGAGAACTCCAAGTATTGGTCCTCCGTATGTTGTGACTGGCCAACTAGGAGTCTGTCGGCGACACATGCGACAAGGACACGTCCGTGACCATAGGATCTTACACAAGGTGAGAAGGCTGATCCTCGGAGCACCGTCTGCTTTTCGGAAAATGTGCCCCTTGATGTATTGACGAGATAGACGACGAGGTTTTTAGTCCCTGGGCCATCGTCTTGGAGGAGTAGGACTGCTTCATCTGCTTCCTGAGACTGCAAAGGAAGAATTTGGCGCGCACACTTGCCGCTGTTGAACTCCGCTAATCTTGTGCCACTAGTCCAATCCCAAAGAGAGATCAGTCCGTTCGAACAGGAGACGTACAATTTGTTCCGGTCGCATGTCGAAAGAGAGCAAGAAGTGATATTCGACTTCGAGTCAAGTCGAAGACTGCGGACGCGAAGGGACGTCTTGGTAGAATAGACTTGAATCTCCGAATGTGTTGGGAGGATCAGGTGCTGGTCGTCATCCGTCAGAAGAGGATCTTGGTCGATGAATATGCCGCCTCTGGTAGTGGCAACCGACCATTCGTCTTTGTTGACCTTCGCCTTTTGTGGCCTCTCCCGTCGTGGCTTCACCACTGGCTTGAGCTTCTTCCTTGTGTCTCTGACTCGTTTGGGAGATGGTTGCTTTGTCTCTACCACATGTTTCCCAAGGACTTGCCTGGGTAATTCTGCCAATTTTTTGGAGGCAGCGTCGCTCCGTTTCTGCTTGAGCAACTCGTCGCGTTCCTTCAGCCTCTTGGACAATTCTAATGCCCGTTCCTGCGAAGTCGATGACGTCGAAGGTGTTTGTCTAGCTGCTTGGAGCGCCATATCCGAGTTTTTCTGCGTGCCATTCTCAATTGCGGTATCTGGTGAGCGTATCTCCTGAAGTTCGAGAGATGGGGGCTGCTCTGTCACCTCGTTCGGAGCGGCTTTGATTTTCTTCCGTCGCTCTTGTCTGGCTTGTTGCTTTGCAGCACGTTTTTGCTTGTGTTCCTGCGGCAGCGCCTTCTCGTTCTCCTTTCGGCTCAAGCCATTCACGGTCTCCTGTGGTGTAATTTCCAGCTGCTCTAGCGCCTCCGTCTTTTCGAAAGCAGGAGATGGGTCCTTGGGTTTTTCATCTTGGACAGGCGTTAGGGGGATCTTTTCCTGGTTTTTCAGGCTCCTGCGGCTTCTCTGCCTCTTCCTCGGACGACTAGTACCATCGGTCGTACCGTTGAAAGCAGTGACCGCGTCACGCTTTCCGGAGGGTGACATCTTCCCGTGATAGGGCTTCCCAAGGTCGTCGCGGTAGGGCTGGCTGTTCCTCGAAATACATGCACCCAATATTTTCAGAAACTTTTTCTCCGCACCTGGGAAGGCAAGTCTGCCGACTGACATCACGTGTTAGCGTGAACTGCGGAGAAGAATTTATTTTGTATTGCGATCGCCTCCTTCTCGAGCAACAGCAGGATCGCCCGCCTATCTACCAGCGTTATTGACCTTGCATTGCCTTGGTCCATCGTCCTCCGACTCAAGATGATTATTCCCATCCGGTGTTTCTCGTGCGGCAAGGTATGTGCTAATCAGCCAGCGCCTAGCGCGACTTGCCCAAAGGCGTTCGTTAACGTGAGATGTCCATCAGGTCATTGCCGATCTCTGGGAGAAGTATACCAAGCTGCTCCAGGATGGAGTCTCTGACGGGTAGGGCCAGCCTCGCTCCTCAACGCCTGGAAGAGTCTGACAAATAGCACAGTGAAGCAATGGACCAAGTTGGAGCCAAGCGATATTGCTGTCGCCGCATGCTGATGACCCACGTCGATTTGATTGAGAAGCTGCTACAATACGACCCTGCCGAGCGACGGCAGAACAGAGTCCAGTGATTAGAATTGTTTGGAAGATTGCTGCAAAATTACTATTGTGACTCGGCGTGGCGTTGGTCAGTTCCTCTTCGGGCAATACAGTACGCTAGGCATTGGGACTACCGTGTCAGACCCTGCTTGCGTCGGACCAGATGAACAAGTCGGCGGGAACAAAGACTGTAGGGAACAAAATCTCGGATTGGCATGCACTTCGCGCTCTGGCGCTGAGGTCGCCGTGGGCATAAGTGGCTATCATGGGCCTTAAAAGGTGAATTTGACCCGAAGTCCGCTACAGGAACAAAAGCACCACAAGCTTTACGGCTGTGGAACGTTCGGCTTCCACATGCTCCACCAGCAAGTCACCTCTGCCAGACTGCCGTCTGGGCCACGCCAGTCATCATATCCTACGTCTGTCCCTTCAGCGACCAAGCTGAAGTCCAGCTCTTCTAGGATACTCCTTAAGGCGCGCCTCTCTTCGTCGTACCTATCTCTGAGGGGGAGTTCGACGATGAACCTCGCGTCGGTCTCCCAGCGGATCCAGCGACGGACGGTGCTGATGAGCATTTTCGGGTGGTCAGCGGAGTAGATAGGATCCGCTGCAAGAATAACTTTGAACCTGTCCTGCTCCCACACCGGAGTGTGTGTCTCATCTGCCCAGTCTAGTGCTCGCGACTCGACACTTCCTTGATGTTCTTGAATGTCATCTTTATTGTGCTCGAGATTCTGCTGGAGGTTGGGAACGATTTCTGGCAGGTCAGTCAACAGTACGTGTGTCTTCCAGAGACAAGCGGCTGATATGCCCACTAGACCGGTGCCAGCACCTAGCTCCAAGACCCGGTCGACAGTGCCAGGGATCAGCCTGCGCATCTCGTGAAGCCGCCGTGAGAGCAGAAGCGACGACGTCCATGTTTTGAGTCCGAGATTATCTTCAGTCAGTGTAGGCTCGTGTAATTGTATCACGACATCGTCGCAATCTTGGCCTTGGCTGATGACGAATGACCGACTCATAGCGGGCATGGCATTCCTCCCCGACCGCTCACTCAGCCGCGCACTTGCGGTCATCCATATCGACTCTTTCGCATCTTCATCTTCAATCCAGTGCAGACTGGAGGAGACAATGGAGGTGAGGTAGCCCGGTGCACCTTGCCCTGCGATCCTAGGACAGCCAGAGCGTCCTGTTCCCGTGCCTGCAAAGCCGCTCTGCCTCGACGAGAATAATTCTAACGCAGCTAGGAGAGCTGGGGCTGAGGGTCTCTGGTAGAGCTGGGGTAAATCATGCACTGCATATTCGAGTTGGAACTGAGAAATAAAAACGCAAGAATCCTTCCGTCGGACCTACCATGGACCACCGAATCCACCGCATCTGAGTCCTGATCAGGTGTCTCACTTCTAGCCGGGACGTTCATCTGATCTCGTCGAGGGAGCCGGCACGACGGTTGAAGTGACGTATTAGCTCAAGAGTAATGTCTCTGCTGAGAAGGATCAAGTGGTAATTTTGAATGCAAGCTGTTCTAGGCAGCACGCCTCATGGCCTCAGGCGCATAAGAGGGAAAATTGGCGTGTCAGGTGCAGACTTCCACACTTCCAAGTGTCGGAGATTGCGAACAGAGCGAAGTGCGGCCGCAGATCCAGAATGCGAATCGTGATTCGGTGTTGAAAAATCTTGGCTTTCCACTAGCCGCTGCTTGATGCTGAACGTCGTGATGGTACCCCGTAATGGTGGTGATGGTGAACCCAAAATCAATAATCGTCTTCAACCCACGATCGAGACACAGCTGTCCTCAATTTACTTGGTGTCGAAGCTGACGGCGGGGCAACGCCCAGATCCTTGGAAACTCACAAGAGCGTGGCAGAAAGGGGTGGAAATCTGCACTGCAGCCTCTGCTCTGACAAGCAGCGTGTGGAGTCTAGGCGCGAGACTCTGAAGTGACGAAACCCGTTTCTTCGCCTCCGGATACCACACCAAACACCGTGCCTTCCCCTGCTTGGCGCTACGCTCACTCCAAGATGCAATTTCCCCACCCCTGGCTGTGCAACGGTACCAAGGACGCCTGTTCGCTTGCCCGCAAAATCGAACATTCTTGATCAGCACAAAGAAGAGGAGGATGACACATTGAAATCATGGATGCTAGATGGTGCTCCAACCCGGGGATGCTGAGTCGGGTAACACCATGCCCCTCCCCAGAGACTGACCGTTAGAGGCAGAGGACTTGCCGCATAGCTTCGAGTTGTGTCACACAATTTTTATCGTTGAGGCGCGGCAGGCGACGTTTGACATGTTGATGCCCCAATGCCCACGCGAGTGCCACCCTCGTATAAAAGTCTTCATTCATGCCACAACCGCGACAGACAGGCGCAGAAGGGCACGCCGAAGCCTTGAGGCGCTGGCATCTTCGGCGAGATGAGATTGAAGCCACGGGGCTACAGCAGCAGAGGCTTGCAGGGCTTGAGCCGCCATCCCCGCAGAATGACCGTTGATTGGCCTCGAAGTTTCCTGTTTCGGCGTCGTGGGCATCCTGCTTGGAGCCATCCGAGACCCGAACCCATGGCCAGGTGCGCCTCGCTTTAGCCTCTCCTGAGATGTGCTCCACTCTAGCACGCCTGTTTACCCCTGGCAGCACAAATTCCCGCTTCGAGATGTCAGCGACGTAGGAAGGATGATTCGGAACGGCAGAAATAATTTCTCGAAAGGATCTTTCGCTGACTGGCGCGCCGGAACCTCGAGGTTGAGACATGCACCTCCCGGGCGGTTGTGCTCCGCCTATGCAGGTACAATCAGGAGGCACAGATCCTCCCGTTTTTACTGCTGACATGTCGTCGTGCATTCCGGATATGTGCACCGCTTTAGCATCCAACGACGACAGCAATTTGCCTCTGGAAGCTGCCATTGGGCGCCTCTCCACGAACTCCAAAGTTCAGCGCTACCCATGCGGTCACGACCCATCGTCCCCCAGGACCCGACTGGGAGGAGGAGTACTCCGTACGGTAGCTCCTTTTCCAGGCCTCACCGATCTAGAGTGTCGCTTGCGAAATTAGCTTACTGTTTCCACTCTAGGGCCACGGTCTCAGGCCGCCCTCGTGGCTAGCTGGGGTTGATGGAGCACCCAAAAAGGGCACTGCCCACGATCCACCAAGGCGCGAGTCGCGATAGCAGGGCTGGCATAAGTATCTTCTGCTTCCTCCATCCGGCGACCATTCCTCTCAAGCTCGCTACACCACCTTCTAACTTCGATTGAGATTTCAATCGTCCACTCTTTTCAGAGCTCGTCGTATTCCAAGGTCGTTTGACCTGTTCCACTCGTTCTAAACGCTTACACTCGTTCTAATCCTTCAACATGCAATACATGTCCGTCGTCCTGCCGCTGGCCGCCATGGTCAGCGGCGCCCTCGCCAACCCTACCTGGGGTGGTGACAAGGCCGGTGCCTGCCAGAACAACGCCTGTCTGGCCGCTGTCACTGGCAAGGCTGCGCTGGGTGATGGCAGCATTCGAGCCTCCCACTGCGCTAGCTACCTCGCCACGACGGTTACACCTATCGTCACAGAGACCGTGACCATCACCGGAAAGGGCAATGACAACTGGAAGCGCTCCACCGTCGCTCTCTGCCCCAACGAGGTGCCCAACTACGCCAGTGCCTGCGATGATGCTGCGTATACTAGCGCATGCTCGTGCTTCGGCTACACTGAGATCAAGACGACCACCGTTGCACCCACCACCACCACCAAGACCGTCTGGGTGAAGCCTACTGGTGGTGCTGGTTCCTGCTCCGCCTCTACCGTCTCCGTGACAGCCACCTCGGTCGTTGTGTCTGGCTCAACCTGCGCCGCCCCTAGCACCTCTACCAAGGTGATTGTGACTGGAACGACCGTCACCAAGACTGCAGGTGCCAGCACTGTCACCGAGACCAAGACCGAAACCAAGACCGAGACCAAGACCGAGACCAAGACCGTCCCAACCTGCAGCGCTACCTCATCTAAGCCAGCCTCGGCTTGCAAGGTCGATGATGCTCTGGCCACCACCCTGGTCAACAACTTCGTTGACTTGCTTCAATTCACTTCCTACGCCGGCGATCGTGGTGCTCCCGGCCGAGGCTACCACCAGGCTGTTTCAGATGCCACCCTGGCCACCGACTTCGTCGATATCTCTGACTCGATCAACTTCATGGCTGGTTTCCCTGTGAGTTCTTTTGGAATTCGTTCTGTCTGGCGTGCTTCTAACCGTCTATCTAGCTTGGCTCTGTCACCTTCAACAGCAAGGCCGCCTTCGACTATGGCCAGGGTGTTCTCCAGCCCGAGGTCACTGTCAAGGTTCTTAACATCTGGCACGACTGCAAGACGGTCACCTTCAGATGGAGAATCGTGTCTCTGCCCTTCCCCGTCAACGGTATCAACCACATGGAGATCAACGATGACGGCAAGATCCAGAAGAACTACGCCGAGTTCGACAACGGTGCTTGGCTCCAGTCCTTCGGCCAGAACTGCACGACCAACAAGGCTAACCCGCCTGTTACGGTCGCTCCCTCTGTCGCGTTGAAGATCTAAGTAGCGAATTGGGAGGCAGGTGTAATGTCAGCTGGGACTCGGCGTCACACAGGCACACACGACGCCGGGAGGATATTTCTCTTCATGTATGAAATGTTATTGCATCTTCAGGGCGATTTTGACAACGTGATCGATGAACAGCATCGCCTTCCAGCATACGGATTATGAATTGCATTGCATGACCCTGGCCAGAGCATAGTTTGGTGTACACGCGTGATTTATCTGACAAAGTTTTCGCACAACTGTACACACCACTGTTCATCAATCCGTCCTGAAGACATCCGAATTGAATACATGAGTTTACTGTGCAGTCGTTGTTTGAGTTTCGTGTCGGCGCGCTTGGCCTGGTATCGTGTTGCTGTGTTTGCACCTCGTCATATGACGTCACGTGAATCTCGGATTTCCGACAGATCTCGGACTTCCATATCGAGAAATGCTTCAGGATTCAGCTCATGAATAGATGGAGGGATATCTTATTTCTTTGCCGCTGTCCTCGCAATGCCCTGTCAACTTTTCTCTTCTTCTTCCTTGCTAGACACTATCAGCTACTTGTATCTAGAAGAGTTGTTTGTTTCAAAGTGTACGGAGTACTTGCTAACTACTCTTGCGTCACTGATTGTGCCCTCGTCTCACCTTCACTATCACATCAGTTCGACTCATCCTACGACTCACGCCAAGCTAGGCGCAAGCATTGTCTCCACCAAACTAATACAGTAAACGTCAGTTCCTATCAATGAGCTCAGAACCATCAGAACCCGGTTCAAACACCTCAGCCACATCCGGCTACACCCAGGGACACAGCGCCGCAGTCGTCGCCTCACACGCATCCCGCACAGTTAACAACTCTGCTGCGTTCCTCCTCCCCCATCTCAAACCCGATTTCACATTGTTAGATCTCGGCTGCGGCCCCGGCACAATCACACGCGGCTTCTGCTCCTACATCCCCAGAGGCAGGGTCATCGGGATTGATGCGGCCGAGTCGGTCATTGAGCAAGCACAAGCATTTTCCTCCGCGTCCACCAAGACAGAGTATCCAAACCTCTCGTTCCAAGTAGGAGATATCACCGCCGCATTACCGTTCGCAGATGGATCCATTGACGTCGTCTACACGAGCCAAACGATCCTGCACATCCCGGCACCCGTCGCCGTCATGAAGGAAGCCCACCGTGTCTTGAAGCCAGGCGGCATGCTGGCCATGCGTGAGACCGATTCTATGGTCTGGCATCCCACCAACAGCGGCATGGACGCGTACTGGGCGGCTCTGGGCAAGGCGGTCCCGCCTGGCGCCCAGGGGATGGGCACGGGGCGACGACTCCATGTTTGGGCGAAAGAGGCCGGCTTCTCCGCGGCGAAGATGCAAGTTGGCACTGGGGGAATGTGTTATGCCGCGCCGGACTTGTCGAGGTGGTGGGCGGATGTTCACGTCCAAAGGCTGCGTGGGGATGTCGGGAAGAAGTGGGTGGAGGATCTCAAGCTCGTGCGCGATCAGAATGAGATTGACGAGATGGTAGCGGGTCTCAAGGCCTGGGGTGACAATGAGGAAGCCTGGTATGCTGCCTTGCAAGGGGAACTGATTTGCTGGAAGTAGGATGCGGCTGGAGAGGTGGGGCCTGGACACCCTGCGAGATCAGCACATATGAGGAGCAGGGATAAGACGGCGTGGGCATCATCTTCCCAACTCCTCAAATATACATCCGACTCGTCTATCTTCGCCGTCTCATGCGACAACCAGCGCTCAGCACCCAGCACCGAGCGAGCATCTTTCTCCTCTCCGCATCAACAACCAAAGCCTCACCAAGCAATGAACGAGGAGAGTTTTGTGACACCAATCAGCGCCTCGACCTTGAATGAAGACGCACCAGCTTAAATGAAGACGCACGAGCACAACATATCCACCCAAGACGCACGCAGCGCCGCCTGGATCCTCGCGAGCCATCTGACGGCCATGTATCGTCTGAGCCTGATAACAGCAATGTCTGCGAATGGACCTCCTCTCCCATTCGGTCTAGCCCGACTTCGTCTGTACGCCTGTCTGTCACGATAGGCTCTAGGCTGCAGGGGTCAAAGACCATGTATAGGCCTTGAGATCAAAAGATCGTATATGCACTCCAGGCCGCGAGAGCCAAGGATAGTATATAGGCTGCAGGCTGCGAGACCAAAGAATACTATATAGGCTCCATCCAGGCTGCGAGACCAAGCATCCTATAATTATATATATACACACGTGGTTCTCAGTAAGTACTCCGTATCATATAGCTGGATTAACAACTTTGCCCGCGTTTTGAAGTCCTGTGTACGGAGTACTGTCACGATTATATATCCGAACAGGAATACTTTTCACTACCTAGGTATGAAATACCCTACGTACCACTCCGACCACGACCTCGAACTCGTGCAGTCCAGGCCAAGCAGAGGACGGACTAAATGTGTGCATGCTCCACTTTCGACCCTTACACCTTCAGAACACCCAACCAGCGCCCCTCCCCTTTGTCATCCTGCACAATTACACCCCTCCCACCTATGTGGCTGACCCTCCCACGCCATCGACATGTCCTTCCACTCTGAACCGGCCCTGCACCTCTCCTTCGAGATACCCTATCCTCTTGACAGTCTTCACTACATTGAGATGGGATGACGTCCTTGCTGAGTTTTCTCCGCGCTATATATGCACATCCTGTGCCCGATAGACGTGTATGTAACCTCCCAGATCTCGAGCTGCGAATTCGACGTTCGTTGCTGGTACCTTCCCGAGGGCGGGAACAGTAGGTTCATCGCATCAATCTCAATCTGAACATGGCCTTGGCCGGATTCACTTTTAGCGAGAACTTTGTCGATCCGCACGCGGGATTGGATCCTCTGTCCATCGCAGAGGATGTTCTCCAGGTCGTTCTTCGTGTTGCTGACGCCGATTCCCCAGCCATTTGACCACGATCATGGCGTATACGCCGCCCTGAGTTCCATGCGCCTGCATATTCCCTTTGCCGAATTCCGTTCCCTGGCAGACTGAACGTCTTGGTCCACCCGAGGTAGTTCCAGAATGTAACTTGATACGTTAAGAGCAAATACTCTGGACTCAGCACTGCGGATGAACTGATTCCCGAGGTCGTTGAGGGCGAGCATGTCGAGCCGCGTCGCTCCTGCAGCTGTATCTGCCTGACTCTCAGCGGATAGAGATCCGTCAAATGTCCGACGGCGGACAATGAGCCGGGTGAGAATTTAATAGTGTCGGCCGCAGGGTATCCGGAGAGTACTGCTGTGCTGATGCCACATCCTGTCGCATGATCATCTTAACTTGTTGCAAACCTGGAGTTTGATTGGCCCCGACTTTAGCGACAATAGCCTTACAGCATTGCAGCAATGCATCCTCGACAGAATATGCCTTGTCTCGTAGAGACGCGTATGTCGGAAGGGTCGCACGCAGTCTGCACCCTCATACGGGGCCGAAATCTGAGATTTCTTGTTCTTGCGAGGGTTGTCTTCCCGATCATCCACTTTCCTCCTTAGGTTCAGTCCCGCTCTTCCTCTCTCGACGTAACATGGCTGGCTCCTCTGCTTGGACCCTGGTCTCATCTTTAGTTGTCAGTGGCTTCGGCCGATGGCGCTTTCAGAATATCATATTCGGGAATCCTTCGAGGTTTTCAGCATGGTACATAGCTGCGAAATCCGCTTCAGTGGTGGTACCATAGGTAAACGCATCGAGTGCCGTGACTGTATTGAAATCCGCCACGCCGTACATTTGAGGATCAGACACCGCTTGATGTAGGTGCGGCTGATTCAGTGGCTGCAACTGTCCGCGGTAGTGTTGCTGGTGGCGATGCCGCGGGCGCTGTGGTTTGAGTGTTTGGACGACATGAGTATGGAGCGTCTCGACCGGAACATAATGATCTCCTGCGGACGGTGGCTTGGCCTCCTCTTCTTCCCCCACCTGAACGATGCGTCCGGTCTGCATCGTCTGAGGCGACGGAGCTGGCGATAGCAACTTTTTCTGCTGAATCTGAGTGAGCATAGTCGCCTCAGCGGACGAAGGCGTCTGCGGAATATGGTTCCAGCTGGGCATGTCACTGTACAGCTCGGGAAACCTTCTGAAGATATCCGGGCCCATCGTCCAGCACCTGATATCCGACAATCGCTGATCAAACATCGGTGAGACCTTGTACAGGCCCGTCTCAATCTCTCGAGTATAGCAGTCGCGGAACTCATACGGCCACAGAAGCTTAAAGGACGTGGTGAACAGCGTCCAGAATTCATTGCCACAATAGTCATGCTCGTTGAAGATGAATCGTTCTCGAACACCAGGCCAGGCGAAGTAATCAATTGCATAAGAATGAGCAATCTTCTGTGACGGACGGCGCATGTACCAAGGGGGAAGCCGCACGTAACGTTCCGAGGTGGATTCAGTGTGGAACTGTAGTAAAGTGTGCATGGCCCGTAGGATGGCGAGGCGCTCGACATTGGGGCACATGGCGAACAACGTTTCGTCGATCCGACGCAAGATCTGCCATGATGGGTGTAGGGGCCCCCGACTTGCCACGGCGTCCCACCCTTCGAGCAAAACACGAATGGGCACGTCGTCGCACATGACATCCGACTCTGGGGCCACATCCTCTCCCCAGTCAAAGCGTTCGGTTAGGACTTCGTTGGCGTATCGCCAATAGTTCCCTCGCCAGGCGGAGCGGCGTCCGGGTTGATGTTTGTGGCAGCTGATGCATGAGCATGAGCTGAGAGGAGCTGTCCAATTTTCCGCATAATTGCAAGGCATAGGATTCGGCTCCTTGGAGCACTTGGCCTGAACTAGGACCTGGGACGGAGACTGCCCGTCACCAGGTAGCGGGACAACTTCTGGCGCGAAAAGTTGATCTTGTGACCGCAGAGGCAGGCTTGGAGCAGGTGAGAAAACAGCCAGATCAAAATTCCGTGAAGGGCTCGTTCTCTTGGGTAACTCTGCACGCTCCTGTGGCAGGTTTATCGGCAGATCGTCCGCGAGTGGAGAGGTGCTGCTAGAATTCCGCTCACGTTGTGTGCCTTCACGGACCAGACCCGTCTTGCCCTCCATCTCATCCTCGGTCGTCGGATTGAAGGGCTTGTGTGTATCCATAGCCTTTTGTATATCCTTGAGTGTCTTTGCCATCATGTCTCTCTCAGACTCCATCTCTTTTAACTGCTTCAGCAACGTCGCGAGCTGGCCACTGGAGTCCTGGCGTCGAAAATCCTCCACCAGCCCTTCGAGGTAGGCAATGCGAGTCTTCGTCCGCTCACGAGCTTGGCGTTGACATCGTCGGTCGATTTCCCGTTTCTTCAGCCGGCGGGAGGAAACGCCTTCGTTGGGTTCGATTGACTGAAGAGTACTCGGATCATTGTGCTGGCCGACAGCGGGAGTGCGCATGGCCATGTTGGACACTATTGCCGCTGCAACCAATGCTGACGGGTGAAAGGACGATGAGGTCGTTGAGGTTAGAGGAGAGTAGATGAGAACGAGAGTCTCATGGCCGTGTTTGGTGTGCTTTACTCAGTGTCAGCCACCTTGAGCCAAGGACATGACCGCTGGACTGAGGGACAGGTAGCAAATAGTCGCCAGCGCCACTGTCACTTGGTTGTAGACAAGCTTCAGACCTGCGGGGTATATTCTGCCTCAATCATTTCAAATCGGTTGCTCGCCTAGGCACTGACACATGCCTCTAAGGGCCCCGACCCAGGTGTGTTCCAAGTTTTAGGCGGAGCCCTGTCCGAGTTCAGTTAAAGCCGCTAGGCATTTGTTGCATTGCGTGGCGTCCGGCTCCCATACCCCAGACCCCCAAGGTTGCATCCACAGTTGGACTCAATAATACGAACGTTGCTCGTATGTTTCCTCTCCACCGCACCCGACCTTGCTCCGGGGCAGGACAAATTGCTCCTTTCTATTGGCGGTCGGTTTCCGCGGCTGCGACATCCCCGATGTGGTGGGATTGTCGACGATGCCACCAGATGCCTCCTATGAGCCGAGGGGTGAAGGTCACTGGATATCATGTACTGTACCCAGTACCTGTGTCTACGGAGTGCACGCTGTCAGGCTTGCGTCTGACACTTTGCCGGTCTGTGCCGTGGCGCGCCAAAGAGAGCTCCTTCCAGGGCCATAAAAGCTCGCCCACCAGACCTGCTGTACATGATACGTACTGCCAAGTAGGTGACAAGTCACATCTTCGCAGTCTTCGCCTGGGTCGCCCTTGGTCATTGTGGCCCTTCACTCCTTGCACATCCGTCGTGATCGATGCCGCTATTGGTCTGGAGTGAGATATCAAAATGAGTCCCTCGTACTGGATTAGGTAGCAAGAACAATGAGCGTGTTCGCAAGAACTGCCTTATTTCGTTGCTCTTTCCTCTTTACTGGTAGTCTGTCTTCGGGCCATTTACTCGTCCCTCCATAGGTGCTGATGAGAACAGAGTCAAGTATCTTCAGCCAATTGTAAGTGGCCACAATCTGCGATTGTGTCTGGCGAGACAAGACCCCGCGACACCATCTGCCGGCCTGAATCTCAACAACGTATCTTCAACCATTCGCCACTTTTCATCTTTTGTCCTTCTGGCATTCCCATTGCCAATACACAGTGATTTCCCCTCTGAAGCTCTAGAATTCCAGAAATCACAGTTTTGCACTTTCAGAATGTCCCTCTCTCAATGCTGCGCTACCGGCTTCCGCTGGGAAGGCACCCCCAAGGGCAAGGAGACCACGCTGTCCAGCAACAAAGCCTACGTGACGGGCACGAACAAGGACGCCGCGGTGCTCATCGTGCACGATATCTTCGGCTGGACTCTGACGAATGCGAGGATGTTGGCGGATCACTATGCTGAGGAGGCCGATGTCACCGTGTACCTGCCGGATTTGTGAGTCTACTACGCACCTTTGGCTGTTATTGTCATTTGGCGTTTCGATCCGATCCGATATGTGGTGTATGTGATGGCGGGGTACTGTAGCTGGGCGTGGGTTGTAACTCGTAGGCACCCGAGGAAATCTCCGGTGTCTTGGTCGACCACGCCCTCCGGTCGCTGTATGCACATACTGACCTCTCCTTGCCTGGCAGCTTCGCCGGCGAAATCGTCGCTCCAGATCGTCTCGACCCTGCGTATGCAGGCGAGCCGTTCGATATCAACGCCTTTATAATCCGAAACAACAAAGATACCAGATGGCCCGAGATCTCGGGCTGCGCCAAAGCACTAAAGACTGAACATGGGTTCAAGAAGGTCGGCGCAATTGGATTCTGTTATGGCGGCTGGGCAGTAATGAAACTGGGTGCCAAAGGTATTTCATGACGACCGCTCATTCTCCCAATGTCCTCTTGCTCCAACTTTCGCTGATCAGGCATCCTAGAAAACGGCTTGGTAGACTGCGTGTCGACCGGCCACCCGGCGCTTATGGAGAATGCCGACATAGACAACATTGGCTGCCCGGTCCAGTTCCTTGCGCCGGAAGAAGACAACACGTTTACTCCCGAGATGAAGGAATACACCTTGAAGACACTGCCGACGCTGGGCATTGATTTTGATTATCAGTACTTCACGGGCTTGAAACACGGGTTCTGCACAAGGGGCGATGTGAACGATCCGAAGCAGAAACATGGTCTTGAACGAGCGAAGAATGCGGCGGTGAGTTGGTTCAGAGAGTATTTGCACTGACGTTGGAAAGACTTAGAGTGTTCTTCTCAGAGTGTTATCCGAGCTTTTCCTAACACGAGAGACACCGGAATGCGCGCAAGGCATGTTGTGGGTACCATAAGACCGCCCTCCGCCGGTTTCCCATCGATCCGTACTCGAAAATATCGTAGACAAGGAGCTCTTCATGTGTCCACGTCGCTCTTACTTCGACGCTACCTTCCTCTTCTTGCCAGGCGGTCCGTCTTCATGATTCCCATTTTCGCCCCCGTTCTCGAACACCTTCTTCATCTCATTGAAGAACTCCGGCGGCTCCAGTGGATGCTGACCTGTCACGTCATGATACGCCGTCGTGGAGATGTAGTTAGTCTTGCCATCGCGGACTAGGGAGTAGTACTCGAGCAAGTATTGGATTTCAGAGGGGTCAAGGGACGATTGTTCTTCGAGAATGGAGCGAGCTTCGTTCCTATAAAGATGTCAATACGTACCCGCAGTCGAAGTGAGAAACAAGCACGGGGCAACGGAGGGAGGCCGTGAATCATGTGAAGACGTACTCGGAAATGTCCTCGAACTCGAGCTCCGTGCCCAGTGCCTGTGACGCTGCTGTCGCGAGCTCCTCTCCCGCACAAAGCAGAGGTCCTGTGCGACGACTGTCAGTCCTGCCCAGCCAAGACTTAGATATGCTAGGATCTTACCAGTAAGCACCATCAACTGGCCTCGATGCTTGTCACTGAATCCATGCTTCCCTTTGCCGGTCAAGACATGAGCCGCAACATGCGCGAGGTCCTGCGACAATCCATCAGTTTACTGCGCCAGGTACTTGTACGAGCTGATGACTTACCGTGATACCCATCGGCGCGAATTTATGCTTGTCCCCGATCGGCAGCGGAATGCTCTGCTCCTGCTGCATCTGGGGCGCATACAGGAGGAGATTCTCGGCGTAGAAGCCCGGCCGAATCACTACGGGCGAATGACCCGTCTGGGTATCGGGATCGCCCTTCGCAGCAAGCACCATTGTCTCCAGCTCAATGAACTCTCTCAGCCGGGGCTGCTTCTGGGGGTCTGCCAAGTCACAGCCCGCGGAGCTGATGAAACAGACGTTCGGGATCCCGGCCTTCTTCGTCGCGTCGACCAGTTCGCGCGTGATATCCATCTTCTTCTCCGAAGCAGGGGGGATCAGACAGATCGTGTCCGCGCCCGTCGACTTCAACTGCTCGACCATCTGCTTGACGCGGCCGGGCTTGTGCTGCACGATCTTGACGCCTAGCTTTTGGACCTCCTTGGCGAGGGGTGCGTTCTGGTTGAGGGCCAGGCCCGTGATCGTGCCGACTTTCTTCTTGAAGTTCTCGTGCTCGAGGATATATTTGGCGATGCTGGAGCCGGTGTTGCCGTCGATGGCGGTAATGCAGATGTTGCGGTGAGACATACCGGGCGTTGGGGGAGGTGGATTGGGAGCAAGCAAGTAGGAAGTGTGATGAAGAACAAAGGACAGCGAGATCAGGTTGGGGAAATACTCGTGGTGTGTAATGTACAGTGTGAAGTGTAGAGTAGTACGGCAAAAGAAGGATGCAACCAATTTCTATAACCGCACCCTTTCTCTCTCCGCCTCCGCCTGGCTTTTAAGAGTCGAAGCATGTTTGTTGCGGCGTCATCGACCGAGCAAGTGAAGGACACAGCAAAGTGACAGACCGCCAGGACGGGACTTTGTGCCGCAGCAAGGTGGCAGGCGGCTGGATACATCATGACATACGTCCCGTTCTTTCGGTCGCTGTTTTCCAGGTTCGGTGACGGTGAGACAAAATGTAAAAAGCGGCTTACACTTACATCACGAACTTTGCAAGAAAACGAGACATCTCCAGCCTAACTGACGCACAGGCAGGGAGAAGGAAGAGTCACGACAGAAGATCCGATGAAGTCCGATCCATTCGTTGTCTGACTTCGGAACCTCCCTCCCTGTTACCCATCATGCACGGTGCTCGCTCTGTGGTACGGTACTGTACCTTGCATTAGCCTGACAAACAACGCTTGCAACCAACCTGGTGGCAGAATCGGTCCATGCGCCACTGGGGAAATCCGCGCTTGCGGGGAAAGACTGTGCAGGCCTCCGGAGGAGTATTCCAGGACGTACAGTAGCTCTTACGGAGGCCTCCGTAAACAGCACAACACTGTGCACACCGGATGGAGTACAGTACCTCGGAATCTCGAAGACTCTTATCCCAATCATTGGTCGGGATTGGCATCCTTGTCATGGGCAGCCAGCCTCGTCAGATTTTGTGCCCGTACGGGTACTTGATGGGGGTGCGGGGTACTGTCTTACATCATGCTGCCGTTTGTTTCGTGAGCAATCGAGTCCGAATGTCTGAGTTTGAGCGTGAGCGGCAGGGGCGAGATTAGCGTACATTCTACCACTTTGCGAGCAATGGGCATGCAAAGTACACGGTTCTTTTGTTCCGACATAGGCCCAGATCATAACAGGTAATATTTCATTCCTCATTCTGGAGCAGCACTACTCTCGCCCGTCACGTTTTCGCCATCCACCTCTTTGCTCGCCGCTGAAGAGGACGCCGCAGACTCGACCTGTCCCTCAAGATCGCCGGTCCGTCGCCGCCGCAGTCCACTCCGACCGATTGGCCGCACCAACGGCTTGGTCGCTTCGAAAGTGACAAAGAGATCGTCGAGCGGCGACGAGCTGGTGAAGAACGCCCACGGACTCGTCAGCGGCGTTGGACCCGTCGTAGCCACCTCGCCCCCCTCGCCTTTATCCACCGCCAGCTTCCCCTCGGCAGGATCTTTGGGCGGCGAGATTTTGGCACCAAGATAGCCGACCACGCACCTGGTCATCCAGAATGTGCGCGCCCAAGGCCAGAAATCGGCCATGCCGCTGGCCTTCCAGCACGCCAATACAACCGCCGCATACGCGAGAGACATCCAGAAGGCGAAAGATACCGTCGTGGCCAACACGAGAATCAGCCTCCCAACACGCGGCAACAGTACATCAGCGACTAGAAACCACGACGGGAGCAGAATGCGGAGGACCGCGCGTCTGGCCTTGAATGTGCTTGTGGGGGACGAATTCGGCGCGACATCCCCGGACGGCCAGATTGCGTGCCGTAGCTCGCGCTCTGTGTCTGTCGGGTCAAGCACCAGAGTCAGTAGTGGGACGATACTTTGCTGCCGCGATGCGTATTCCTCGTGTTCCTGTACGAATTGTCAGCTCGGAATCCCTGCTCGGGGCACACATGTAAAGTAGAGCACCAGCGCCAGCACCAGTAGCAGTACAACTACAAGTACACGCACAAGTAAGCATACTCACCCAGACTTCACTATCAGGCAGGACTTGGATATTTCTGTCCCCGTGGGCCCGCAACCGCAACGGCACATCAACCACCTCTTCGTGAATGTCCCAGAACAGCAGCGTGGCGTCCGCAGGCGTGAACCACGGCAAGTTGACCCCATCGCGGTCCCCCGTCTTGACATCCACACCGAAACTCTCCGTCAGATATACGTTGTCGTCCTCGTACGAAGCGACTTCTACCAACATGCTGACGTTCCACACCTGCGCATCGCGAGGCCCGCCGATCGTCAACCCGCGCGAGCTGGCATTGTACGCGAAATCCAAGGCGAAGGACATGCGCTGAGAGCGCCGCGCCTTATGTACGTAGGGCGACGAGTCGGCATAGGGGAAGAAGTCGTCGACACTGGGTTGCGCGCGTGCGTGCGTCAGCTGTGATTGCGCTTGGCTTGTTGCATTGGAGGATATCGAGGCAGGCAAGCCTTTTCATCGTGGCTGCCTCTCGCAAGAACAGGAGGAGGAAAACACATACTCATATACCCTGGTGATGGTGCCGCCGCGCCATAGATGCTCCGCGGCCTTGCCTACGATGTCTGTTCCCCAGGGCACTTCGGGCGAGGGCAGAGCAGCCCATAACAGGACGAGAAGGGCGTAGAAGACCGGTATGAGAAGGAGGACTCGTAGAGGCGTGAATCTAGGCATGGCCGTGTGGGGCAAGGTCGTGGTTGTTCAGGTATCCAGATTGCATTCGAGGGCCATCTTGAGGGCGAGGGAGCCAGGTACTCTTCGCAGAAAAGGCAGAACCATGGTGCGAGGTGTCATTATTGGGGGCCAATGCTAGTTGGCTGTGGTTCCAGGCTGCATATTTAAAGTTGGCGAAAAGCCGCACAGCCTCGCTACAGAACCTCAGTTGGCTAAAGGATGGTGGTGGAGGCATCTTCCTCGCCAGGCTCACTTCGCACAAAGTTCATACAGCCTTAACATACTAGGTACTCGGTATGCAAGCTCTGCTTGATACTGCAGGCAGGATCTGATACCCATTTCGAATTGCTCCATCGTCTCCCCTTGCGCACTCATCAGACACGTGTTGCAAAGGAGATGATGGGATGATGGCCCTGCGTGAGCACGATGAGAACGTTAGGAACAGAGCCCAAACAACTCTGACTGTTGTGCAGTCCTGGTCGAAGTCGTCGCTCGTCCTGTCTTTGCCGCTAATCTTTTCGGAGCTGCCAGAGTTGGTCCATATTTACGAGGGCCGCTATTTCCAACAGAGGGTGTCGACGAAGCACAGTTCGCAGGCAGCAAAGGCGACGGTAAGTATCGCGAAGCAATTGCTGTCAGGAGAGGAAGAGCCTTTTCCCGTTGGAAATCTCGAAGGAATCTCGTCGGATTCGGTCAACTGCTTGGACGCCGTCACTCCGGCTTGCTTGAGCGACAACTCAGAAGGCGGGCCCATGAATATTCCTCATATGTGTGATGTTTTCCGCCTGATATACGGAGTACCATGACCGACGCTCTTTGCTCCTGTTCCTTGCAATGCACCATATGAGGTTCGACAGAACGTTGCGTCCGGGAGCGTTGGGTGGACTCGATTGAAGGATACGTCGGACCCGTCGAGGCGTATGAGAGCAATATGCAAGCGTCGTTCCGGCTAAAATTCTTCTCTAGATCTGTCACTCACCTCCTGCGACCTCATCATATCTGTGCAGTGATTACTGGCCAACAATCAGTGTATTGACGGTGTGGTGTAGTGGCCCAGCACGTCCTCACAATACAGAAGTGCATTTAGCCTCTGTGAGCCTTCATCATCGATCAGCTGATAGCAAGACATGCGACAGCTTGATTCTAAGGGGCAGGAGACCTCCGATGTCGCGTGGAGCAGAGCTAATATGTGCAAGATGGCACTGGCAGAGGAAGACCTTGGTTCGAGTCCAAGTACCGTCGTTGATTTCTTTTTGCTAAAACAGGAGATCGATCAATCTGTTTCCTTATTCTCTGAAGCCCATGGGGTCGCGGTGTGTAGGTGGCACGTTCGTTGTTCTTCACATCTTCTGTCAATCGAATCACTCGATGCTTACCGTTCACTGACGAGATTGGCTCGTGATGCCGGTATGAGATTGTGCGTGAGCGGATATGGAGCTATCTCTTTCCATAACAAGGGATGTAATGGGTGTTTGCTTCTGCTCTGCAGCGTGTGTCCATCACTCATGCTCCTACTTGTTCGTGACACCACGCTAAGAGCCACACCGTGCTTTGTTCCTATTGTAGCGGAGCGCCAGACTCTGACTCCTTGCCGGAGACTCCCCAGAGATCCCCTCTCCAGTCATTTGTGCCCCTGGATCAACAAACAAGTAATCGATTGATTCAAGGACCCATACTGTATTGGTTAGCATTTCAAGCTATGGATATCCGACCGTCGCCTGTATGATCCATCTTTGCTCTTCGCAAGAGATGATCGTGGCCAAAAGGCATTATTTTGTACTGGCTGTAGGCTGTATTCAGATGGCGCGCTATCATTAGTTGGAGCTGGCCTCGCACGCAGGTAGCCAGCACAAAGGCTTTCTCTATTGCCAGACGCGGTAGAAGGTGTGAAAGCAGGGTAGTGACACCTGCGGCCAAGATAGAGTGCTATATTCGGAACAACATCAACAGAGCATGGTCAATTGATGAGTCGAGCACACAATCGATGGAGAGACGTTGAGGAGAGGGACTGAGTATGTATGAGGATGACGGGACAGCTCTAGCCCCACCTCATCTACCATGGCACCTTCCGCATAAGGCATGGAAGGCCAGCTGGCATGTGGAAACAGTTTTCCATCCTACATTTCCAGTGCTTGCTCGTGGTGCCAGTTGTGGTCTACATCTCTATCATGCATGGGTATCATTGCCCTTAATTCCGTCTACGGACACATCAGCCTGTCATCGAATGCGTTCTTGCCTCCGACGCTCCGCTTCTCTACCTTGGGCACGGTGTGATATAAACACAGTGCTAGGTGAGTGCAATGTCACCAGCTTTCATTACGCCTGCAATGAGTGTTCTCTGCCACTCTGTGTACAGAGATACCTTGATCCGAACGTATCACGGAGCTCCGCCGACAAAGTTCCAGCCAAGTTCATCGCTTTCGCTGCACAGTCTGCCACCCATCGGTATCAGTACCTTTCCTGGCACGCAGGGCCGCACCTGGTATAAACTTGGCCGCGTTTGGGTTGTAGGGGCGTCCGCTTGATGCTGATTTGGCGCTATCACTGCGGTCTCTAGGCACGCAACCCGGGTAGGGAATTTGAGTTATCAAGTTCATGGGACGCTCGCAAGGATCATGAGAGAACCCAACCTGGACGTCCTGGTAGGGTCCTGCCCTCCTTGACCGGCGGATAAATTCATCCCGGACGATACGGGCGACAACAGTAGAAGAGAAAACGGCAGTGGCTGAATCTCCATGTCAGTCGCGAAGAAGGTATAGCAGAACTGACTTACCATTGCCGGTATTGAACAACCAGACCAACTCAAGATTGTGGCGTCCAACAATTTCGATCAGGTCCTTTCTAAATCTCTCTTCACTCATCCCATTGGTGAAGAGTTGCTGACGAGCAAAGGTCAAGCGTCGTCGCTCATTGAGAGGGGGTTGCATCCGGAGCAGGTCTTCGTTGTCCGGATAGGCTTCGCCATATTTGACTTCATGGCCTTTGCCAAACAAACCGACGCCATACTCGCGGATGAATTGACTGTCTTCCTCGGTGAAGAGCATGGCTCCGCCAGCGTACTGGAAGATGACACACACCGCACCATATTGTTCCACGTAGGCCATGGAGAAAATGGCACCCGTGCTGATTCGCTCTGTGACCATGCTCAAGGGCTTGTCTTTGGTCCAGCCGTAGATCCAGACGCAACGGAAGTCCTCATCTCGTGGCTGCAGCTTGTTCGGCTCTTCCTCTGTGATATGTCGCTTCAACCCGTCAGATGGTCTGAACTTGACCAAATAGTTGTTACCCGCGATATCGGTGGCGGCGACTGCTGCCCAAGAGGAGGCGTTCGGTCTCGCGACAGGACGAGTTGTGGTACCATTTCGAGCCATCAAGTCAGGGTTTGGCGCCGGCGAAGGCTTCATGTGGAACTTTTCGATGGACCACGGAGCTGTGGTCTGATTGAACGTGTCCAGCATTGAGTGGACATCGCGTGCAATGCCATTCGCTGCTTCATTTTCACCCTCGTCTCTAAGCTGCTTGGTGATTAGTCCAGCGGACCTGCAGCTCGGGCGGAAGCTGCTCTTACATGTTCCACCACGCGATTCAAGTGGCTAAGGGCATCCGCCATCACGTCGCTGACATGGAGAGGGTCGTTTCCGATAGCCATCATGTCCTGCGTTGATGCCCGATCAGTATAGTCTTCACCTCACGAGTATTGGGATCCTATTGAGAAAGATCACGTACCTCTAGATATTCACTGCTGGCATCACTGTAGATTGAAGGCGGAGTAAATGGGTCAGTGGGTGAGTTAGTGAGAGTGCGTTGGGTCGGTGAGGAGGTCATCGATGAAGATGAGGAAAAGTATCTGGGCACCATGGCGCCGAAGAGCGGGTGTGAACAGGAGGGTCTGGCAGAAATGATCGAATAGACAGAATGAAATGAGCGATGGTTCCAGGCAGTCAGTCAGCCTTCGCCGCCCCTTCACTTCCGCCCCAGAAAGCCGTGTCTGTGAACAAAGGACGTAAGGAGCGTGCCCGCCACAGGACGGAAACAACAGCACGGGTTATCTGGGAAAATCTTGCAGGCAGCAGCAGCTACCCGGGTGTGCAGACGACAACTTCTCAAACAGCAAGATCGATGGACTGGGTTCCTAGCTCCGAGAAAGATACAGTGTTTGCTCACCCAGCCCAGGTGGGAATTTCTCAGATTTTTATGCCCGATCAAAACCCTGTTGCTCCATTCTGGGGCGCCATAGACCATGCAGACCTCGCAGCATCGATAAGAGCAACCTGCAGATGGGCAAAGCAGTAAACCTCCCAGATCATGCACGCACAAAGCATTTGATGTCCTTTGATAGTTCGTTCACCGCCGCATCCAATCGTGGCATTTCACCCCCGTCAAACCGAACGCCAGAAAGCAGCCCTGATGCCCAACTCCCGACCCAACGCGCGCCTTGCATCGACGGTCCTGCTCACAGCGTCTTTATTCTCATGTGCTCGTCGAAGGAGATATTTCATGCATTCCCCCATCCTACCCCACACCAGGTACTTATATGCCTTGGGAACCTCCACGTCAGGATTACTGCCGTGTGACTCTAGGCGGGTCCTTGCTGTCTGAACCACCTCACAGCTAACGTTGTCTGCCATCCCCATCAACTGGCCATAAGCCAACTCGATTCGCTCTTCACCATTGCGCGCTTGCTCGTCTCGCAATTCTCTCGCAAGTCTGACCGACTCTGCATTGTGGGTTGCAAGGACGAGACTCACACGGGGGAACTCCATAGAGGCACCTTCCACAGGCTGGAGAATGCCTTGGTACCGTTTCTGCATGATGGCTCTGGCAATGCTGTTGTAGCATTTGTGGGTTTCGTCAATTGTTCCCCAGAGTAGCTCTCTCGGATCGCTGCCCATGTACGCCCCTCGGACGAGCTTGACTCCCAGGACAAATCCCTCCCTTCGAGCCAACTCAAGGTGACTTGCGAGGTTTGAAGGAGTTCGTTTTGCATATGCCTGATATGTGCCATATACCACTGCCTTCTCTTTGTTGTATATCTTGGCGAAGTACATGGTCCAGTTGTCGATGCCTTCTTGCAATGACGCCTGTTCGGCATCAAATAGAAGTCCAACGCCTCTTTGCTCCGCACGCTTGCAGATATCATGGACAGCATCTTGAAATTCGGGTGAGCAAGCGACCGTGGCTTTAAGGCGCCGCAGTGCTTGACGTCCTGCCCCACTGAACTTGAGGGCTACGTAGTCACCTCTCTGCGTGAGTTCGATCGTGCTGATGGTGTTCTCTCTCCAAGTGGCAACTTCTCCAGCGTCCACCTGAGCTTGATCCATGGCAGTGGGTTGCGCACTGAGACTTTCCAACTCTTCCTTGCTGAGGACCACTTCTTTGGCATGACCCAGAATCACTCCTCCAAAGCCAATGTTTTTTAGGTCTGCGATGGTCACGCGGACCTCTGGGGGCGTCTCTCCTGCACAGAATTGGGCGTAGAATGTTCGTTTCAGGAGAAAGTGCAGGAGGGGATTACGGTCCGGGTTGAAGAAGGGCGATGTCGTATGAGCAAGAAAGGTCATGGCGGTTAACGAAGGTCGTAGAAGGAGAGGCACTGAGGATATCGAAGTGATGATGTACGATAAGAGGAGGGAAGAAAGGGGAAGACATGCTAGCGGCCTGTAGGAGGGTATCTGTGATGCTTGACTATCGGCCGCTTCAACATCGATGGCTGTGGATGTTATGGTCCGCCGCGTATGCGCTTTGCGATGTTGAGTTCTCGGTCGTAGTGTCCTTGTCTTAGGATAGATCTGTTGCGAACCGAGGGACTTATCGTGCCACGGGACCGGGGAAAGTGCGAGAAAGGATGGCGCACGAAGATATTGCTTCACAGGTACCCGCGAAAGTAGTCTTGTATGCAAACAGCGATCCATCTTAGTTGCCAAAGACAAGAGCCGTAACAGTAGTGCGGGCAACACGCAGGGGACTGACAAAGGACATATATGCTCATCTCAAAGTGGCTTCGACGGGCAGATAGATACCAAGGGTAGAAGAGGGACACACGATTGGGGGCAGTACGTCAGCGGAGTTGAACGGGCATCCCCGCCTTGGAGATAAAGACGCATTGAGCCGCGAGTAGCCGCTCAGTCGCGCCCTAGTCTGGGTCAACGGCTTGTACTTACTCCGTACCCGTACACAGTACAAGCAACTCAAATGTAGGATAATTCTGTGGAGCAGCGCAGAACGGACTCCATTACTGGCGACATGGACGCCTTGTGACCAGGACCTCGATTCACAGATGACTGCACTTGATAGTCCCGTTCTGTGGTGGCCAAGAAGGAAGCACAAGGATGGGTCAGTGCCCACAGCTTGCGACTGCTCTGGACGAAAGCCGTACTGGTAGAGTGATGATGGTCGGAGCTACACGGTACTGGTGGGTAGGGTAGACTTACCGCTGAAAATGATTTGAGCTGAGCATGAGTGTGACGGTGAGCTGAAGCTGAAGATGTGGGAGGTGGTGGAAGAAGCTGGTTGCTTGGACAACACAAGCGCCAAGCCCACTAGAGCCGATCCGGAGAAGTCGCAACATTTGAGCTTTCCGTCATTCACACTCCACACCACCTTCACTTCAACAGCCACGGTCACGCCTGACAGCCGCATCTAACGCGCGGTTCGGCTTCTTCGACTGTTATCCCGTCTTTCCTGGCCTGGAAGAGTGCCTGCTATCTTCTCATGGTTTCCGCCAGTCCATGATCTTATACCTTTAGCAACTTCACTGCAACGATGACAGCGGACGGCGCCTCTTCGATCTCGGTTACGGTGCGAGTGAGGCCATTCACAATTAGAGAAGCTGCTCAACTTACGAGATGCGACGACACAACCATATTCCTTGGCGATGGCTCCCTGGCCGCCGCCCCGACTCCGAAATTGTCTCAGAAAGGCCTTCGTCCAGTCATCAAGGTTGTCGACGACAAGTGCTTGTACGCATGGAAGAAACCGAGTCCCAGTCCCATAACTGACCATTTCTATAGAGTCTTTGACCCTCCTGAGGATAATCCAGTTCAGAAGTTCTCCCGGTCCGTCGTGCCGTCGGGCAAGCGTGTCAAAGATCAGACCTTCGGTTTCGACCGAATATTCGACGAGAACGCATCTCAAGGTGAAGTCTATGAAGCCACCACAAGACCACTGCTCGACAGTGTGTTGGATGGCTACAATGCTACGGTCTTCGCCTACGGTGCCACCGGTTGTGGAAAGACTCATACAATCACTGGAACTGCTCAAGAGCCAGGCATAATCTTCTCTGCTATGAAAGAATTATTCGAGAGAGTGCAAGAGTTGTCAGCCGAAAAGGTCACAGAGATATCGTTGTCGTACCTGGAGATCTACAATGAAACGATCCGCGACTTGCTCGTCCCTGGCAATAATAAGGGTGGGCTGATGTTGAGAGAAGATTCCAATCAAGCCGTTTCGGTTGCCGGCCTCTCCAGCCACCACCCACAGAATGTTGAAGAAGTCATGGAAATGATTGTACGAGGAAACGAGATGCGCACCATGTCGCCCACCGAAGCCAACGCCACTTCCTCGCGATCACACGCCGTCCTCCAAATCAATGTCGCACAGAAGGACCGAAATGCTGGCGTTGACGAACCACATACCATGGCTACCTTGAGCATTATCGACCTTGCAGGTAGCGAACGAGCAAGTGCTACCAAAAATCGGGGTGAACGGCTGCTGGAGGGCGCCAACATCAACAAATCCCTGCTGGCACTTGGCAGCTGTATCAATGCGCTTTGCGATCCGCGTAAGCACAACCACGTCCCCTATCGCAACTCCAAGCTTACTCGCCTCCTAAAATTCTCTCTTGGTGGTAACTGCAAAACAGTGATGATTGTCTGCGTCAGTCCTTCCAGTGCACACTTCGATGAGACACAGAATACCCTGAGATACGCAAATCGAGCAAAGAACATCCAGACGAAAGTCACTCGCAATGTGTACAACATCAATCGTCACGTCAAAGATTATCTGGTCAAGATTGACGAACAAATGGCACAGATCAACGAGCTAAAGGCCCAGCTGAAGGAAGCTGAAACATTCGCCTTCACCAAATTCAAGAAGCAGAATGAGAAAAAGGAGAACATTGCCCGGGAGGGCGTGCAGAGAATCAGAGCAGCATACGAGAATTCTGCAACAGAGCGACAAGAGCGTATCAACAACATGATCAAGCTCAAACAAATCGGGCGTCGCATCGCTATGCTGAACTCTTGGATTACCGCATTTGAAGCTGTCTGCGACAACCTCGACATCGAGGAACCAATGCCGAACATGCAGGCAGTGAAGAAGACCGCCCATGGAATCATGATCGAGCTCGAGAGCGGCCGACATCACTGCCATCAGAAGGTGTCCAAGAGCAGCTGGGACCGGTCCATGAACACCGCTTTAGAGCATAGCTTGAAGCAACTCAACGAAGTCGACACGGGCGATATGATCGACGCTGAGATGCTTCGACGTGAGGTCGAATTGCTCAAGTCAAAAGCTGAAAGAGAGGCCTTCGCAGCTGTGGCCGAGCAAGACAAGAACGGAGACGCAGGCACCATTCAGATTCTGCTACGGGCACATTTTGAGACCATTTCTGCCATAGAGAGGTTAAACGATATGAGCGTCGATGACGCGGTTGATGCTGCCACACAGATACTTGGGAAGATGCTGTCCTCGGCTTCGAGCGCAGCATCTTACGTCGTCAAGCCCGACGGCAGCCTGGCTCCTTTCGAAGTGTTTGCGCCTTCCAAGTCAGGTACACCCAAGAGGCGGAAGCAAAATGCGGGCACGTCCATCTTGGAAGGAAGCCCAACGCGAGCGAGACCTACTGCCATCCCCGTGGTGGCGCCTCACCTCACGCTTTCTCCGGCTAGACCCTCCCCTAGGCGTAGAGGGTTGCTAGGAAGTGCAAAGAAAGGTATCCAGGTATCCTTCACACCCAAGAAACGGAAAAACCCTGCGAAGAGTGCGAAGCGAGCAGTAAGGTGGCGAGACGACACCGAAGATGGAACACTGGCCGAGTTTGAGAAAACACCCCAGAAGTTTCCTTCAGCGGATGAGTCAACATCGGAGATTACTCTTCCTCAGATCTCGGACCTTACATCGTCCTTCTCAGCTCTTGCGACCCAATCGCCTGACTCATCTCCCATTCCTCCTCCGCCAGAGGCTACCATCAATGTGCAACACAAAGGCGGTCGCTTCCAGGCAGGCTTTCTATCCAAGAGATATGACGGCTCACCATTGTCTTCAAACCTACTCCCTCCCAAGATGACACCTCTATCATCCTCCGACAGCGAATTGTCCCCGCTAAGAGAGCTCGACGCAGGAAAAGCCTCGAACCGTGGCTCACTAATCCCTCAAAACAAGGCTGCTGCGACATTCGATTCCTCTATCGACGGAGATAATATCTCCTCTGGCACCAATTCTGACACTGAGAACCATGCGGCTGGGGCGAACAAAGAGGAGGCTCTTGTGATCCGCAATGCAGTCAGACGTTCCTCTTCCTTGCGTCGCTCGGGTGTTCACGGCTCGCGGACCCAGCGTCGACGATCACCCACAGCTGCAACAGCGGCACTCGCTGGTTCTCCGCCTTCAGAGGGTATGTTCGCGGCCGGCCATGTTAGGAGGATGGTCCACACCGGCAAAAGTGAACATGGACTGCTGAAGGAGAACGATCGGGAATGGAAGGTGGGCGTGCTTAGCCCGCGCGTCCAGGGCATTGTCAGTCATAGCCGAGGGCTGAGCGCGTCGGCGAACCCATTGAGGAGAACGACCATGAGTGGCACGGACGCCAGAGGGACAGCCACTGGGATTGGTGAACGAGCCGCGGGCGGAGGAGTAAGGTTGTCAAGCATTAACCATGGTCACTCGCAGACCGCATCAAGGGGAAGTCTAATGCCCACGGGTAAAGCTGTCTGGCGCTGAACAGGATGAACTTGACACGAAAGGACTTATCGATTTGTGCTCACAAGCTTCTTGTTTTGTACTTGAGGAGTTCGGGGTCGTGGTCGGGAGCTCGTCCCGAACAGAGACTCGCATAGGGCATAAAGTGGTGGGCACGGACCTGGGGGACTTCGGCCGGCTTGGTGGCGTTTGGATGTGAGTCAAATGGCGCACAGAAAGCTCACTTAGGGAGCCATCACGAGCTGGAGTTTTGGATCTTTTCCTCCATACAGTCAACTCTTCGGCTTTTGGATCGGGGCTAGAAGAGGGGAATTACCAAGCCACGACCGGATCTCAGGCGCTGCGACCACGACGCTGTGCCTGCACAGCACACACAGACATCAACGACACAATTATGTGCTGTATTCCATAATGCATAGATTACTGCTCGTGAGCTGCGCTCGGTCCCTTGCCTCGCGCCAGGGACCGGGAGCGCTCCTCAAGCCCGATAAGCCATGCACTAGTTCTTGCCTTGATGGTAATAAGACCAATCTTGTGACCGTCTGCGAAAGACACTTCTCTTGAGGAGAGATGATTCCCAGAGAGAACTTCAATGCCAGGCACAGCAAAACACATCTCCAGATCAGACTGCCGTCGCTGAAGAAGTTCCGCAGCAGGGGAGTCTTTCCTCTCGACGAGTGTGCGTTGGTATCGCCGAGCTTGACCTAGACCATGTGAAAGGCCCGGCAGGGCGCGCTCTTCTGTGTATCCATTTGGTCGATCCCATTCCCGGCGACCGCCTTTTAGAGCCCACGCTGGACGCTCGAAGTCATCAGCTATGTAGTCCTCGCCATTGCATCATGGACGGACCGTCTGAGGGATTGCTCATTTCGCGACTCTTGTGTCGGTTTCCCGCCAGCGTAGTTAGACTTGTACAGCCTTGATCTACCCTTACATTCTGTATCTTTTTCAATCCCAGGAATCACCTTGCTTCCACACGCGATCATCGAAGCAGTGGGGAACAGATGGAAACAACGGAGCCCGAGACGACTCGTTTGAAGCGCACAAACAGATGAGCTGTTTTGGATGCCCGGTCCGTTTGCTGACAAAAGCCAGGGAAAGGCATAAAGCCGAATGGCTGCGTCCAGCAAAGATGAAGTTCATCTCCCGCGGGACATTTTCTACAAGATTCAGCACCCACCATACAGGGTCTCAGAGCATCTTGCACCACCTCCCCCTCCACCACCACAAACAGCTGGAGCGTAGCTACGACCAAGCGCCAATCCATTTTCACAAATGGGCGACGATGACGGCGCCAAGATATGGGTGCCAGTAACGGTTGTGGGATGCGTCCTTATCCTCCTGCTCATCATGTGCTGCACACCCTGCGGCGGCTGCGGCGGAGACGACCTCTTCGAATCCGGACCAAGACGACGGGCACCATCGTGGCATCTACCGACAGGGTTGCCCTGGGAAGAGATCACCACGTTCAGCTCGTTTCCGACGCGACCTGAACCAGTGCTTTTGGGGCCGCGAGGAGGCCGACCGGACAGGGACAGAGACGCAGGATACTATCCCGGGATTAACATAATAGAGAGGGAGCCCATCTTTGCGCGGAGATGAGCCATGGCGGAACAGAGCAAAGATCAAATCGCACACACGCACGAAACTTGGGGTAATTCATGCTTGGGCCAGCAAGCTCAGGAAAAGGCTCGCCGTATCCCACGTGATTCTTCAGCAGTGCCCTGGGTTTAGTCACGTGTTTCTTTCGTGGATTTGGCTCTCGCGTCCGCGTAACCGTGCGCGTTGTCGCGCGTTGTTCCACATTGGGGAAACCGCCGCATAACGTTGTTCCTATATCAGTGTCGGTCTGTGGCATCAGAGTAGACAACAGTGGTATAGAACACTCATAAAATCCATCCCGGCCGCAACCACGCTGATCATGTCAGGCAAATATGGCCACAAGAGACTTGCATCCAGCCAGGGGGGTCAACCACCCTTCAAACGCTCTGGAGCTGGTCTCCTCCACAGGCCGCCCGTGTCCATCGAATCATTGCCCACCGAGTTACTCGAATAAATCTTCCTTGCCTCTGTAAACGGGAATCTCCTCCTCGCCGTACCTCGATTCGCCGTCAGGCTGTCCGGAAGCGAGGCTCTTTACCGTGCGACGTTCGCACTGGCATTTTTCAACCATGCACTGCAAGACGTCCTGAACCATCTGGAAATCTCCTCGCTGATGCCCAATTTCGAGGTCCCCTTGACGATTTGGGAAATCCGGTCCATCACCAAAGCTGTACTAAGGGCCCGGTGGTGCACTCGTGGATGGGTGCGCACCTTTATTGATGACATGTTCCTATACAACACTGTCCCGATGCAATACCGCAATACGGGAGTCCGCCATTTTCTTTTCGAGCGCGATGCTCGTTTCCTCCAATGTCCACTGGACTCATTTGACGACGAGATCGACCAAAAATTACTTGTGGAATCTGAGGCGTCTGAACCTTTCCGCTTGCTTCTTGAGAAGTCTTTAAAAGTGATCCAGCAAGGAAACCCGCATCCAGGAAATGGCTGGTCTTGCCTCGACACACTGGACTTTTCGGATGACGAGATCTGGGATGATGATCAGAGGTCAAGCGGATGGCTCCGTGCGTGGATCGCAAGCGACTACTACTTGTACCCGGAAGACGCCTCATTCAAAATATCACCCCACGTATTCCGCAGAGCTGCAGCCCAAGACATCAGTAGCGATCTACGCGAACAGACCGGCGACACAAATTCGTACGCATTGCTCTACGTCGCGCATCTCTTCGACGTAGACCCTCAGTCACTGCCACTCACCGACCCGATTCTACTCAAATGGGCTGCGGAGGCGAAGGAAGATGTTGAGTTCTACCAACAGCAGTGGGTCGAGTCGAGCGGCGACTTACCCTGGGCCGCCACTACTCGTACGCGTCAGGAGTGGGAGAGAGAGCGGCATGCCCGAATTCGATCAACGTTCCTGTACCACATGCATCTCGAAGTCCTGCGCTATATCACCACCGGACGGCTGGAGCCGGGCTCCAAGGGACGCTCTTTTGATCAAAGTGGACGCCTGAAACGGTTCGAAGACAGGGAGATCATCGACGAAGAGCGCACTAGCACTGAGCCGCCGTGAGGTGATGAAGACCTGAGGTCAAGAGGTGCCATGCCTCCTGAGGCTGAAGATCTTTCATTCCTGTCTCCTGACTTCTTGGATTCGCAAGTCCATTGCTCGGAGTTCGAAGCCTATGTGGAGCAGGAACCACGTGTATACGATTTCCGGTATCGACGTGCGAGCCGGTCGTGTCCATGGGTCGACAGAGACGACAGCCCTTCTTCGTACGACTACTACTATTCCACCAACTGCACCAGCGATTCCGACATGTCGGAAATACCATTACATCACAAGTGGTACGTTGGCGTTCCCACGCATTACTGCGTGAGCTTGTCGTCAATGTAACCAGCCGCAATGCCCATCTACTGAGAAAACAAATGACTGTATTGAAACTCCCCGAATCAGCCCGGCCAACGGAGTTCCGAAGGAAGTCTCCATATACTGAAAGATGTCATTTCCCGTCTGCCATGACATCGCAAGGGCGTTTGTGCTAAGAGGGATCACGAGGATGAGACGAAACCAGAAGCCGCATCAAATGGATAGATGCGTTGATTGGGCCAACCGGAGTAAAACAACGGTAAAAGGCGTAAGGCGAAGACCGATGCTCTTGCTCGGTCCAAGCGCAGCCTCCGTTCACGGACTGTTGCCCATTCCACAGGATACTGTCCAGGACGATGAGTCGTGTACCGAGCCTTCCACGAGCCAGTAGATAGTACCATATCATTCAAGCAGGCTCTGATCGTCCCGTCTCACGAGGGGTGGGAATTCTGGCTTGTTCACGCGGCCACGGCTCAGACTCCATGCCGAAGACGGTGCTCTGCATCGAATCCTGCCATATGGCACATCCACCGCTGCGGCTTCCCTGGGATGGGATCGAGACTGTAATGATCTATCAGCAAGGCCTGGTGCTCTATCCACCGAGCTCGGTGTGTCTCTTGAGGCGGCTGCGCGGGAGGCCCACATGCGGAGCATTTAGGGGGTACCACTTCCACCAGAGGATGAAGAGAAGGAATCTTCAGCTGCAAAACTACCGCGCGTTGTTTGTCTACGGTGTCTAAGTCGACCTCACAGCACCAGCAGCAGCCGACCTTGCAAGGGCAAAGACCCAACCTCTCTCGGCGACTCGAAAAGACAAGTTCGCCTCAGCTGCTGGCGCCGCCCAGGCCACGCAACAGTTCACGCATACGATAAGGATGCAATGAAGTAGGTAAGCATCTACCATGTGATCGGACTCCTCTGTAACGCGAATCGGGCTTTAAACTCGTCTACATCCACATCAGCATCAACATCTACAGGACACTAATACAGGATACGGGACAGGTGGTATTCGCGTCGCACGGGAGCAACGACCGGGTACATACATACATACACATATACGTAGGGACATACATATACGCATTTACACACATACAAAACTATGTCCGTACACATTCCTACGCATATATGTCTATCTACACACAGTGTCGTATATTAGTCACATTCAGGCGAACGCTCCCAGTGACCTTGGGATGGCCAAGTATGATCAGTGTTCAGGGTACGCACATAGGCTACATAGCTGATCCACCAGTGTTGGCACTGCTACCCACACAATTCTAGAACACCGAACATGGGATATATAACATGTGAGATCTTGTAGGTATCTCGGCTGCCCTATCGATGACATGGCCTGTTTGACAAGTATTTTCCCAGGGATCCAACACTTCTAGGGCTACGAGGGCGCCTCATAGGCAGGAACGGTCACTCTCGGCGTGGGTCTTCCGAAATGAGAGCTGTTGATACAAGGCATCGTAGTGATTCTTGGTAATTAGTAGTAATACACGCAGCACACTGCCTGCATACCATCTCATGGACTAGTCGTTTGCGTGTATAGTTGCGGTCGACAACATTTCCTCGTGCTTACTTCCGGCACAGTACTGGCATCCACGTATTCACAAAACCCATGCAATCAGCGCCTCTCCCTCTTCTCCAGACTTTCTCTATAGCACCGCCCTACACGAACCCCTCTGGGATCAAAATCGCGCCCACCCCTTCCACCCCTCGCTCCATCACAAGCAAATTATACGCCGCAGCCGCGTTCGCCGTATCCATCACGTCGACCTTCATGCCCAGCTCCTCGGAGAGGTACCGCCTCGTGTCCTTGGAAAGCATGTGCAATTGCCGCCCCGTGCCGAAGATCAACAGGTCGGGCTTCGGGTAGAGTAAGGCGAGCAACCCGAACGCCGAGGGCGGGAAGTCGAGGACAGAGCGGGCGGTTAGGAACTGTGAGAAGCGTGACCGTGACGCTGCGGCTTGCTTCTGGCCGGACGCGGGTGAGGTCGAGGAGGTTGTGGCATCATCCCAGGGACTCCACACGAATCCCTCGCCTCCCACGAGCACCACCCCCCGACCTCCGGACGTTTGCACGCCATTGTTCAAGTGGAAGCCGTCGGGCGTGCAGGCGTCGATGGACGTCGCGGGCTCCTCGACGCCCGCGGAGGCGTAGATGTCGAGCTTTGAAAAGTCCGTCTGCGTCTCTTCCTTGGAGGCCGGGCCTCTGTCCTTGCTCTTCGAGGGCGCGTAGGGGTTGATCCGCGGTGAGCCGGGACGCGCGGGATTGGGAGGAGGCGCGGTCGGGCGCGGGCGCGGCGGGATGTTGGATGATTGAGCGGGTGAAGTCGGTGGACGGGCGGAAGATTGCTGATCATGATATGTAGGAGTTGTTGAGAAGGCACGGATACGGGGATGGTGCTGTGGCTGAGAGGCATACAGTCGATGACACCGTAGTTGGGCCCGGGGCCGCGACGTGTATACCACATTGGGTGAGGGTGTGGTTGTAGTAGCTCGACGCAGCGCGCGCAGCAGGTCTGTGGACGGAGCTCGCATGTTGGGGGAGTGAGCTGTGATGTCTCCTTCGCAAATAATTCGCGCTGCCGTAACAGTAGCAAGAATCAGTGCGATCCAGCCGGAAGAGAGAGCTTCAGAGGTCGCAACAAGGCTCGTCTCTTGTACACGTATTCGGTGTTGGGCTTGAACCGTCAGTTAGATCACAGAGCTGTACCTGACTCTGCTGCCGTGGGTGCCGCTGATTTGACTCGGTCTTGATATTGGTCGTCTCTCGTTCGTGTCAAAGTACAATGGAGAACTAAAAGTATGCTGCAATTGGAAGATTACAGTTGGAAGGGGACATTGCGTTGGAGTTTCAGAAAAAGTCACTGACGCTTCGAAATCACAAGCATGACTTCATACTCCTCGGGATCTGGAGAAACGTTCGGCCGCCGCTCTGGTCTAGAGATCCAGCTTGGGAGACGAGCAGGGTGCAGTGTAAACGTCCTCGAATATGATGGCTCCACAGAGATCAAATGCTTGTCTAGCTGTATCTTACACAATCTGCAAGATCCGTTCTTATGTCCTCCACCGTCCGCAATGCAAACAAATCGAGTTCAAACATCCACCATGTCGGACGCGGCAGATGATCCCCACTCATTAAAGCTTCGCCCATTAAATCACATCCCCATGCTTGTCAAATCACATAATGCAAAGTCCCACGACAGCAACAATCGCAGCAAACAAGCTGCCCTTGAGCAGATTCTCACTGTTCCCACCGACTGAACCTGCGCCGTTGGACGAGCCATCACCGCCATTGCCCTGAACGAAGCCTGTTGACGCAGCCCCTGACGAGCTCGCGGTTGCACTTGAATCACTACCCGAGCCTCCATCAGAGCCACTGCTGCTGCTATCCGTGCTGTTGTCGCCTCGGCCACCGTTGGAACCGGTGCCGCCGCCGGAAAGACCCGGGATAGTAGCGACCTCACTGGTCTTCGAAGAGCCGCTTGAGCTGGCGGTGTTACTCCCGGCGGACATGTTGGTGCCGGTCCCGAGGAATGATTTCAGAACGGTGTTGTCATTGGTGACCTCGACAGAGAGGTTGGTCATGCTCGGGTCAGTGAAAATGTAAGACTTGCTGCCTTGGACGTTCGCACCAGAAGGTGGATCGTAGCATTCCACCGAGACGGAGTCGAATTGAGCATAGTAATATCCGTTAGTCATATACTGTGAGTCCCATTCCACGAGACCGCCCGCCCAGTCGATGGTGCCTTTGCCGTTGGTGGGAAGACCGCCAGGCCAGAGTGACAGCTGCACCTGGCACGGTGTTTGGGGGTAGTAGTAGCGGTTCGCGGTGGCGTTCCATGTGTCTTCACGGTCAAGTGTGCGGACTACCTTGCCGTCGACTGACCAGGTGATCGAGTCGGGCTGCCAGTCGATTTCATAGTCGTGCATGTTGGCATGGACGTCTGACAGGCCGGTTACATTGCCGCCGTTGGTATCTAGGGCCACATGTCAGCTTCAATTCTTCGCTTCGGAATATTCTCTTCCGCTTACAAACTGGCACACCCTGGGAGTAGAAGTTGGTCTGCGCCTGCTCCAGCTCAACACCAACGAACTCAAAATCTATTTCGTCCTTGGAGTTGCCGAGAAGAATAAACGCCGTGACCACACCAGCCCCGGCAGAAGTAGAGAATCTGGCGCCAACTTTGCCGTACCAGACATGTCTTGTGCTGGTCAATAACGTTCCCACAGTCCCTTCGGCCATAGTCAAAAGCACAGAGTCCTGATATTCCAAGGGGTCGCCCGAGGAAACCCAGTCGGCGGTGGAGGCATCGCCCAGGTACTTGGTGTTGGGAACGATGCCGTCGAGGTTACTGAAATCATAAGTTTTGGACTTGCACACGGGTGCAGGTACGCAGGAATCGAGGCTGAACGAATTGACGGGGTCGCATCCTCCGAGGCAGTAGGCGCCAACACCACATTGGCCATATTCTAGATGTCCCGTGTTAGTCTTTCTCTTCTCTCTCAGGGCCTCCTGGATATACATACGCGAGCAGCATGGTGTGTCTGATGGGCATTGTACACCTCCGCCACACTCAACCTGGGCGAGTACTGAGGGAGCCAATGCGGCGAGGAAAAGAAGGGAATGCAGGATCTGCCCTGCCATCGTGTTTCTTGGGGGTTCCTGGCGGGCGGATGCGTATGCAGACGTCAATGAAAGACGCGACGGCCAAGTGCACGCAATGCGGTAGAAGGAGAAGGCAGGTTCTTTGCAGATAAGGTGTAGCACACAAGCGGGGCTCTCCCTGGTCGTACAAAGGACAGGTTTCGATGCTGGTGAACGAAAGTTGGCACGATCCCGTGGGTTGGAATGTGACAAAGAAAGATTCCAACAACCGCCAAGTGACCTGTGGCAAACAAACTTCAGATGAAAATGGTGACAACGATTGTGAGAATGAAGAGACTGTCGAAGGATTACAATGATTTTTCCGGATAGCGAAAGTGTTGAAAAAGTGAAGGTTGAAGTGAGAGAAAGGTGATACGGAGTCAAGATGGCGCAGGCGAAAAAGGCCTTGCTTGCTCAATTGTTACTATGCTTGGAAAGACGCCGCTCTCTGGGCCTGTCAGGTGCTCGAGAGGGGCCCCGAGTCCAGGTCCCTCCAGGCTTTGACTGGCCCGTTGGTGCGTTGAGCCTGCAAATGACGCGGCGCGTGAAACAAGGCACGGCCCTTAAACCGCGAACAGTTTAGCGGCGGTGGCGTCTGGGGCCAATCACCTACCGGCTGTGGCGAGAGATCCCCAGATCTTCTTTCCGATCCCTTTTGGTGGGCGTCTGCTGCACGTAACGAAGCTGTCGAGACTGTCGTGTGATGCATCGTGAGAGGGCATTGAGAATAGCGACTGCAGGTCGAGGCGAGGTCATCTTAGGCCCTCAAGGGATTTACGAGCTGTCCGTCTCAGATCTCGGATCGCGATCTGTGGTGCGGCGCTTCATCTCAAACGTGGAAGATGTCGGCCTGGGTCAGGTTTCTGAGGTTTGGGTCGAGGGAACTCAAGGATGCAGCCGAGCTTATGAAGATCCCTGATATTCCCCAGCAGACTCCGATACCTTTCGCTCTCGGAAACCACAGGCCAGACGCCGGCTTCCTCAGGTAGACATCGGTCATAAACCTCTTTCCACGCAGCGAAGAGGGAAACTTTCCGCTCGGGTGTGGTGCGCCCGTTCGGTCGTCCATTCCCTTCACGTAAGCACCACCTCCGTCGTGGGGAAATCGACGACTTCCAATGCGAAACTTCAAATCATCGTCGTCAGTGCATCACTCGGGCACACCCCAATCGTAGGCTCGATTCGATGTGCTCTGTCCTTGGGAGAAGACATACGCTTCTGAGAGACTGTTTCCGTCTTTGCCATCTCATCTGAGCATTCCCGCAGGCTTCTTACTCGCATTCTGACCACGACGTCAGCCGGAACATTCCGTGCTGTCAGCGGTGTCAGCGTATACGCACAGTATGAAGGTCTAGATACTTATATCACGGCGAGAGACCTCTTGCTTCTTATGCCGATTCATTTTTGAGATTGCAAGTTGTTCATGACGGTAAAGATGGGGTCGGTTGAGCAAAGAAAGCCGTTCGAGAAGGTGAGTTGGTCGGCTGATGTCGATGAGAACTGACCGCACTCCATTCTGCTTCAGCCTCACCGGCTTTGCTCTTGCTCACCAACATGTGCAGATCATCATCGTCGGAGCCGGTCCAGCAGGGCTGCTCCTGGCCCTTTTACTCTCACAACACAACATCCCCTCGCTCGTGTTGGAGTCATGGGACAGACTGGACGAACGCCTCCGAGCAACCCAGTATGGCGTGCCGGCGACAAGGATATTCCGTAAGGCAGGACTCTTGGACGACTTTCGCGAAGCGAGCATCACCAGTTTCCCGAGCATATGCTGGCGCCGAGTCAGTGATCATCAACGACTGGCGGGCATCGATCTCTCTGTTGTCAGAGACCATCCAGATCGCATGACGATCCTCCCGTTGAACGAGATGATCAAGATCATGTACAAGCATTGTCTGGAAAATGGCAACGGGCTGATCGACATCAGATTCAACCACAAGGTTGTTGGGACGGGGCAGGACGAAAACTCTGCTTGGGTGGACGTTGAAGCTGGAGCTGAAGGGGAGGTCAATGAGAAGAAGCGTTTCAGCGCGGACTATGTCGTGGGATGCGACGGAGGTTCCAGCACGGTCAGGAAATCATTGTTTGGACGTGAATGGCCGGGCCAAACCTTTGATTTTCGCCTGTTGGTTCAAAATGTCTGTGTGCCTCGAGCTCGCAACTTCGATAGTGGACTGCCACTGATATCACTTCTAGGTCTGGTACGACGGGTTCGAAAAGCACGGCTGGGATGGCGGGAACTATATGATCGACCGCGACTACTGGGGGCTCATCGCGAAACGAGGCAAAGGTGGCCTCTGGCGCGTCACATACGGAGACAACCTACCGGGTCTCACAGACGACGAATACCTAGCACGACGGGATACTGCTTTCAAGAAACTCCTCCCTGGCCATCCCGATCCAGGACAATACAAGATCACACAGACCGACCAATTCCGCATCCATAACCGGTGCGTCGAGAAGATGAGGGTAGGACGGATTCTGCTGGCTGCTGACGCTGCACACGTCTGCAACCCCTTTGGTGGCTATGGCTGCATGACGGCGGTCTTGGATGTTGGTGGGCTTGCGGACTGCCTGATCGGCTTCTATGAGGGCAAGGCAGACGAGAGCATCCTCGACCTGTACGCCGACATCCGCCGTGAGAAGTTCCTGAAATATGTGGATGCGAGGTCGATGAAGAACTTGAACAGAATCATGAATACTGACCCAGACACTGCACTGGAAACCGACCCTTTTCTTCGGCTGCTCAAGGGGTTGGAGGGGAATGCCGAAGCAACGAGAGCGTTCTTGTTGGTGAGTAACGTCGCGCAAGGCGTCGTGCCTCAGCGGTCGCATTCAGAGCTTTATGGCAATACTAACCTCACCTCTCCAGAAATACTCCAGCATCGAGTACGACTTCACGCAACACTACAAACAACCATGAGATAGTATGTTTATCTGTCGTTAGCAGGAAACGATTCTCTTACGAGGGTCGTTTCTCCAGCTCTCCCGTTAGCTCTAGCATTCTCTAGGCAGGAAAATGCCGCATGTGTCTGTAAGGCGTCTCAGCGCAGGTGCGAGGCTGCGCCAGCCTTGACCTAGGAGGAGGTGCTGTTGGTTGCGAGACTCTTGGCCCGGGAACGGTATCTCGGCCGAGTAGCTATTGACATAGCGAAGCGTACGCAACAGGGGAAGAACAACCCTGATGATTATTGGAGGCGGGCTTCCAGCTTGCAAGGAGCATTGTAGTTCTCGGTACCCCGTACTGCATACCCCTTACTGTAACTCGCACAACTTGAGCCTGATTTAATCATCACCGCGCGACGCAGGCGCGTCGTAATTCGTGTCTGCCCGTACCCAATTATGAACCAGGACTCCTCTCAGGCCAGCTCGCGGGAGTTGCCGTGCCACTATGCCTGCTTGGGAGGTGTGGGGCAGCAACAATGTCGCGTCTGGGGCTCCGTGATAGAAAGGGAACAGCGCCAGGTGTTGGGAAGGTTGGGGCAGAGCCAACGACAACATCATGGAGGATTTCAGAGAAGCGAATGCCTACTCAACCACGATGACTTTCTAGTCAAATTCGCTTTGTCGGAGCATGGCCGGTCATGCCTTGCTCTGAATCGAGAGCTGTAACTGCACTGCAGCTCCATTGTTTGGGCCACAACGCGTCTCGGTCGTACTTTGGAGATTCAGTCTCGAAGGATGTGCAGGTCTTCGGGAACTTGGGGAAAGATGTTTTGGCACAGCGTCATAATCGGCATTTCGTGTCACTCAGCGTGACTCCTACCTCAGGTATCGAGAAGCGTGGCGAAGGAGTAATAGACACTGTTCCAGAGTTCGAGAAGCTCTTGGATCGCAAACGTGTCGAAGCCCGGGGATATAAACAGACCCGCCGGTCCTTTGCCTGGACAGTATCAGTCTGAGTGGCGCGAGCGCTGACATTATCGCAGTCACGATAAAGTACTGTAGATGCTCTTTCTCAACGAGGCACATTTTGGGGCTTTTCCTCTTCCACGGCCGCAATACAACAATGCCGGCAGGAACCGTTTGCTGGTGCCCGTACTACCTTCTGGACCATCGAGGATACTGAAGATGTGACAGCTGCTTAGGTAGCGACGCTTTGGTCACAGTCATGGTGTGGTCAGTGCACTGTGTCGTTCTCGGATACTAGTACCCCACCATTCGAACATAACGGAGTGATGCCACCACAGTCGATATTGCCTCGGGTGCAGTGTGAGACAGCGATGGCTCTAGCACGGAGGCAATCATAACCACCAGTCTTGCATGTCGACAAGGACAGTATGGTGGCCCTACTGGTGAGCACGAGAGACGACAGCGGAGTAATAATGTCCGTCAGATTTGACGCACAGAATGTCCGTGTTGTCAGTACATACACAATTGGACCACGCGCAAAGGATTACTCTCATCCTTCGCGTGCACGCGTCATGCTGCACCCTCGAAAGCACGGTTCCGGATCATATCATCGACGAGATATCGAGCAACTCAAAATATTATCCGGATTTGCGAATTCAATGGGTGACAGGTGCAGGTGATTCAAATGCTTCTCGAAGCCCAAAGCTACCTTGATGCCTTGCGTATCTGTCCTGACAGTGCTGCGGTCGGTGGTGCTCATCTTCTTGCTGCTCTTCGGTTCGAGCGCTATCGTTTAGACATCAAGATGCCAGTCGATCTTTGCCGTCCATCACAATCTCCGACAGCCGATCCCGGGTGTCCTCATGTCGCGGAGTATAGAAGGCCGTGGCTTGCAGCCACATGTACGGAGTAACCATGACGGGATACATACCAGTAGGACTCCCGACGCAGCATATTGAAACCGAAGCCGGTCGCATAGACGGAATCTGCGCTACGGAGCGACTGTGGCGTAGACTTGCGGTAGTGGTGCAGGGTAGGCGACATGGGACCTGCAGAAACTCCGTAGCTTGTGCAGGTTGAGCGTTGACGGTGCACGACCTTGCTTGCCGATCGGAGTGCTGGAAGCATGGTGATCTACGGTTCATGGCGGGGTTTCCCTGTTATCGTGAGCTGAAGGAGGATTGCGACCTCGGCCGGCGGGCTTCGACTTGTTCCATGGTGGCTTTGGCGCAAGAAGGCTGCGGATGGCTCATCGCGCAGCATGGAGGAATTTACACAGTGAATAGCTCGAGGACAGGCGGGCACAGCTTTCACGACGGGAGAACCTTGCGAAGAGCCCCAGCCATGCACAGGTCCATGCCGGCATGAAGCTTCGGCGTCTTGGCACGCAACTACTGATTGCTTAGGGACTGGGCCAAGATCGGCGCTCGGTATCTGCGAGATTAGATCACAGTCCCTGCAGAGCCACCGTCACGGTCACTCTACTCAAAGTCTTGACTGTCACATATGCAGCTGCTTCAAGTACCGAAAAACTCTCCATACTACATCCGTACCTTGTCGCGAGTGCTGTGTAGCCTCGACGGCACTCCGCAGGTGGTGGACGGACCTTGGGATGGGCATGTCCGCATGATTCCCAGACTCGCTGCGTCAAGGACACGAGGATCATGTCTTCTTCGCATGTTTCTCGCAGCGCGGAATACCGTGTACAGGTACACAAGTTTGGACGTCATGATCATGCAGCATCGCGTACTCCTACTCCGTCCGCCACACAACACACGCACTCCGTCCAGATTGTGTATATTGATGGGCCACGGATCAGCAACGCGAGTTGCCTTTCCTCGAGCCTGGATACTGCATGAGTGTCTATATTGAGGCCATAACAAGGACGATCTCACGCGAAAGACGGTATCTCTTGCTGTACCGAGTACCGTATGTCCGTAGCTCCCGCTACTCCACATACTACTACGTACAAGGTACTTCTTGCGGTTGATGCACCAGCGTGGAGCTGGTAGCTCTCCATTGTAGCAAGTGCAATGCTGTGCTGTGGTCTATCTTCAGCAAGTGGGAGGGGTTTCCGGTTCAAGCACCGCATCCTGCACTCTGCTCCCGCATAATCACTGTATGAGTACGGAGTACGGAGTAGTGCACTATGTACCGACTGCCGGCTCTCGGGGTCGGAATCGCATCAGAAACCCCTTGCACGCTGTCCTGTTAGGATACCCAAGTAACTCTTGCGAGTAGCAATAGAACTCGGCAACGAGTGCAGGAGTCGCAATCTTCCCGTACGTACCTCCCTTGCCTGTGAGACTGTAGTCGACAGGACTACATGTTCAGGTCGTTCTAGGCCTCCTATCATTATGTAGCACCCCATCAGCACTACTTGCATCGCACGATCTGTACCTGGCGCCTCGTAAAAGAAGCTCCACGATAAGCACTACTGTCTCGAGTCCTGGACATATAGCTCGTATACCTCGTGGTGGAAATGCTGACAACGTGTCTTGGCATCCCTGTGTCAATGCATCGTCTTCCATCACAGCACGTCCAACGCAAATAGGCACATGTACGGAGTACCTGCAGCCGACATTTCGGGCTGCGCATGGAACGGAGTGAGTATCGCATTCACACCGCGCTGTCTCCAGTGGCGCCCCGAGCGCCGAGCGGCTCTTCATACAGAGATAGTACCTGTACTCTCACGCGTCCTTGAGCGAGACCTGACACGCAAATGAACACGACGGGGCTGCGGGTCCGTGGTGTGCCCAAGACTCCAGGCTTCCGACTTCCACCAGAAGTGGTCTCCGGGCAGTGAGATCCCCTCCCCCTCGATCTGCTTTTGTGTCAATCGTAGAAATCATCCCGGCAGCCTTGGGCCCTCTCTGCAGCAGCCGGGAACAGATTGTAATCCGTAAGCGAGTCTACATGCCACCAATGCTACGTACGGGATCTGAGTGCCCCTGATTCCACGTTGCGCTGACCAGGCGACTTACCAAATCGCTCGCAACGAGTACTCGAATTCAGATAGACACAGAATACAGACACGAATGAACACGGCATACGCACGGGCGACCAAGCCATTCGTATCACGTGTGTTATATTTGGATCTTCCTTGAGGTATTCCGTACCACGGTCCTATATCCGGAGTATGTACATAGATGCTGTAGGTACCCACCCGGTTGACACCTCAGATTGGCCGAGATAGGCCTCGGAGTCGCGTTGCCGATCGTGAACGTGGCTTGTGCTAGGCAAGATTGGGGACTAGGTTATTACTCTTGAGGCTTCCCCCGGGACAAGGGACGCGTTCGTGAATTTTCACCATCCAGAGCACTGCAGCACGGGCCAAGACCCTCCCGAGCCAAAGGTCGTTCCGGGGCCGGCTGTCGGTGCCGGTCGCGCAGGGCTCATCATCGATAATCACAATGAGTACCGTAGGATGTGCCACTGCAGCGGTGTGTGCTATCCACGACTGGGTCGGCCTTTGCTAGGAAAGGCAGCTTATTATCAAATGGACTGGGGGAGAAAGGAGATATGGGTGGCCTAGGGGATATTTGTATGCAGCACTGACAGCCATAGTTGCAAGCCAGACTCAGATTCAAGACTTTCGTAACGCCTGTCTGCCAAGTGCACCGCCCGTCGACGCCGATGCCCAGACACCAGAGGGACTTTGTTCGCCCGTATTGCGAGGGTGAAACGTGAGATTGTTGCTACAGTTGGTTTGGTTACAGTGGTGGTGGGGACCGTGGTTGGCTCGTTTGACATCTCCTTTTTTCCCTGTGAATATGCTAGCATCTCTTTCCTCCGGGTGTCGGCGTTCGCTTGCGCAGTTCATTGGATGCGCGGTTCGCTGGTCGGCCTGCCGCCTTCTCCAGCCTCCGAGCCTCATCAAACGCTGTCTTCGATGGTGTTGGCGCTAAAACCTGCAACCGCGGGTCCTGGCCACTCACGCGCCACGCTCCTCCAGGTAAATAGCCCGCTTCGGTTTAGCGGCGCTGTGGCTGCCCTTGCGATCATCATTGCGCGCCGCTGTTTTGATCGGGCGCAATTTCTGTGGGATCCAGCTTATAACCTTGTACACAGTAGAGAGATTGGAAGCGCAAGAGTTGCGAGAAAAGTCTTGGGCATCATATGTTGTCCTCAGCTGCAAGCTTCGGTTAGAGGTCACAAGACGCGGCGCCGACTAAGGCGACCATGCTCGTAAAGGAGAGCAGCAAAGCTGAGCCTTGGCTGGCCGTTGGGGGTTGGGAGTTGCGAGCCCAGGTTTTTATCGCCCGAGGGTATGCGTTCATCGCCCTATTTTGCCTGGTTGGCAAATCATCTGCAAGCTTTACCCTGTGGGCCCCAGCACAAGTAGTGGATGAGCCGCCATGAGATAGTGTCGCCTTACCAGAGACACCAAGATTACAAGGACTCTTCCGTAGTGGTCAGTCGATTTCCGCTATGCTTCGTGTGACATGTAACCGTTGACCGATTCCCAGACGGTCTAACACCGTGGGATCTTAGCAGGGGCCGAACACGGTCACTTGTGGATACGCCTTAGTGGAGGGGAAATCTCGTCGCCCTTGGTGCCCTATCTCCTTCGCTTGCCCGTGGATGGCCCAAGGTGGAAAGTTTCAACCCTTCGCGAGGCCGATTTTCATCACAACCCTTGTCAGGAAGCACGGGTGCTCCCCTTGGGGGCCGGACTGGCAAATTGTGGTCCTCCGGTTATCTGGAGACGACTCCGTAGGTTCGCGCGGCGAAAGAAGCATAAGTGCTGCCCTGGTCCCTCGTCAATCCGATCGATACCCTTCCGTTTCCTTTCCTCGCGCCGTCTTTCTTGAGATTCTCGTCCCATTTGCAACTGCCAACCTGGTCGGCGATTTGCATCCCACCTCTTTCCCCATAGCCTCCTGCCAAGGTCCTTGGACGCGTCTTCGACTGCTTCTCTCTTCACTTCCTACCATCGACAACCCATACACACCGCAAGATGGGTCAGACGGCGTCGCAGCCCGAAGGGGGCAAGACCCTCAAGGTCATTGGAGCCGGTCTGTCAAGGACGGGCACCACCTCGTTTGGTGCAGCTTGCTCATACCTCCTCGACGGCCCCTGTTACCACGGCGGCACCCAAATGCTCAACTCCCCCGAATCTCACATCAAGCGCTGGATCGACATCATCAGGCACACCCCCGTCAAGGGTGAAGCCGACCGGAAGGCATTACACGAGGGCGTCAAGGAGATGCTCGACGGATACGTCGCCTGTACCGATCTGCCTTCGAACGCCTTTGTCGAAGAACTCATGGAGATCTATCCCGACGCCAAAGTCATCTGCACAGTCCGTGATCCTGATAAGTGGTGGAACAGCTTGGCGCCCATCGTCGAGAAGGGCAACTTGACTGTCCTGTCGTGGATCCTGGCACCCCTACCGACTCTGCGGTGGTTCCGAACATACCACGACGCCCTCGACGAAGGCCGCGTGGGAGAGCTGTACTTCCGACCCGGAGAGCCTCAGAGGCCCACGAGGGCCATGTGGGACCGACATATCGAGCATCTGAAGAAGGTTGTCCCCAAGGAGAAGCTCTTCTTCTACGACGTCCGCGATGGCTGGGAGCCCCTGTGCGCCATCCTGGGCGTGCCTGTGCCCAAGGACACACCCTTCCCCAAATTAAACGATGCTGCCGCCATGGAGACTTTCATGAAGAAAAGTGCCCAACGGGGCATGATGGCCTGGGCTGGCATCTTCGTGTCGGTCGGTGTGGCTGCCTTCACCGCTGGCAGATACGCCCAAGTGTTCTAAAGAACAGTGATGTATATGGGACCCTCTTTCCGTGGTCTCATAGGTCTTATTGCGGCGTCACGATACAGTATCGAGTCCGACCCTGGGCCGTATGGAGTCCAATGGCTGAATGAATGGGATGGTATTGATCATGGGATTTGACGTCAGACAGTTTCGTCAGGTTTTGCTGAACCTTGGTCGCTCATAAAAAGGAGAACTTTGTGTGTACAATCATGAGATCCAGTCGATAAGCGGAGTTTTTTTGGCCTTCAGCATGGGCGTTCGATACGGTGGTCCGAGGCATCCTTGTGCTCGACTTGCGGGATGGGTTGGTGTTCGGTCATGGATACTTCTTTTGTGGGTATTTTGTTAATATCCTCTTGTAATAGGAGGACTCGGATATAAGCCTGGGTGTAAGCACCCCCTAATAAGCGATGACACACCCTTGAAGTACCGTCAACACCATTTTGGTCCAGTCTCGCAGCAGGCGCAAGGCTGAGAAACTCTAATGGGTCGTTTGTGACCGCAATGAAGACTCGACACCTGACGATCGCACGGGCGACAAAGAATCATGGAACTCGTCAGGAGAAGAGCAAGGGGCCATGGACATGGTTGATATAAAGTTGAACCTGATCTCTTGGTCGGTCCACCCCGCGATGGCGCTCGCATCCCTATTTATTGCGCAATCTGCGCCAAGCCACAAGAGGCGGTGGTTGCGAAGGGGGCGGCATCCCTTGCCAGGTAAGATCCAATTCTGCTATCTGGTGTACCGCCTGCGGCTTGCTTCGACACTGATAGGGTTCAGCACGTATGCACTAGTCGACATGGAATGTTTGCTTTGTGGGCATTGCATATGGCGATTTTCGCCCATGCCCCTCATGTGGTCGAGACTGCCACGTTCAGCCACCCACAGTCTGGAGGCGCCAATAATCGCACTCCAGTCATCCGGTCGCTGCTGACGGGATCCCCTTGATTGAGCAGGTTAAGCACTGAAGCCAGAGACTACTTTCCCACAGTGGCCTTAATTCTCTTCACAAGAATTTTACCAGACTCCAGCTCCGCTGATGTGCAACCTTTTCATATGCCGGCCGTGTGGGAGCTTATTGACGTCCATGCCCTACATCTGGCACGGCGGCCATGTCGGCTGGCGGATGCTGCATCTCGTGCACCTGCTCCCAATGTACCATTTTCCCAGCTGCTGCGTAGTACCCGGCTGTCAAGGTCGCATCAATGCATGCAGTTCTTCTGGCTCGATGCCAGGCGGGTGCTGGAATGGCACATCTTCACCCTGAGGTAGTCGCGCTGTTGTTATTATGACATCTGTCAAGCATGGCACCCGCAACACGAAGGTGAGCAGCAGCACACTATGCGCCGCGACCATAGTGAGGCGCATGGGAGCGTCGAATAGGTCCTCCAAGCTGATGAGGGAGGTGAGGGAGACCTTCCTTTCATACGTAATCTCGGTATAACCACACCGTACGTTGTCTTGCACCATTCTGTCGTCAAGCATCGAGAGGCGTCAAGCGTGCATCGGCCGGAGACCTCGAGCTGCCCAGGCACGTCAACAACTCTCATGGGTTGTGATTTCGCAAGGACGCTAGTCGAAGGTTTCCCGATCGACCTAATCTCAGAGTCACCAGCGCCGTGTCGACTCACCTAGAATCTCACCAGTCCTCTCGAGCAACAGGGTGAACCGGCTTTTCTTCGAGCGAAGCGAATATCTGAGCGATAGCTGGTGCTTGTATGGAGGTCTGTGCCGTTGCTGCGCAAGCTACAGGCGTTTTGCTCGAATGCTTGAACAGCCTTTGGCAAGGAGGGACAAGGCAGATAGAGCGGACATGGCAAGGCAACACTTGTCGCACAGAAGATACATGAAAGGGGTTGAGCGCATCTCGCCGAGTAATTAAATACGCCCCCAATCATCCGGCAGTCTCATGGCTGTCTTTCACGGAGTGGCCTGATTCGCACTCCTTCCACCGAAGAGCCTTCAATGTGCGCCTCCCCGGATAGGGGCACTATGAAGTGTTCGATTTCGTGCAATTCTTGTACGTCGGTACTCAAAGTACAAGGTGATCAAGTGGCGCAGAGTGAGGCACAAAGTGAGCGTGAGCAGCTCTGCGGAAGACCCCTGCACGTGACCATCCTTCACAGCCACGTGCACTTGCCCTTGGTGCAATCCAAGTCATTTGACGACAACCATCATATAGTTATGGCTTCACAAGGCTAGGACCTGGCTGCACTCCCCCGGCGTATAGACAGGACGCCTCTCATGGCACGCGAAGAACCCCTTCTCGCGCGACCGGCGTCGCCCAACTCATCCACAAATGATATCGAAGAGGAAGACGCCCTCCTCACAGGCCAACCGACCCATCGAGAACCCGCAAAGAGACCCCAGAAATGGCGAGAAATTGGGCTGTTCGTCTGGGCCTTGCTCGCGACCGTCGCTGTCATCATCCTGGCAGTCATATATCAACATGACTCCTCGGTAGGCCGAACGAGACCGCGGACCGGAGGCTGGGGACCAGATGGGAAACCTTCAGGCAAAAGAAACATGATCTTTATGGTATCAGATGGCATGGGACCTACATCTCTATCCATGACAAGGAGCTGGAGACAATATTCGAGCGGATTGCCGTACGACGATGTCCTCATCCTCGACAAGCATCACATCGGCAACTCAAGGACTCGGAGTTCGAGCAGTCTGGTCACTGACTCGGCTGCTGGTGCAACCGCCTTTTCATGCGGCTTCAAGAGCTACAATGGCGCCATATCGGTGCTGCCAAATCACACTCCCTGCGGTACGGTTCTCGAAGCCGCGAAGAAAGCAGGCTACATGACCGGATTGGTGGTCACCACAAGAATCACCGATGCGACTCCTGCTTGCTTTGCAGCCCATGCCAATCGAAGAGAATACGAAGATTTGATCGCAGAGCAGATGGTTGGCCACTATCCTCTCGGTCGCGTCGTTGATCTCATGGTTGGAGGCGGAAGATGCCATTTCGTCCCCAACACGACCGAGGATTCGTGCAGAGCAGATGACAAGGACATCGTCGCAATGGCCAAGGACAGATACGGCTTCACCTACGTCGACAACCGCAAAGATTTCGATGATCTGGACCCCAATGGTATTAAGCTCCCACTTCTTGCCCTCCTCGCTAGAACCGACATCCCTTATGAAATCGACCGTGCCCACATTTCGGATATATACCCATCCCAGGCTGAAATGGCCCGCTTTGCATTGACAGCTCTCTCGGCAGCGACAAAAGATTCTGACCAGGGCTTTTTCCTGATGATCGAGGGCTCTCGAATCGACCATGCGGGCCACGCAAACGATCCTGGTGCCCAAGTCCGCGAAGTTATGGCCCACGACAGAGCCTTTGGTGAAGTTCTGGACTTTTTGGAGAGAGACGACACCGAGGGCGTATTGGTGTCGACGTCTGACCACGAAACCGGCGGACTAGCAGCAGCGAGGCAACTGCACGAAGCATACCCGATCTACCGGTGGTTCCCCGAGGTGTTGGACAACGCAACTCATTCCACAGAATACCTCGCCGCCGAATGGACAAAATACCTCGCCTCATCCGAAACAGCCGTTCCGCGGAAAGACCAATCCTCCAAACTTCGCGAGCTGATCACCTCAGGCCTCGGCATAACCGACACCACGGACGAAGAGATCGAGGCTATCCTCGATGCCACACCCACGTGGCCGCCATTTTACCTTTTCTCCGACATGATCTCCCGACGCGCACAGATCGGTTGGTCCACGCACGGACACTCCGCCGTCGATGTGAACATCTACGCTTCCCACCCTTCCCACGCCCCGCAGCTGGTCGGTAACCACGAGAATATCGAGGTCGGGCAGTTCATTGCTGAGTATCTAGATTTGGACCTCGAAGTGGTCACAAAGGAATTGAAAGCGAAGAAAGTCAAGACAGAGACTGATGACGACGAGGGCCACGAATGGGGTGACTGGATGGGCCCCGAAGGACTTCCAGTCAACGAGGATGGCAGTCTCGTGGCGTTAGACGCATACCATGGCGATTTCAAGCATCGGAAACGCGAACTTGAGGAATGCGGTTGTGGGATCAAGCATTAGACGTGTATAGGGTAATTATCGGTATTGTACTGGATAGAAAAGGATGGCCTGCCTACCAGCTCGCCGGTGTTTGAGGCGTTTGGGAGAACAGAGTAGAGGTACCTACATGCCTGGGGACTGCAAGCAGACCACCATAGCGTAGAACCTGGATACATCATGCTGCATGCTATCAAGGAGACTGGGATCGATCCACGGTTTGTCTGCTGGCGTCCATTACACAATGTGTATATTCTATATTATCTCGCCATTGTTTTGACCTACATCTCACTCAAGGATGCGTTGAGTAAATGCCCTGCTATACCCCTTTCACGAAAGGAGTCCACAGTACGAGGTACGGTATGCAGGAAGGTTGCCAACCTTCCATTTCCCTTGACAAAATCCCTCCCTTCTCTTCTCTCTCCGTTTCTTTTCCTCTCGTTTAGTCTCCTCCACGTCTTTGATATCACTCCTCCAAACAGTGCTTGGACGATCACCGCGTTTGCACTTTCGTCGACCGCCCGTGTCAAGCCATGTGCATACTGACCGGATTGCGCCAGGCCGCGGATCTGACTTCTCATTCCTCATTTCACCACGACAACGACGACGACGACGACCTCCTCCACCCGTCCGCCAAGATGTTCGCATCCCAGACCTATCAGATCCTGGGGCTTCTAGAGCAGCAGACGCCGCTCACGCCAGTGAAGGTCCGTTCTCCGCTTCGTCGTCTGCCTTGGACTTCAACTCCCACGCCAAGTACATGCTCTGCGATCATCGCGCTGTGCTCCACTAATTAACTGCTTGGCCCCCCTGGCTCGGTCGCACCTGTCGATACCAGGGGTGCTGCAGCACACTCATTCGGTGGCCGCGCAATCGTCGCGATCCTGTGCTGTGGGATTATTGTGGACTGCGTATGCGCGCGGACTGCCGGTGGTTGCTCCCTGGCGCT